ATGGACAGAGGAAGCATGGCTCTTGGCCCCATTAGTAGTAGCAGGTGGCAGCAGCACTGAACTCGCAGCAGCAGGCTCACTTGGATGATCACTGAAGCTAATACCGGCCACATCTGATGTCTGCAGTTCATTCCCAGGTAAGAAAACGCTAAAAACTCAAATATTAAATACTCACCATATCCATTGGCCAACAGCTGACAGTGCACTCACTGTAGCATTCCCAGCTGTGATTGCACACTGTGCATGCTGGGGGGATATCAGGAATGCCCTGATTTCTGCACTCTTCACTATGCCTGTGCTCTTCTAGTGGGACAATGACAAAGCACAGCATCCAGCTGTAGAAGCTGTGGACTGGAATGGCAGGCTGCCACCAGTAGTATGTTATGCTGAGCCCAACAAGGACAAGGATGACCACAACAATTGCTATTGCAATCACTGTGGTTGTTGTGGTCTCTTGGAGGCCATCACTGCCAACAGAGGAGGCAGAACCAACAGCTTGAACAGCCTGGACAATGGGGGCGAGCTACAATGAGAAAGAGAGTCAGCAAAGGGAATGGCAATCGCAAAGGGAAATTGCAAGGGAATCCATGCACCAAAAAAGGGAAGGGATGTGACCAACATAAGTGATGCCAAGCCCCCAATGGAACATTCAAGAAACCAATCCATGGCATTTGCTGAATGTCACGCCTGCCAGTGGACAGTTTTGTTTTTGTGAGAAGTCAATGCCAGTGAAGTTACTCATCAGCAAAACCGCCCAGAACCAGAAAGGCATGCCGGTTCCCAGGAGGACTCCCATGCCATTTCACTGATGTCACCAACCTCTCAAGCATAACGCATTGTCCCACCAACCTTCCTTGACTCCTCACTGACCCCATACCCCTCACAAGCACTCCGAATTGTGCCTGAAGATGCCTGCAAGCCTCCCACACCTCTTGCAAGGACCGAGTTGGCCTTTTGACACTAGTTGGTACTACCTAATTTCTGTTTGCTCATCACCATACCTGACCTCTGCCAGATTTCATACTTACTCTACTGATGCATAGGCACATCCTTAGCCCAGTCTTGATGCACACCTGTTCTGGCCCCATTTTGATGTTCTGTCCATCGACCAAGTGGTGAGCGCAAGCTTAAATACCCAGTCCTCACAGCCGCCCACCCTTTTCTGCCCACCACTTCCCACCAGAGAATCAACCCTCTCAATTACAACAACCAACATCTTGTCCCATCTACTGCACTACCAACCTATCCAGATTGCAGACCCACAAGCGACACAGCAGAGTCCATAATGTCTCTCTCTACATGTCCCACATGGTCACTCTGCCGAGTCCAACCTTCTGGTCATAGTTATGTTTGCTCTGTGTTTAAACACTGTCACTACCCTGTACTTGTTATACATGAATGGAACTTTGTTTGCACTGCAGCCTTCCGAATACACTCAGGCTGATCCTCAGCACTATAGATCCACAAATCCCATGCCTTCAACCTCATCATAATCCTGCCCTTTGCCATCTTCTGCCCCTAGATCATCATCATCTGATGGTGCATCATCATCCTCATCTTTGACAACAACCTGATCAAGGCTGGTATACCCAAACTCATCCATCTCATCTACGATATCATCGTCAATGAGATGTTCTGTTGTGAGTGGATCTCGAGTTCCATTTCCTTTGATGTCCTCATCATCATGCTCTTTGCTGCTCCCCCTGTCTTCATTTTCATCCCCATCTTCATCACCACTACCCTCAATATCATCCTCACCCTCACCCTCACCTTCCTTGTCCTTGCCCTCACCATTGTCATCCAAGTCTTCCTCAACATCACTTTCCATTTCGCTGTTGGAATCTTGAGCTTCATGCTCCTTCTCCATTATGAATGGGAGTTTGTCAAGCACATTGTGATCATCAAGTAGACATTTTGTGGCTTCAAAGATGGGCTTGTGACTGACACCACCACCATGGTAGTGCATAAACATGTCTCGGTCCACAAATCTACAGGATAGGTAAGCTTGCTGTCTTGCTACTCAAAATAAAAACTAACATATTAACATAGAAAAAATTCCAGTCCATAGGTCCATCTGATATATGATGGGCAATAGAGTCTGGTGCAATCTGCTGTGAACCTCCACATGCAAACACTGGAATTAGATGCACACTGTGAACCACATGCATTGGGTCTATGAATCTGAATGCAGAGGGATCATCTGCATCTAGGAATCTGACATGAGGGAGACATTTTGCTGCCCAACCCAAGGGATAAGTCAAGTCATGCCTGAGCCATCAAACCCAAAGCAAGTCAATTCACTGTGGTGCAGAGCTTCTGGACTCAGGCCCATTATGCCAAACAAGGACATGAAAAATTCTGATGACTCAAGCATACCAGTATGGATGCAGATTCTCATTCTCATCTTCATGTGCGAGGACCATTACATCAGCTCATGTACGTGGATTGAGAGAGTCTTGAGCTCAACGGAGGTCATAGGTAGTGTAGTTAATGTGAAGAACTTTGTGCCGATAAATTTGATTATTGATGATGTGAATTGAGTTCCACTGTGCCACTGTGAACTGCATTTCATCACCTTCATATTTATTACCAAGTAGGCATCCCAAGACATGTTCTTTGAGGTGCAGGAGGAAGTCCTTAAGATCTTTTCAGTATGAAGTTTGAATGACAAGTCATTGAGCTCACACAAACAGCAATATCATCAGCATGTTTGCCAAGCCATGCAGAGATATCCCAATGGAATTTTTTTGAGGTCAAGATTTGGTAATGAGATTCTGGTGAACAGTAGGGTAATGGTTCTTGATCAATGAAGTGAAGAGAGGGATGCTGCTCAGTAGTGTTTGATGGAACTATTGGTGGGTCATTTTGAGCCACTTGTATTTGCTCGTGTTTATCTCTCAATCTGCAAAGTATCCATTCCCATTGCTGATGCTTGGTGATGCCTTGTGTGAATCAATTTTTGTTTGTGCATGCATAGAACCACTTGACACAACAATGCTCTAGCTCACCCTGTCAAGTAATCAGCCAAATTGTTTGCATATGATGTGAAGAGCATAGTACTTACAACTTGCATCGAGTAGTTGTCTGTTGTCCCATACAGCCAGATTGATTTCACATGGTCACCAAGCGCATGAAGCTTATATGTCAGCATATTGAATTTTTGTCACTTCGAGGCTGCTTGTGGAGTGACATTAGCCTTCCCCTTGCCCTTTGCTGCCTTGGTACCTTGTTGATGTGTATGAGCAGCAGTCTCTTGTGGAAGATCACGTGTGTGTCATATCCCACACTCTGGACCCATGTTCCATCATATTCCCACGCCTTCCGAGCCTACATCCGGACCTCACTTCATATCCAGCTCATTCCCAGATCCCCTTCTGCTGTGCTCCACACCTCAGCAGGATCGACTACGCTCTGGATTTACCCCTGAGCTCTGGACCATCAGATCTCCACTGCTAGCCTGATCCATACCCCCCTGTCCCATCCATCTTATGCACACTCCATCCAGCAAGACATCCAGACTTCACCTTGTCTCGGATTCCGGACTATATCCACCTCCTCGTATTCCGGTCCTGTATCCACCTTGTCTTCCGGATCCCCAGATCTCCGGACCTCCGGATATTAATGCTGGACCTATTCCCACCCTCTGTCCGAGATCCTGCACCTATCCCCATTTAGGCATCTCTACCTTTCTGGCTTTCGGTTACCTCTTCTTCCATCTTGCTTATTGATCCTTGTATGAGTCTTCATCTCCGAGTTCATTTACTTATGTTCCGTCTTACTTACTAATGTGTTTCCACATGCTCATACATAGCCTTGCTCCTTTGCTTACTGATCCCCTCAGATATTGTTCAGTATATAACCCCTGTAGATACTCCTGTAGTGCCTCAGTTTGAATATCAACTTAGACTTGCCCAATCCTCTCTTGGACTTTGGTCCAGCTAAGTCTGTCCTACCCATCAGGCCTAGGGATTGATTCCCTAGGCCGGAGCTCTGCCTTTCCGGCACTTACCCTCTTTCCGGACTTAGGTCCAATCCCTGTCTCTCCAACTCTACCTTAGGGTAGTCCACCTCTGTTTGTTTCTACATCGGACTTCGTCCGATGTAGCCCCTATTCCTTCCGGACCTCCGGACCTCCTGTCCCTCATACCTCCAGGCATCCTGTTCCTTCGGATGTTCCACCCTCTGTACCTTCGGACGTTCCGTCCTCCTAACCCTTGGACATCCTATCCTCCTGTCCTTCGGACATCCTGCCCTCTGTACCTTCAGACATCCTGTCCTCCTGTCCTCCTGTCCTCTGGACCTTTGGACCTCCTATCCCTCCATCCTGTTTCCTGTAGAAGTATTACCTTGCAGTGGGAACTCTCCTGAGCACTTCCTGCATTCCTCCGGAACTCTCCCGTGCTCCTCCGGATGTTTCCCGCGCTCCTCCGGAAGTCCTCTAGTGCTCTCCAGCAGAGTAGCCAGCCTCTGGAAGTCCTCCGGACTTCCTCAGACCATCATTGGACCTCATACGAAATGAAGGGCACATACTCAGGTAAGGGGCACAGCGTACAAGCTGAGGCCAAGCCCCTCTGAGTCAGTCTCTCTCTCCCTTGAGCAACATGATTCTTAACAGTGTGTTGAACTTACTGCATGTTACACTGCAGAACTTGCACAAAGCTCTGCCGAGACATGTTGTGCAGTTATCAAAGTGATGCAGTGTAGTCTTGGTATGCATCTGCAGTTTTCCAAAAGCATGCCAAGTGGAGAGCTCGAAGAGGAGATCGAGAATAATTGAGTTGTCATCTGGAAGGAGTGATTCAAAGACAGGCATAGAACACTGATTGAGGACAAATCTAAGTTCTGAGACCATAAGCACAAAAATTAATATTTTACCTGGAGAAGATCTTCGAAGTCACGAGCAGTGAGTTTTGTCAAATCAGAGACATTACAACTGAATTTGCATATTGTGTCTCGGCCAAATGTTGGGACCAAACAAAATCTAGATTTTTTTTGAGTAAAAACATTTAGAATAGGTTTGGAGGAGACAGGGAACCTTTCATTGAATCTTGGAATGAGATCACCCCCAGATGCATGAAGAATATGGATAAGGTGTGTTAGTGTTGCTTTCCAGGTGCCAAGCTCAAACTTGTGCATAAAATCAGGGACAAGCATTGAGTGGAAGTTGAAGCCAAATTTTGAGAGTTTCTCAGAAAACACATTCTGCAGGTACAAATGATGAGCTACTATTGACCAGATTCACCAAAAAAACACAAACCCAAGTAGGAACCATTGATGTTACACCAATTAAGTTCTCAACAAAAGTACTGACCACACTGCGACCCAATTTGAAGATGAATTCACATGCACATTCAATCATGGATCGACAGTGACAGTCATCAACTTGGATACCTTTTTCTCACTGCCATCAGTCTGCCCTGTTGCCCAATTTTTCAATCTTGGACTTGTTGACAAGACAGCGAGGACAGGGGCATCATCCAAGAAATTTGACACATGCGAGAAGAATCTTCTCAGGGTAGTCAGCTGCATATGTGAAGAACTGAGGAAAGACTCTGCAAGAAATGCCATCAGGGAATTTAATGACTATGCCATGTTCCCATGCATTGTTAAGGTCGTACTCAAAGGGTAACTGGATCTGAAGGGCTTCGGCCTCAGCTTGTACGCTGTGCCCCTTACCTGAGTATTGCCCCTTATTTCAGGAAGGCAAGCCTAGTGTGTCCGGAAGGTTGGACGAGTAGTGTAACGGATCCAGATGACTTCCGGATGAGGAATAAGTATCATGTGGCTAATCTGGATAAGTCCAGACTAGAAACTAACGGTAGTGGACTGTCGGGGACAGAGGCGGATACGGATAGACTATAGGAATCAATCCTAAGTCTCAGAGGGTGACAAGAGTAGAGGTACTCAAGTCCAGAGGACAGGAATGAGCAGAACTAAGATGATATTCGAACTGCCATACTACAGAAAGTTACAGGAGGTTATATACTATAGGTATCTAATGGAATGATCGATCAGCAGAGTCCAAGGCTATGTATGAAGCATGTGGATAGTCTATTGGTAAGTAGAAATGGATCACAAATCATGAAACAGGAATGAAACATAGGTAGTGGATAAGGGAGCAGGACGGATATACAGATAACCGAAATACCAGAGTTAGGGGGTTACCGAAAAGAGACAAGCGCTGGTTGTGGATTCGGATGAGTTGTGGACTGGACCGGACAAGTGGACAGATTGAATGACGAGATGTTGGAGGGGGATAAGATGTGGATAGCATCTGAGATAAGATGTGGATCTGAGATAAGGGTCAGATCTGAGATCCAGATATGCGGATATGACATGCATCAATGAACTCATCATCAAGCAAAAATGACCATATAGCATGCATAAGTTCCCATTTGCAGTGTGTGAGGACAGCCGCTGTAGCACTCCACCTGAACCATCAGAGATAAAAATATTGAATCATGTCTGGTAACTGGAACTATTATTAGCACAAACAAGCGAAATTATCTGTTAAATTAACATACCTTTGGAATATAGGCAAGATAGTGAGCTGCAAAGGATGTTGGCTTTGACCGAATGTATTTCAACTGATTACCAATGAACATATAGATTGGCCACAGGGCAGCATTACCAAAACTGGCAAGATGCATAGAGTCAGACCATAGCATAATTGCTGCAGCAACTGTTTCAAGATTACATCCAGGCTCATGGGGCTGGGAACAGATTTTCTCGTGTTCTTGGAGCATTGCATCAGATGTGTAAAGTTCTGTAATAATACATTCAGGTGGTTTGTCCTTGTCAGGTTGCCAGAATAGTTTGTAAGGGCTAGTATGAAAACCTTTTGCACCTTCCTCCTCAAATGCAGCTTTGAGAACCTCCAGAGGCTTCCAATAATAGAGTCCCTCAACCTCGAACATAGGTGCATCACTTTCTGCATCAAACTTTTCCTTCTCACAGGGCAGGCAGATTTTGATAGAGGCTTTATGCCATCCATCAGATGAAAAGATAGATGAAGAAGGGTCATTTTTGGCCCTATCAAGATGTTTGGCTTCACATGTTGGGTTAAAGTCACATAAATCTTCTTGGTCAAAGTCTTCCACCAATATAACATCATCAACAAGACATCTAAGGTCCTTGATTGATTTCTGGAGAGATGAGTTGTAGAACCAGTTCATGAGTTGAAATGTTGAAGCATTAAGAAATGGTGTGAAATAATCCTGATGGACAGCTTCCAGTGATGAACCAAAGCCAGCCCACCATGGACGATCATGCTCAATGGCCTTGTCAACATGATGAAAGGTAGGGGCATCACAAAGGTGGTCAAGGTAGCTCAGGTTCTTGGGGTCATAGGTGGGGAAGGAGTATGGATATTCGCAGAATAGATCAAATGAATCATGCTCTGTTCACACCCAGTCCACACATTGTTGAAAATCATCATCCATTATATTGTCAGCAGCTGGAGCATCAGGCTCAACAGGTGCAGGAAGTACAGGTACAGGAATAGGATTGGACGGGAGTTCGTCACAATAGTGTGCAGGGAGACACCTTTTCTGCAATGGTAGTCCAGATTGTCGGTACTCCATCTGCACATCATCATACTTTGAACAAGATAAGAATCCTATCATCAGATATAAAAAATTTGACTCATATCACCATGATGATGCTCCAATGGTGTCTGACTTGGCTGTGGGGTCAAGGATTGAGGTGGAGGATGGTTTTCCACACCAGTAGCAGTAGGCAATTCATGGCATTGGCATTTATGGCACTGATCAAGAACATTTTCAGTGATAGAGAGCCAGGATTTACACCAGCGAGTGAGATGGTTTGAGAGGCCCCAGTCAGAAACTTCAGTCCCACAGTTTGGGCATTGCACCATGAGGAGTATCAGAATGATAGATGATAGAATATTCAGCAGTAGCATGGGGTGACACCAGAGGAATCAGAGTGAAGCGGCAGTGATTTTGGATGCCAGCAGTGGTAGTGGGTTGTTTGGTTGTATTATGTTGATGTGAGCATGCACCATAACCACACTTTAATCTCCTTGGCTATGAGCATGCCTTGTTCCCTTGCGCCTAACTGCTATCATGTCATCAGATTCTGAATCTTTGTCATTATCACCACCAAGAAAACACAAGAAGTTGTCCTATTCAACTGGATCTTCATCACTGTTGGAATCAAGAAAGCACAAGAAATTGTCTGATTCCGGATCTTTGTCACAATCAAGCAAACACAGGAATAGCACAGACAAGCTGCTTCAGGTGGTACAAACCAAGCACAGCAAGAAGATTAAACAGTAAGCTTATCATCATTCTACATTATATTTAGCTTGGAGCTAACAATGATAAGCAGATCAGATGATACAAATGCAATATCAAACCCTATTGAGATGTATTGAAACATCAGACAAAAGGTTACCTGTGTACTCAATCTCTTTGGTCTCCCATCTGTCACATTCCACACAGGTCTCCAGCATGATTGTGGAGGCAAAATCAGCTCTGATCTGTAAGTCCTTTTTTGTGTGTGATCATCCCTTACTGACACTTACTATGAATACTAGGACTGAAGATGTGATAGAATGCCATCTGCACTTGTATAATGGCATCCTGGATTTTGTTCTGAGTCTTTGTGATGAGCTTGACACAATTTCTACTGACAGACTATCTAAGATCATCTCTGTGGTGAGTATATGCACTCTTATTTGATTCTGACATGATCCAATTTTGTCCAGATAATGAAAGGGATGAGTGATGCTTGGTCAACAGCATTTAGTTCCGTCAAACACAAAGGACTCAAGTATGTGCTGCTCAACATGCACAGCAAGAACAATGCACTCAATCCGCCAATTCCTGAAGTCAAAGATAAATCTATGTGAGGCATTGCACATCCTCAGCTTGCCCGCTGGCTCTGTCCATGCAACAAACTTCACATCTTTGATAGCGACCCAGAGGAGTAAGTTATCTCGTTGATTACATCTATCAGCTCACTAATACTACAACACACTGCTACAGTGGGATGGAGAAACTCCAGTCAGGCAAGATCAAGATGGCAGCTATGAGTTGGCCTACTGGCTTCTACAAACATGGCATTTACAACCTGCAAAATAAGACTAAGGGTCTTTTCAGAAACCACGTCATTGCCCGAGTGAGTCACACTGCACTTGCCTTTGCTGATGTTCTATCTAATCATCACTCTAGTTTTATGCTCACTTGTATATTGGTCCCTTGGCTGCGATGTCAGAGTCTACCTCAAGCAAAGCCTCATAACAAGCAAGGAACCGCACATTTTGTTTATCATCAGTGACAAAACACATCATTGCAATAGTTCACATTATTGTAAGTTATTTCTGTTGCTCTATTGATTACACTTCTGATTGTTTGTTTTGAGACATACTTCACACTCAGTCAAGCACAAAATTGGACCAGTGAAATCGGCACTATGAATCTCAAGGAATTGTTTTGGAGCATCATCAACATGCTTGATGATGACGAGGATCCATGGGTCAAAGATACCATGGCATGGTGGATGGCATATGTTTTGAAGCATTGTTTTTGTTTTTACTGATCACACTTGCAGCCATATCAGAGTGAAGACCAAAGTTCTCACTAAGAAGCCAGAAAATGAAGACAATGACAATGAAGAAAATGACATTGCAGATATCAAAGCTCAGAGGTTGGCTAGATGTAGTGCTATGAAGACTAAGGTTGCAGGTGGTATGTGTTTGCTACAATGGAGAATCGGTACTTACATGATACAGCAAAACAACTGGCAGGGACCAACACCTCACTCACTACTGGCCCATGGCCTCAAATGCTGTTATCTGAGGACAAGGAGTCGGCTGATGACTGCAACCCAGTTCCTCCTGCCAGGAAGAAACCTGCTGCCCCCCTACCTCCGAAAGTCAAGCATCACAGTGGCCATCTTGATACATACAAGGAATCTGAGGATGAAGATGAGTCTCATCCCCTGCCTTCAAAGACTAAACACCCCTGACTTGTCACTACTCCCCCACCTCCAAAGACCAAGTGCACTCAACTTGTTGAGTCTGACAATGACATTGAGGATGTCGAAGCACCTCCTGTCAAGAAAAAGATGGTCCCACCTCTGAAGGCCAAACACCCTCAACTTGTTGAGTCTGATGATAACACTGAGGATGTCAAAGCCCCTCCCATCAAGAAAACAATGGTCCCACCTCTGAAGCCCAAGTGCACTTGACTCATCAACGAGGATGTTGAGGATGTCAAAGCATCTCCTGTCAAGAAAACAATGGTCCCACCTCTGAAGACCAAGCGCACTTGACTCATTGAATCTGATGAGGATGTTGACAATGTCAAAGCACCTCCTGTCAAGAAAAAGCCGGTCCCTACTCTGAGTCTTCCAATGCTCAAACATGTTCAACCAGTCAAGGCCCCAGAGGAACTTGCATACAAGGCACCTCCCAACAAGAAGACGCCAGTCCCCTCTCGACCCGAGTCCCCACTACCCAAGTTAACTGAAGACGAGTCAAGCAGTGCATTGTTTGAACCCAAACCATTGCCCAAGAAGAAAGGGAAGAAAGCTGCCAAAGTTCAATGTGTGCCTATGAAGCGGAACCCTACTCGCCAAAAACAGCCCAATGGTTTCTAGTGTCTTCGTCATTGCAATTCCAATTTCTTGCAGATTTCATTTGTTCTTTTTCATTGGTCACTTGTGCTTAGTTCTGTCTCCCCCTTGCACTGATACTTCACTCAAGTTGCAGTACTTATTGTCATCATTGTCTTCTAGTCTACTGGTTCTACTAATACAGTGGCCTGGATGGCCTTGCATTTCACTATCTACCTCATGTGACCTTTGAAGACCGTGTAACCTCCTGAAGCCTTGAGTAGTCTTGCAAGCCTTGCATCAACATGCAAATCTCCAAGCCTGGTAGCACCTTTCTTGACAGGAGTGTTTCCATTCATGGGACTGCTAGCCTTGCACAGTGTAGAAGGCTTGTATGGCCTTGTTAGGCCCTTGAAGGCCTTGTAAGACCTGAGCGGTTTTGCTGATGCTGGAGTACTTTTGACCTTTGGTTTTTTTGCTGTCTCTGGTATGGTGGGGGTGTCTTGAGGTTTGTATTTCTGAGCAGATCTGGACATGGTAGACAGGTTGGTTCCTTTGATGACATAGCATGAATAATAAGAGCATGTTTGGATAGAGATATTTGGATGAAGTTTTGAAATATTGATCATGCAATTTCATCAGCATCATCCCAAATGTTGGTTGGAGCTTAAACCTTCCTTGCCTCCTACTGTACATACTAATCAACAGACATCTCTCACTCCTCCCTTGATATACACCAGTGCAATAGACTCATTGCTAGTGTCATTGTGATCACCATGATCTGTATACAATACACCAATCTGATCATGGCTCAACCTGAGGCCCATGAAATCCCTACAAGGCGCACACCTGCACACTGGAGAAACAAAGAGATCACCACTCTGGTTAATCATATGTATGATAATTGTGCAAGTAGTGATACCTCCAGCAACTTCAAGCCACAGGTCTATACTTCTGTGCTAACAGTCATCAACAATGATCCCCACCTTCAACCATTGTGAATCGGTCCAGCAAAGACCATCAAGATGGTGAAGAGCAAGTGAGCCTCAGTGCATCCATCCTTCAATCACTTTACTGATTCAATGTTTTAGCTCAAGTCTATACATCACACTATTGATAAATACCACAACCAGACCAGCACACATTGGGACAGTGCCAATGGAGCTGGGATCCATGGCCCTACAGCATCCACTGTGTGGGATTCATACATTGCACTCAGTGTATGTCAGCCCCTCTTATTTATTTATTAAAAGCTGACATTTTTTAGTCCAATACTCAGATGTGTCCATTCTGCAACACAGGCTGGCCTTACTTTGAAAAGATGCAGGAAATAATTCCCTTGGGTGGCACTAGAGGGCGCCATGCTTTCCACCCAGGTGCTATGGGTCCTCCACCAGTACCAGACACTGATGAGGATGAGCCTGGCCTTGCTCAGGCTCCAGCCCTCTCTTCTGCCAGTCCTTCCTCCACCAGTGGACCCCCCATTGCCACCAATCATTCCTCTATCACTGGCCCTTCATTTACCACTGGTCCTTGCTCTATCACTGGTGGTCTCTCTACTGCTACCAGCTCTGCTGGTGCCAAGTGCCCTTATGAGGATACCAATTTCAATTCTGTCAAGACCATGTCGTTTGCATTAACCCATGAATCGGTGTAGGGAATGAGATTCCTCCAGGCATAGATCGCCCATATTACGGCTCACAATGATTGGTATAGTGTGCAACTCACTAGCTATGACTTTCCTGTGAAATGTGCCAGAGGCACAACACTTTCCTGCACTATGCAACGCATTCCCATGCATGTGCTTAGCACACCCTTCCTGTGCTCAGTTGCCTTATGTCATGCAGCATCTGGGAGCATCCATCCATCGTCCAACCAGTCCCCTAGTGAGTCCTTTCCTGTTTATTCTCATATCAGACCATATTTAGCATCATACAATACTTTATTTCATCATGGACCCTGTCCTTACATCATTTACATACTTAGAGCGCTCCCTATTCACTTCCAAGCCCTGGGAGCGCGCCTAGGCACAGCTTACCTGTTGCCTAGGGAAAGGTTTTCATACACCAACCACCACCACATCACTTAGTCTCTAGAGTGAGAATCTATTTATCATGAGTTAGCATCCATCAGAGTCGTTGCCCTAGTCTTCAGCAACAGTCTACTATCATCAGTCTCCAATCAGCAGTCTCAGTTCACACCTTCATGCCATCCTTCAGTCTTTACATGTCTGCACACCAGCTCGCATGCTATTCCCACACTTCACACTCCTACATGCTCTATATTCCCGCATACACACTTCACCAGAGTTGACCTGGTATCACCCAGTGGATCTTGCTTTCCTTGCTTCCCCTAAGGGTCGAACACATTGCTTGGCACACTTTGACCAACACCTAGAGAGTCAGTAGGCTTTCCTCTCACTCCAGAGTGAGAGCCCCCTCTTTCTTTCTTTAGCTCTGCAGCCTAGCAGAGCTGTTGAACCTTCATTGGCTCAGCTGGTCTCCACCACCTTGGTGTCTCCCCCCCCCCTCAAAGAAAGCACATTTGCATGTGTCTCAGAAGATGAGCAGTGCAACACAGGCCACCAAGATCACACCTGCTGCTGCTGTGATGGGAATGCAGGGCACTGTCAACCACCTGACAGATGTGTTTGAAAGATTTGTTGTCAGCTCCATGAATAGTGGTACCATGGCAGGTGGCATGCAGCTTCTGCCTCTACCTCCACCTAGGCCTGAGCCTGAGGGCAGCATGGACTTGGTGACATGCGCAGCACACCTATTGCAAACTGAGGATGCCAATATGCCTCCTGAGCAGCACACTGTCTTGATAATGGTCCTGGGTGAGAAGGATAATGAGTGTTTCTTGAAGTTCTATGTGTCCCTCATGGACAAAGAAACCAGGCATCCATTCATTCAGAAGCTCATCACAGATGCAATGGTGGGCTGAGAAATATATCATGTATTACCTTGTTTTTTACTGCTTGCTTTCATTTCAATGTTTGTACAATACTATGTGTTCACAACTGTCACAATGCAACAATGTTTGTCCGATTTAGGAGGCTACAAAGTAGTACTTGAAGTGTGAACTATTTGGAAGCAAAACCATCCTGATCCTCATCAGTAGTGTCCTCAAGGTCCTCATCCCCCTCAACCTCATCATCAAGATCTATACCTTCGAAAGCCCGTTCTAATGAGATACGCTGATAACTATTTCACATTGCGGATGCAATGCGATCATGCATCACAGATCCTTGACAAAATTCAGGTTTGTTGTCTTCTTCAATAGCAGCAATATCACCCTCTTCTTCGGCATTTCCACCAGAATATTCACTCTCATTGTCATCTTCATCATCAGCCTCATTGGTGGGGATGTTCATGGGATCATGCATGCAGATGAAGTTGTGAACAGCGCACAATGCAGCAGGAATTCATGCTTGTAACTCCATGGCATATGCAGGCAGCAACAATAAGATCTGAAAATGACACTTCAAAACACTGAAGATGCACTCAATGATGTTTCTCACTGATGCATGTCACAAATTAAATAGTTCCTCTTTATTAGAGGGCCTGTAGAGGAGATAAGTTCCAAAATTAGTTTGAATTAAGTAAAAGGACCTACCTGGTGTTTGCGTGTCCTGTTAAGAACCATGTTGCTCAAGGGAGAGAGAGACTGACTCAGAGGGGCTTGGCCTCAGCTTGTACGCTGTGCCCCTTACCCGAGTATGTGCCCTTCATTTCAGATGAGGTCCAATGATGGTCCGACAAAGTCTGGAGGACTTCCGGAGGCTGGCTACTCTGCTGGAGAGCGCTAGAGGACTTCTGGAGGAGCGCAGGAGAGTTCCAGAGGAACACAGGAAGTGCTCAGGAGAGTTCCCACTGCAAGGTAATACTTCTACAGGAAACAGGATGGAGGGATAGGAGGTCCGAAGGTCCGGAGGACAGGAGGACAGGAGGACAGGAGGACAGGAGGACAGGAGGACAGGAGGACAGGAGGACAGGAGGGTAGGAGGGCAGGATGTCTGAAGGTACAGAGGGACAGGATGTCCGGAGGTACGAAGGACAGGATGTCCGAAGGTACAGAGGGCAGGATGTCTGAGGGTTAGGAGGACAGAACGTCCAAAGGACAGGACATCCGGAGGTCCGGAAGGAATAGGGGCTACATCAGACGAAGTCCGATATAGAAACAAACAGAGGTGGACTACCCTAAGGTAGAGTTGGAGAGACAGGGATTGGACCTAAGTCCGGAAAGAGGGTAAGTGCCGGAAAGGCAGAGCTCCGGCCTAGGGAATCAATCCCTAGGCTTGATGGGTAGGACAGACTTAGCTGGACCAAAGTCCGAGAGAGGATTGGGCAAGTCTAAGCTGATATTCAAACTGGGAACTATAGGAGTATCTACAGGGGTTATATACTGAACAATATCTGAGGGGATCAGTAAGCAAAGGAGCAAGGCTATGTACGAGCATGTGAAAACACATTAGTAAGTAAGACGGAACATAAGTAAATGAACTCAGAGATGAAGACTCATACAAGGATCAATAAGCAAGATGGAAGAAGAGGTAACCAAAAGCTGGAAAGGTAGAGATGCCTAAATGGGGATAGGCGCAGGATCTCGGACAGAGGGTGGGAATAGGTCCAGCGTTAATATCTGGAGGTCCGGAGATCTGGGGCTCTGGAAGACAAGGTGGATACAGGACCGGAATACAAGAAGGTGGATATAGTCTGGAATCCGAGACAAGGTGAAGTCTGGATGTCTTGCTGGATGGAGTGCGCATAGGGTGGACAGGATAGGGTTGTACGGATCAGGCTAGCAGTGAGGATCCGGAGGTCCAGAGCTCAGGGGTAAATCAGGAGTGTAGTCAATCCTGCTGAGGTGTGGAGCACAGTGGGAGGGGATCTGGGAATGAGCTGGATATGAAGTGGGGTCCAGATGTAGGCTCGGAAGGCGTGGGAATATGATGGAACGTGGGTCCGGATTGTGGGATATGACATGTCCCCATTCAGCAAGGTGATAGCACACACCTCAGTATGGCACAAGTAGGCCAGGATGGAGTGGATAACCTGCATCTGCAAGAAAATACTTGCATGGGGGAACCTCAAAGTTACTCAGACATGCATCTTCATAAACACGTGTGTCCATTGCAGAGCCTTCCCAGCCAGTGAGTGTGTAGGTAAATTTGAGATTGAAATCACATGCAAAAAGACAATTTTGTGACAGGAACCCCTTCTGATTACGATACACAGCACGGTCAGTAGCCCTGGGCATCACCTGAATATGCCTCCCATCTATTGCACCAATGGTGCCTTTAAAAAAAGGCCACCATTTAGGATTTCTGTGGACTTCACAAGGGATGGACCTGTCATATCCCATATGCCAGACATAGATCCTATCATATTCCCACGCTTTCCGGACCTATTTCTGGACCCCATATCCAACTCATTCCCAGATCCCCTTCTGCTGTGTGCTCCATATCTAAGCAGGATTAGATCTGCTATGGAATTACCCCTGAGCTCTGGACCTCCGGATCTTTACTACTAGCCTGATCCGTACACCCCTATCCTGTCCACCCTATGCACATTCTGTCCAGCAAGACATCTGGACTTTACCTCCTCTTGGATTCTGGACTACATCCACCACCTCACATATATCAGTCCTGTTTCCGCCCTGCCTCCCAGATCCCCAGATCTCCAGACCTCTGGATATTAACTGTACTATCTCTGGACCATTCCCACCCTCTGTCCAAGATCCTGCGCCTATCCCCATTTAGGCATCTCCACCTTTCTGGTTCTCAGTTATCTCTGTTTCCATCTTGCTGATTGATCCTTGTACTAGTTTCATCTCTGAGTTCATTTACATATGTTCTGTCTTACTTACCAATGTGTTTCCGCATGCTCATACATAGCCTTACTCCTTTGCTTACTGATCCTCTCAGATAGCCTCTAGTATATAACCCCTGTACAACTACAGTAGAGTCCTCAGTCTAAATATCACCTTAGACTTGCCCAATCTTCTTCCGGACTTCAGTCCATCTGAGTTTGTCCTTTTCCATAAGGCCTAGGGATGGATTCCCTAGGTCAGAATTCCAGACCTTCGGATTTGTCCCCTATGTCTCTGTCCCAAGTCTAGGGATTGCTTCCCTAGGCTAGAGTCTTGCCTTTCTGGCACTTACCCTCTTTCCAGACTTAGGTCCACTTCCTGTCCCTCCAACTCTACCTTAGGGTAGTCTACCTCTGTTTGCTTCTACATCAGACAAAGTCTGATGTAACCCCTATTCCTTCCAGACCTCCGGACCTCCTGTCCTCCATACTCTGGACCTCCAGACTTCCTATCCTTCCATCCTGTTTTCCTGTAGAAGTATTACCTTGCAGTGGGAACTCTCCTGAGCATTTCCTGCATTCCTCCGGAACTCTCCCACGCTCCTCCGGACGTTTCCCACGCTCCTCCGGAAGTCCTCCCGCACTCTCCACCAGAGTAGCCAGCCTCCGGAAGTCCTCCAGACTTCGTCAGACCATCATCAGACTTCCTCTGAAATGAAGGGCACATACTCAGGTAAGGGGCACAGCGTATGAGCTGAGGCCAAGCCCCTCTGAGTCAGTCTCTCTCTCCTTTGAGCATGGTTCTTAACACTAGTACTGGTAGTTGCAAAATGTATGACGATGAGATACCAATATTGCATGAGTCTGTATAGTACTTATAAGTTAGAAGTGGAACAAGCAAAGCAAAATGTATAACAAAGAGAGTGAAAATGTCCAGTGTGATTCATGATGTGAGCTTGCTCTCCCTCTTTGCTTGTTGCACCTGTGCCAAGCAGTGACTGTGTAAAGTCATGGATGTACCCTGGGCTGCCTTCTTTGTTGCTGCTGCAGGCACAGAAGGTGCCACAACAGCCTGAGATAAAGCTATTCATGTGTCATCTGATGTAAATCCAGGAATATGGATATTGTGGTTGAGACAGGGCAATGAATACTAGAATGAGAAGGAATGAACTGATCAGACTCACCAAGGTGAAGCTGGAGGTCTTTGACTTTGTTAAGGTCATACTCAAGGGATAACTGGATCCAAAGGGCTTCAGCCTCAGCTCATGCGCTGTGCCCCTTACCTGAGTATTGCCCCTTATTTCAGGAAGGCAAGACTAACATGTCCAGAAGGTCAGACGAGTAGCGTAGCAGATCTGGATGACTTCTGGATGTGGGATAAGTATTGTAGGGCTGATCTGGATGAGTCCAGACTAGAAACTAATGGTAATGGACTGTTGGAGACAGAGGCAGATATGGATAGACTACAGGAATCAATCCTAAGTCTTGGAGAGTGACGAGAGTAGAGATGCTCAAGTCCAGAGGACAGGAATGAGTAGAACTAAGATGATATTTAAACTGAGGTACTACAGAGAGTTACAGGAGGTTATATACTATAGGTATCTAACAGAATGATCAATCAGCAGAGTCCGAGGCTATGTACAAAGCATATGGATGGTCTATTGGTAAGTAGAAACAGATCACAAATAATGAAACAGAAATGAAGCATAGGTAACGGATCAGGGAGCAGGACAGATATACAGATAACCAAAATACCGGAGTTAGGGGATTACCGAAAGGATACACACACTGGTTGTGGATTCAGATGAATTGTGGACTGGACCAGACGAGTGGACAAAATGGATGACGAGATGTTGGAGGGAGATAAGATGTGGATAGGATCGGAGATAAGATGTGGATCAGATCTAAGATGAGATAAGGATTGGATCTGAGATCCAGATATGCAGATATGACAGACTTTGAGCATGTCACCATCACCTTGCTGTATATCATGGACACAAAATTGTGCAGTGTCTGCAGCTGCAACATCAACCCCTTTGATCCTGAAAGTATCCTGAATAACAGCACTACTAGTACAAGATATGTCAGTGTCATCACCACCAGCCTCAGCATCAAGCTGAGACTCAGGTGGTTCATCCACCAGGTTATGAATGATACCTGTGCGATTTTCAATCTCATTGTGAAGCTTAATCAGTAGTCTACTTGAAGTTGTGCTAAGTCAAAATTCCCCTCCACAAGAATTTGAACCCGATGCCGCTCCAACATATGACAGGGACATTGGTTGCTATTTTATTTGCCATATGACATCTGAGTCTGCATATGCGCAATCCCAGAGCATCATGAGAGGGAGGACATCTGTCATCTGATACTCAGGTTTGCATGTAGGAAATCTGACTCTACAGTATCGAATATGCACACCCAATTATCACCATGGACTCTGGAGACATGGGGTTATTTGACAATGATCTGTGCATGTATAACACAGCGTAATCTTTTTCCTGGATCAAATTTTGGAAGTGTGTAAGTATGACCTTGAGCCATCAGATGGTGACCTATTCGCAAGTTCGTCACCGTCAACATTAGCATGTCCCAGGATCCACCAGATAGTCAGTTTAAAGTGCTTCTGCTTCTCCGAGTCGCTATTTCATTAAATCACCAGACCAATAACGGATGCTAGCATACAGGCAACACAACTCATCCTCCTATTAAATATTGAGGATGCACTGGGATGCTTCGCAGTGAGCAGCCTCTCGTCTTCCTTAGTGGTTGAGAACTTGCTATTCATGGATTGAGGCTTGATGGAATGTGACCTTGCGATGCTTGGGTGCTTCAACTGCACAGCCTATGCTGTGTATAAGCTGTGAGGTGAACATGAGGATAAGGCATGTAAGATGTACCAGGAAGCAGTGGAGTCAACTGTGATTTGACAGAAACACTCATTGTACCCTGCTGTTGCCTGTCATTGCTGTCTTCATAAGTGATGATTTTGGAATTTGATGAGTGAAAATTTTCACTGAGATGGCGCTGCACTCAGTGGTAGGAATTCTTGATCATGTCTTCACCCACTACAGAGACACTAGTGATAAAACCCTGCCAGAAATTTCAAGGACACACTGAAATTGTCTGGGGTGTCATACACCTGCCAGGTGGACAGCGGATTATCACTTGTTCAGAAGATGGCTCACTCTGAGTGTGGAACTTGGAGAGTGGGAAACAGATAGGAAAAGACTGGAGAGATGGAGGAGGTCAGGTGATGAAAATAGCGCTGTCTCTGGACAGGAAGAAAGTGGTTAGTGGGAGTGAGGATGGCGCAGTGAAGTTGTGGGACATTGATACATGCAAGGTCATCGCGAAATGGACAGGGCACACACACAAAGTGTGGTCTGTTTGCTGGAGTCAAGATGGTCGGAGAGTGTTAAGCGGATCTTGGGATGGGACTGCAAGGCAATGGGACATGGAAAGTGGAGAGACAATCCTTGAGCTGATTGTGACTAGGCACATGGCGACACGGGCGATCTATTCACCAGACATGACCTTGATCGCAACAGCTGGTGGACAGGACCTCAGGACCCCAACAAAACAAAGGGAGTACTTCATCAGAATCTGGGATGCAAAGACAGGTGAGCTTGTCATGACTCTCAAAGGGCATGAATGGGAAGTGACTTGCCTGGCTTGGACTGGGGATAGGGTATGGTTGAAAAGTCACTTTTTTTCAACAGCTGTTGAATATTACTGTTCACCAGACTTTGATGCAAAATAGTTACTGGCAAGAATATGTGGGATTATAAGAGAATTTGACAATAATCTGAGGCAAGAATCTCAGGACTTACAGTGGCTCGAAAAACTGTCCACATGTTTTGACATTTTTCACTATCTATGATATTGTGTGAGAACTCACAAATGGCTCAAGGACATGCTTATACCACATTGTAGTATGGCTTCAGGGCTTTCATTTGAGCCCTACACCGTGGGAATCGGTGGAGATATGGTGGAGACATAAGGCTTATAAAATGATGACTCATGTGGACAGTTTTTTGAGTGTATATTAAAACTATATAAATCATTATTTATGACACCACAAAAATCATGCCACTATTATATAAATTATGAAGTGGTGTCATTATGTTATTTTATGACTATATCTAACTATATAAACCAGAATATCTCATGTATCATAGTCATAATCACCATGAAAGCCATCTCCTCTGCTCAAAGAGATAATATCCTCTCTCTGTCTTATGCTGGCCTCTCTGCTCACCAAATTTCCTCTAGAACTGGAGTATGCAAGTCCACTGTGGCCAAGTTTATCAAAGAAAGCCACCCAGACAAGGAAAACTCTTGTGGAGGACATCCATCCAAGCTTACCTCTACTGACAAAAGGGCTATTATCCAACATATCACTACAGGAAAGGCTGATAATGCTGTCCAAGCCACCTATTATATCAATTCCACCATCACTATCCCTGTCTCTTCACAAACTGTGAGGAATGTTCTCAAGGTAGCTCATCTCAAGGCAGTAACAAAGAAGAAAAAGCCTCTTCTCTCCATCAAACATAGGCAGAGAAGACTAGCCTTTGCCTTAGCTCATTAACACTGGACTGTAGAGGACTGGAAGCATGTTATATGGTCAGATGAGACTAAAATCAATAGGATTGGGTCAGATGGGAAGGTATATGTATGGAAAAAGAAGGGAGATGGCCTAACAGACAGAGAGGTTAATGGGACTGTCAAGTTTGGAGGAGGTTCTTTAATGGTATGGGGCTGTATGGGATGGAATGGTGTGGGAATGCTTGCTGAGGTTGAGGGGAAGATGAATGCTGAGCAGTATGTGGACATTTTAAATGACCACTTGCTGCCTAGCTTGGCAGAATCAGGGATTGATGAAGAAGATATCATTTTCCAACAGGATAATGATCCCAAGCACACATCCAGAAGAGCTAAGGAATGGTTTGAAGAACATAACATCAATGTTCTTGACTGGCCAGCACAGTCTCCTGATGTCAATGTCATTGAACATCTCTGGGGAACACTCAAGAAAAAGCTTCAAGCCTATGAAAACCCCCCTAAAGGAGTATGGGAGCTTTGGGAGAGAGTAGCAGTGGAATGGGGGAAGATCACAGCTGAGGATTGCCAGAAATTAATTGAGAGTATGCCTAGAAGGATAGAGGCAGTAATTAAAGCCAAGGGAGGTCATACAAATACTAGAATACCTGGTTATTATTGTAAAATACTTGAGTCAAAAAACTGTCCGCATGAGTCACCATTTTGTGAGCCTTGTATCTCCACCATATCTCCACCGATTCCCACGGTGTAGGGCTCAAATGAAAGCCCTGAAGCCATACTACAATTTGGTATAAGCATGTCCTTGAGCCATTTGTGAGTTCTCACATGATATCATAGATAGTGAAAAATGTCAAAACATGCAGACAGTTTTTTGAGCCACTGTATATCCACCATTCATTCACCGTCAGATATCAGTGTGAGACTTAGAGATCTAGAATTTGTTAGCAATTGTCATTCACGTGCACACACGTCATTGTCATTGTTGTTGTCATTGTTGTCTTTAACCTCCGCTAACTAGTGCTCTGAGTCCCTCCTAGGCCTCCAATGCCTTTGCAATCCTATGTCTCATGCACCTGCGAGAGCTTCAACTGCAAGTACAACCAAGATGGTAGCAGACAAAAGCTTCAAACCACTCAAATGGCTACCAGGCATCAGCATGCAGATGAGCTTCTCATGCCTCAAGCAGATGCTTTGGGTCAGGCATATGGGTTATCAGAGGACCTTACCATTACTGATAGTCTGGAGCATGCAGGAAATGCACACCAGCCCCCAGATGATCCAGGGGCTGATTTTGACAACAATTCAGACCATGGCAACAATGATGTGGGGGATGCTAATGATAACCTCGGACTTGGAGCACAGCCTCATTTTCCTGAGCTTGATGATCTTTTTGAAAGATGGGATGAGCCCTATCCTGCCAACAATGACCCAGGTGCATTCAGCTCTGACCCTGATGCCAAAATCTTCGAACACCTTGGACAACTGAACCTTGAAGATCTGGTAAACTCTGATGAAGAACTTGGAATGCCAGCTGAGGGCAACCACAATGATGAATTCTGCCCCAACAATGATGAGCAACTGAATGACATCAATGCAGCCCTTTTTGTTTTACAGGGCACTAATTTTGATTTCTCAGACATCTATGAAGATGCTGACATTCACACCTCACCCCCTCCCTGTATGAACGATCACCTGGTGGTCCATAATGCTTACATTTGGGCCTTTATTTCAGCAGCATTCTATAATGCTACCCATGCAGCCGTGTACCATGACCTCGAAGGCAAGGAACACCTCCTCCGCACAGCTCAACAAACAAACCCAGATATCGAATATCCAGGCCTAGATAATTTTGCTCACACACTGCCTACCCTCCTCAAGCGCTTCCAAACTCCAGTCTTCAGTTGGTGTACTAGGTGAATATGTGAAGTACATATTAATATGAATTGGTCACTCACATTCCAGATATTATCCTTCACATTCTCACCTGCCGCATGTGCAACCTTCACTTTTGACGGTTCCCCACTACCTTCCAATGACTTGGTGATGACATCAATGTTCGAACAGACAGAGTCAAGAGATACGTGTGTTTTGTCAACGTCTTCTCCAAGCTGAGTCTGATCATCACGTAGTGTTGCAATCAGCTGACGAAGCTCGTTTAATTCTGCAGTTTGTTCTTGAAGATCTTTGGTCTCTTCTAGCTTCTCTTTGTGGGACTTGATGTCGTTCTCAAGATGTCTTATGGTATCAGTGAGCCATTTGGGAATGACAACAGCTGCGCATGTGCTCGCAATCAATTTGGTAGGAGTTGCGGATATGTGTCTATTGCTTGCTGACAGTTGAGGAGCCACAGATGACAAATGCAATGGTGTTGTGAGGGCATCCAACAAAGTGAGTGAAGATGCGGTCAACATTGGGGACACTGATTCAAGTCTGGTACCAGTGGTGAACACATTGAATGGATTGTTGCTGGGTGCTGAGGTGGCAAGTGATTTCTTTGTGGGAGTAAATTGATTGAACTTTGCAGGTGGAGGTGGCATTTGCTCAATATCGGTGCTGTGGTCTTGTGGCAATGCTGTGGACAGTATGGTTGACTCTTGTTCCTGTATAGCTGGATCTATCGGTACATCGTCACTCTCCAATGGAGTGTCCCTTGTATCTAATGGCTCCAGCTTGGGATCAGTACTGGTAGGGTGCATATATGCATCATATTGTTGGTGGTGGGGCAGCATATGATTGAAGGACTGTGGAGGGTGAGGAGGAAGAGACCAAGGAGGTACGAGGTGTGTTATGGCTGCTGCCTGCTGGTTGGTAGGGTGTACTGCTGAAGATCTATTCAGTGTGAAAGGATTTACAAACCCCCTTGTGGCAGACTGTCCTTGGACTGTCTTTCACACTCATTTCAAGGTCCCTATCGTGTCACCAGTGCCTTCATCAAGACACCTCTTCAATGCATCCTTCTGTATCCCTACAACAACCACCTGGTTCGCTACACCCTGTGATGCATTCTGGCCTGCTGGAGCCTTCCAAGGAGCCATGTATCTCAATCTAATTCACAACTGGTGGTTGCAAAACATGTCGAAATGGCTTGGGACTTTGCTGGATAGATCACATAGGTCTGGCACACATGTACAGGCCTGTCAGATGGCTGTAATCATCGCAGTGAGGAGCAGAAGGTGTATGAGGATCCATTGTATATAGGCTACATACGGTCAAATAATTGACAGGTTAAAAATTAGCAAGAATATCCTATTTTTACCAGGGAACTATCATTCATTAAGGAATCATTCCAACAATAATTCAATGATCCAAAAATCATCAGCTTATCATCAGAAATTATCTCTATCTGTTGATATTTTACCATCGACAAAAGCACGTCAAAGTCTGGTGGTTAATAACTGTTAATGACACTGTTGAAAAGTGGTCATGTCCTGAGGCCTGTTGAAAATTGTGAATAAATCCAGGTGTGTGTGAACATTTTGAATGAACTTCTGAGGCTCGGAAAAATGCAACTGGACCCCCCTGTTAAGGTCATACTCAAGGGATAACTGGATCCAAAGGGCTTTGGCCTCAGCTCATGCACTGTGCCCCTTACCTGAGTATTGCCCCTTATTTCAGGAAGGCAAGACTAACGCATCCAGAAGGTCAGACAAGTATTGTAACGGATCCGGATGACTTCCAGATGTGGGATATGTATTGTAGGGCTAATCCAGACAAGTCCAGACTAGAAACTAATGGTAATAGACTGTTGGAGACAGAGGCAGATACGGATAGACTATAGGAATCAATCCTGAGTCTTGGAGGGTGACAAGAGTAGAGATGCTCAAGTCCAGAGGACAGGAATGAGCAGAACTAAGATGATATTTGAACTGAGGTACTACAGAAAGTTACAGGAGGTTATATACTATAGGTATCTAACGGAATGATCAATCAGCAGAGTCTGAGGCTATGTACGAAGCATATGGGTAGTCTATTGGTAAGTAGAAACGGATCACAAATCATGAAATGGAAATGAAACATAGGTAACAGAGCAGGGAGCAGGATGGATATACAGATAACTGAAATACTGGAGTTAGGGGGTTACCAAAAGGGGATGAGTGCTGGTTGTGGATTCAGATGAGTTGTGGACCAGACTGGATGAGTGGACAGATTGAATGACAAGATGTTGGAGGAAGATAAGATGTGGATAGGATCAGAGATAAGATGTGGATCTGAGATGAGATAAGGGTCAGATCTGAGATCCAGATATGTGGATATGACACCCCCTCCCACCGCCAAGCTTATTTTTGACACACTATGTTATTCCCTGCACCTGAATCTCTCACACCTACTGAGTTTTGGGGTGTGCTCAAATATTTGCAGACACTGCTACAAAATCTGCCAACTGTCTTGCCTGTTGGCACTGCTTTCATGTCAAAATACCTCACATTCTTATCATTCACAATCAATGATGAGCTGCTTGATCGCACTGGAAGTGAAATAGGGGCATTAAACGAGCAATTCAAACAGATTTTCGGATGGAAAACCCGCACAATGGGATCCAGGATCATAATGATTGAGGAACAAGGAGCACCTATTTGTGCAGTCATTGATGTACTTGACAATTTTCATGTCAGATACCTGTTAAGGTCATACTCAAGGCTAACTGGATCCAAAGGGCTTTGGCCTCAGCTTGTACACTGTGCCCCTTACTTGAGTATTGCCCCTTATTTCAGGAAGGCAAGGCTAATGCGTCCAGAGGGTTGGACAGGTAGCGTAGTGGATCTGGATGACTTCTGGATGTAGGATAAGTATCATAGGGCTAATTGTTACAGTGCCCCACTCTTTTTCTCATCATCACTGCGGACTCCTATATGGCTGAACTTCTAACACTTCCTTTTCACTGCGCTGTTTCCTCATGGTCTCCCTTATCTTTGACTCATACCTTGTTTTGCCATGAACCTTCCTTTCTCAGTAGTCGTTACCCTTTGCCCAGCCTGGTCTGTGCACAATTCCCTTACGTATATAAACCCTAGTTACCACTTGTATTTTCTCTAACTTGAATCTACTTGGTTCTCTCTGATACTTGAACTCTAGCTCCTTGGGAAGGAGGCTAGCCATCTGTCCCACTTGAACTCTAGATCCTGCAGGAGTCTAGACAATTGCTCCTGAGGGAGGCATTGACTTGATAAGGCTTAGTCCTTGATCGACTCTGATCTTGATTCCTTTATTGGAACGATGCTCTATCCAAGTTCATAACACTAATCCGGATGAGTCCAGACTAGAAACTAGTGGTAGTGGTTGTCGTAGACAGAGGCAGATGCAGATAGACTATAGGAATCAATCCTAAGTCTTGGAGGGTGACAAGAGTAGAGATACTCAGGTCTGGAGGATGGGAATGAGCAGAACTAAGATGATATTCAAACTGAGGTACTACAGAAAGTTACAGGAGGTTATATACTATAGGTATCTAATGGAATGATCAATCAGCAGAGTCTGAGGCTATGTACAAAGCATATGGATGGTCTATTGGTAAGTAGAAATGGATCACAAATAATGAAATGGAAATGAAGCATAGGTAATGGATCAGGGAGCAGGACAGATATACAGATAACCAAAATACCAGAGTTAGGGGATTACTGAAAAGAGATGAGCACTGGTTGTGGATTCGGACAAATTGTGGACCAGACTGGACAAGTGGACAGAATGGATGACGAGATGTTGGAGGGAGATAAGATGTGGATAGGATCGGAGATAAGATGTGGATTGGATCTGAGATCCGGATATGCAGATATGACAGATACCCTACAGACAATGTCATTAAGAAGTGGGCAGTTGACATTCACTGTGTTTTGAGTCCAGGTACCCAGGCCTTGTATGGCTGCAGCAACCACCAGTGGCTGAGCTGTACATAGTCCACACTCACCAGAAGTAGATTTACTATGACAATCTATGAAAAGTTTCACTTCCAATAGGTAGCCCACCTGATCCACACAAACTGCATGTGTCTCTGAGCAATACAGTGAATCTGAAGTGTACAGGGTGAGCAGAGGGTCGGAATAGGTCTAAATGCCAGGTGTCTGGGCTGTTGTTCTGTCAAAGCTGTACTGATGGCATCACATGTCAGGTACATGGTGCTTCAATCATGGCAAATCATAGCGCATATATATATTAACCCATGCATGGCGAAATCTGAGCAACTGCTAGTGCTGTTACTAGCCCTTCTTTCTGTCCCCCTACCACCATGGCACAACACAGGAACTAGCAGCCTCAACCACTGCAAGTCCCTGTCCCTTTAGGAATGGTGCTGATTCCTGGACTACTGGATATGCGAGCCCTTCAATCACTCTTGGCAGCCTTGGGACTGAATGTGATGGCAATTCTTAGCTCGATGCAGGGTGGAATTCCAATGCACCACATACCTCAACATGCCCCACAGCCTTTACTAGCAGCTCTCCCACCTCCAGCTCCTGTTATTGACCCACAACCCCAAGCTGAACCACCACTGAATGCACTCAACCATGTCCTTCAATGGCTTGAGACCATTGAGAAGTTGCTCAAGCACCCACAACATGATGAAGACAACGATGCTGATGATGAAGGAGACATGCGCCAATGCAAGAAACCAAGGAAGGACGGCAAATTTATCTTGAACACATGGACTGATCAGTTGATGCCTGCACAAAAAACAATTTGTGCTGAACTCCAGGTATGTACTGATGCTGGTTATATGCACTAACAACCACCATGCTCAGGACCGTATCTGTGTTGTGATTTACAACCTCACTGGGATTGTTGCCTCCAATATCAGGAAGCCAAAGGACTTGGATGATGAAGATTCTTCTGACAATGAGGATGAGACCCAAGATGACAGACTGCTGATGTTTGATTTCTGAGTGGATGTCAGTGCCCCACAGAATAGCAATATATGCAAGTGAGCTGCAGAAATTGTATGGATGGAGCAACAGCCTGTGAGTGATGTGGTAATTAAGAGGATCCACAACAACTTACTTTATCCCATCAGAACAAAGAATCTTTCAACTTGATGCACAAGGACATCAACTTCAACAAGGCCAATATTCTTGCATTCACAAAGGATAAGTTCAGGAACTACAAATGCAAGTATGATTAATGCACGCATGTAGAAAAGGGTAAGAAACGCCAGGTGATGAAGCTGCGAATGAAGTGCCGCAAGCATCAATGAAAGGTCTGTTAGCTCCAGTACCATGACAATAATACATCGCACTCACCCATGGTAGATGAAAGAGGGTCATTTGAAGGCTGTCAAACTGTTTAAGAAGCGCAATGATGGACAGGATCCTTCCCCACTCATGGAGACTGACTTCATGTCAGAGGAACTCTCACAGTTGGACATGGATGATGATGTAAAGAGGAGCATGCATCGCACAGAGCTCGAAAAGGCAGCACAGTTAAACACTGCTGATGCGAAAGATGGTGTTGCAATTTGGGAGGTTATATGGCCTGCCTACTGATCACAAGAGGTTCATCTGAACAAATGAGTGCTACCAGTCAAACTTGAGCTAACCGAACAATTTATAGTTTAACTCTGTCATGGACAAACTTGATCAGATATGGGCCAAGCAGTGGAAGAAAGCAGGAAACAAAGTGACTCGTACCAGATGCATCAACCTCAACAACAAGAATACAGCACCCCCTCAGCAGCCCATCTTCCCTTTCATGCTCAACATGGACTGGTACAAGGCCTATGTCAACAATAACCCTGGCATGAAAGTGGTCATACTCAAGAAAGATCCCATTGGGTTTGACCTAGTAGATGAGCTGAATGAGACAGCTGATGACCAAGGAGCAAAAACCACAGACACAATGGATGTGAATGGTGACAGCACTGATGGGGAAGATGAAACTGCTGAGGATGCACGGCTCTAGATATCCACAGGTTCACCTTTGTATTCTTCTTGTTGCTAAATTATCAATCCTACACCACCTGTACATCCTAAATCATCCTGTATCAATTAAGTTGCCAGTTGATGTTGCTTGCAGACATACTTGGCTCAACCCAATTGTTGCCCAAAATGGTTTCACTATGTGATCTCTTGTCTGTGGATCCTCAACATGACGCATGACCTTCAAATGACATGCTTGTGACAAGATTGATTTGACAGGGATAAAGTGTGAGGACCCATCCTTCATGCTGTCCAAGAAGTGGTCAAATTTCCAGAAGTAAATCTCTAATTCAGGACTGATGTTAATCAGTGTGGAGGCAAAATATAACAAAAAACAGATGTTACTATCAAATCCAGTGTCAACATTCAAGGTCTTGAGCCTCTTCAAACCAATGGACTTTGAGCAGACAAAGATCCAGCTCAACATCAATTTGCCAGTGGGAAATGATGGTGTGAACCTGGCTGATGTAACACTTCTGATTGATGTTGACTTGAACAATCAAGTTTGGTGCATGTGTCCAGGAATGGGAGGACGTGATGTGATGTCCATTGAGGATCACGTAGTCATGGAATCATGCATGTGACTGAAGAAAATTTGGAGTGGACAGTGAATATGACATGATGCTGACAATGTTCGCATGTGGATGAGTCATGTGGTAGTAGTGAAGGAGGTGTTTTTGCTGTTCAAGGTCCAGTGATGACAACAATGCAGGACTCAATGAAAACCGAGTGCTAGCTGGGTCAAAGAACTACATCAGGGTAGCTTGAAGGGTTAGGGAACATGGACCTTGCTGGGCAACATCATCAACTTCACTTGCAAGTGATGCTACAGTTCCACAAGTATCACTATCAGTAGTTAGAATGGCTTTGACAGCATCAAAGAGAAATGAATCTTCGGCTGATGGAGGCTCATTGGATCCAGCATTTCAAGCAAGTAAATTCATCATCTGTTGGACATCACAGTTGAGTGTAGAGTATTCATAAACAAAAACAGAAATGATATTACCATAGTTCAAAGTTTTGTGTCACGAGTAAATGCACGAAAAAATGAAATTTCAATCTTGCCATCACCATGATTATTTGTTGAATAACTCTTGAGAACTTTGTTAAGGCACTCGAAAAGAAACATCCAGAAGCCATAAATGGGACCATAATCCTCCAGCTGTTCAAAGATGTGTGTCACCCAGTGGTGAGAAGGTTTGACATGCTTTGGATGAATCTAAAGTTCATATGAGATTAGAATACTCATCTGGTATTGAGCAAGAGAACTGCCATGACTTACCTCTAAGAACCTGAGAAGATACTTATTAAGAAGCTCCTTTGCTTGGGGGATATCAGTGTCACTGATGCTCCATCCTAGAATGATTTTCAATGCTGCTGCAAGATTCAAGAAATTGTCAGCATCATCAGCATGCATCGCCATATCCTTCAGATGAGTGGGAGGTTCATTATCCTTTCTGTTCTGCGCTTGTTTGCCTGATGCAACTCTTCGTATGCGCACCTGCTCCCACTTCTCCCAGCTCTCTATCTCCTTCTGATTTTGCTTCATATTAATTGGATACCATTTTTCCCAGACCAACAGGATCTTTGATAATGTGTTAGTATGTAAGAAGGGACAGACACAACAACAACATATGATGATAGGACAAAAGATGAGTGCCAAGCCTTTCCACTTGTCAGATGTGAGAGACCCTCCTGCTGGATACCCAACTTGATCTGGTAGTCATGCAACCCAAGATGGCATCTCAAACTGACAATGTAAGTTAGCTCTCATATAAGTCCAAGGAAGCATGCACATACCATAGATAAGAGTCGATGAATTTCATCAAGTTCATGTTCAACCTTGGCTGTCTTCTGACGCAGCACATTTGTTTGAACCCATGCATTGAACCATTGAGTTTTGATGATACCTGGTGATATAAGTAAGCCTTGTGAAAGGTTGCAATCAACTCACCAAGTAAAAAACAATGCATAGGATCAATGACAGTCATTCAGACAGGATCAAAATATGGCAGGCAAGCAAGCTCAAACCACCATGCACTATGCTTTGTAAAAAAGTCATCTTGCTCCTTGGGTCCAAGGCTGTTATATTCTTCAGCATGCTTTCGATGCTGCTATCCATCTCAACGTGGAAATTCTACAAGGTAGTGTTAAACTGGCATGTCAATGGTGACAAGCATGAAACAACTTACTATCATACTCCATTGCATCTTCTGTTTTCAGCTTTGACTGTGGAATGTGACAACATGAGCAGAATCCTTCTTTTTTACTATGATTACCAAATCCACAGACCTTGCACATCACTGGATGGTTGCAGCATACTGCAACAAGAATTACATATACATGTCGCCCTGAAAAGTAGGTCATTAATATTATGCCAGGGACATACATAAAACCGCAACTGACCTTCTGGATATTTTGAAGTCTTGATGATGATTCCCTTGTCATAAAGCTGCAATAGATCATCAACATAATCCTTCATGAAAAATTGGAGCTGATCAGAATCAAGCTCCTTGGGACCTGGGGAAATGCCGTATAAAATCAAGTTACATGGTCGATAGCTGCCCAACAGAGAGTTTAAGAGACGAGGGAGTCTAGAGGACATGGAAACACACCACAGATGAGTGGGTAGGTTCGCAACACAACTCGACATTACACCAGAGCTGTGTGACCCTGCATTACTGCTGTGCTGATAGTTGAACCTAAATCAATGTCTTTATGAGCTGTCAAATAGATACCTGAATTTCCATGAGTCTCACCCATCAAAGCCAAGTGTTATCCCAATCCATAGCTCATCAGCATCCTGACGTTCAGCCGTGTTATTGAAGAATAGGTTTCTGTCTGTCCCTCATAACATCTTCCAGATCTCACCATCTTGAATAGATGAATGCTTCCCAGGAGTAGTCAGTTGAGATCGCCAAGCATCAAGTTGCAGTTCTATACCATCTTGAGATAGAAGCTGAAGAATGTCATTTGAAAGTGGGTTTTGAGGGCAGCGAAGCTTGGGCTTCATAGTCAAGCGGGATGGTTTAGTTGCTGTGGGAATGTCTTGTGGACGAGTCTCGTGACAAAGCGGTGTGCTGCAGTGTGTGCATACAGTGTCTGAGGGAGAATTATGGGGAAAAACCCTCATGCAAGTAGGACACATTGGGTGGACCTCAAAATAGTCTGCCAATGCCAAAAGAGCAAAAGCAGTATTCAGCATCTGAGCTGGCTTCTCTTCAAGAGTGAAAACACCAAGTCCATAGAAAATAGACACTGTGACCTTCAGAAGAAGGTTAGCTGCACAGTGAGGTAAATGATAGCATAGATTAAGCCACACCACCAAAATAAGTATGATTTTCCAAAACCAGTGCTGTGAAGCACCATCGAGGATAACATCAGGGGAAAGTGAAGGCTCCAGCAGCTCATTCACTGGCACTGGCAATGCTGGCTGCATGTCAGGTACCTGGACAGAAGATGGAGGGACTTTGGGTTGCTTGTCAGATGATTCTGTGCCAGTTAGAGGATCTTTGAGGCTGGCATGTCAGAGGAGAGTGGCCAAATTTTGGTTGAGTAATTGGTTCAGGCTCTGACCAGGTTTCTGAGGAGGTAGTGAATGGGACATCTTGTTGTTGTGGTCAGCATCAGCCCTCTGTTCTTCCACAGAATCATTCATGAAATCAATGACATCAATGTCTGAGTGTGCTGGGAATTCCTCACCCATAGGAAAATCAGTGAGAGATTGTTCAAGTAGGACAGAGTCGTTGTCTGCATCAGAGGAATGCTCAAGGGGTTGCATGGAGTGATGTGGGCTATGATAGGACAGATCTTCAGCTTAAAGGGCGAGTTGATCTCTCCACACATGCAAAAACTGATAGCATATACCTGCAGGAAGTTTCATAACGGCTGTTGAGCAAGCTGCATTTCCTGGATCCTTTGCTTTCCTGTGAGCAGCTGCTATCTCCTCAAATGAAACCAACTCATTGTCATCATTGTCGTCATCATCATCACACTGCGCTCTCTTGATGCCCATCTTGCAGTGTTTTCTCTCTAACCATGCAGGTAGCTTCTTGCCCTGTTTCCCACACTCTTTTATACAGGGTGCACAGACACAATATATTTGACACTTGTGAGTGTCCTATCATGCAGAGACTTGATTAGACACAATTATAACTATGCATGCAAATGAAAACCCACTTTCTTTGCCTTCTGCACACCTTTTCTTGGTTTCAAACCTTTCAGCATGATGCATGAGATCTCAGCGCTGGATGTTTGCTGGATGTTGCAAAAGTGCCTTGTTGATGGGAGAACAAACCCTTAACAACATGGCACAATGGACTTGGGAATTTTTTTAGGGCAACGAGGTGGCCAATGTTAGTATATTGATGCAGGTCTACCTATGAGTTGTTAAGGTCGTACTCAAGGGATAACTGGATCCAAAGGGCTTCAGCCTCAGCTCATGCACTGTGCCTTACCTGAGTATTGCCCCTTATTTCAGGAAGACAAGACTAACATGTCCAGAAGGTCGGACGAGTATTGTAACGGATCCAGATGACTTATGGATGCAGGATAGGTATCGTAGGGCTAATCCAGACAAGTCCAGACTAGAAACTAATGGTAATAGACTGTTGGAGACAGAGGTGGATACAGATAGACTATAGGAATCAATCCTAAGTCTCAGAGGGTGACAAGAGTAGAGATACTCAAGTCCAGAGGACGGGAATGAGCAGAACTAAGATGATATTCAAACTGAGGCACTACAGAAAGTTACAGGAGGTTATATACTATAGGTATCTAACAGAATGATCAATCAGCAGAGTCTGAGGCTATGTACAAAGCATGTAGATAGTCTATTGGTAAGTAGAAATGGATCACAAATCATGAAATGGAAATGAAACATAGGTAGCAGATCAGGGAGCAGGACAGATATACAGATAACTGAAATACCAGAGTTAGGGGGTTACCAAAAGGAGATGAGCACTGGTTGTGGATTTGGATGAGTTGTGGACCAGACCAGATGAGTGGACAGATTGAATGACGAGATGTTGGAGGGAGATAAGATGTGGATCTGAGATGAGATAAGGGTCAGATCTGAGATCCGGATATGCAGATATGACATGAGTACATGTTCTTGCCTTTGCTGGACAAGGGCAATAGCTATGCAAAATTTCCCAAGAGTTGCCCAAGTTGTTTGCTGAAGGTGAGCAGACATGGACGTGTGTGTCCAAAGCTATGCTGGAACAGAAAAAGGAGGGATGAGTGGTGTGTGATACACCTTTGGTGAGGTGGCATTGTCTGAGTTGTGCAGCACACTGATTTCTAATGATACATGTGGCCACCGTGCACATCAGGATAGTCTATCTATAGGGATCTACCCACATGGCATCCACATCAACCCAAAATGCAGTGATTGGTGTTAGAGTACAAGAGATATACAGCCAACATAACACTGAGGTACAGTGTTAGTCAACCAAAATGAATGCCATCACCTGATATTTTTTCACAGCTCCCACCAAAGAGTGTGGCTGGTACAAAACAACAACAGACATTGTTAGACTCTGCAGTATGTTGCATGATGTCATTCAATGTGATTTGAAATTAATTTAGCACTGGCAGCTTTTGACATCAAGGAATAATTCTGAGACTGTTGAATCATCCACAGGTGGCCGTCCTGTCCACACCCTAATGCAAAAACTTGTAATCAAGACAACCATCATGTCCAAAGATGGCAAAACAAAAGTTTCCTGGAAGTGCATTTCATGTGAGGTGGACAAAGATATTCACCTTGGCTCTCCTTTATTGCATGATTTGATCTCCACGGTACCCATCGTTGGCTCCCAGAATGTTCGAGTGGCCCAGGACACTGTTCCTGTGTCGAACGGGGGGGCAACCAATTGGAATTTCTAATTTTTAACAATTATTCACCATGAAAACTTTGTTCACACTGTTGATAAATGGTCCGAGGCGGTCTGTTTATAAACAGCTGTTGAAAAGTCTTGACGATTTTTCAACCGTACCCTAACCGGGGACGGAAAAATACTTATCTCCGCGGCATTCGATAACTCCATTAGGACATGGAATACAACAAAGTGGGAGCAAATCGCAGTGCTGGCTTATAAGCACACCCATGCTATTTTTGCAATTGCAATATTACCGAATGGCCGCATCCTTGCAAGCGCATCGTTCGACAACACTGCGCGATTATGGAACCTCCAGAACGGACAACCCATTGGTTCACCCCTGCAGCATGCAGATGTAGTACGCTGCGTGTCATTTTCTGCAGATGGAAAGCTACTAGCAACTGGCTGCGAGGACGGAGACGCATATACATGGGATGCTGCTGCAATCCTTAGAGAGGCTGGCCTTGATGACCTTCTTCCGGATCCAAAGGTGAGTTGACAGGCAATGTATCACATTCTCGCAACTGAACGCGCTCTGCCAGGCAAACAAGTCGTCACTCCATGTATGTGACACCTTCATTAAATGATCTCGTTGTGCTCAACATATACACTCTACTAGGCTAATGCTACACGACGTCCGGCTGCTTATCGGGCACCCCAAGGTTTTTTCGATGGAGTCTTACCGGGTGTCCGTCATCACTTTAACTCCAATTTTGTTTTCCTGACCTTCATGTTATCAGTTCTCTGCACGAAGCCGTCCCCACTCCTCAGCACCGCCAGGCAGCACGTTTCTTCGCCGCTTATTTCGCCTCAGCCCCTCTAATGCCCATGATACATCACCGTCCTCCCCTCTCGACTGGGCTCGAAGCCTTTTGAAACAGCGTAAACAACGTTCTGAAGGCACCGAGTTGCAAGGGTGCAGTCCTGCAATTGTTGAAGTTCCGTATGCAAAGGGCAAACGTGTATGTTTTTCTCTCTCTTCCATCGTTCAACCTTACCTAATATCACGTAGAGAAACGCTTCAGCGAGGGAGGTTGCGTTAGCGAAACAGAAGCAGGCAATGAAAGCGTCGCAGTCCAAGAACTCTACTGCAGGCGGCTCACGGCCTCCCAAGTCCAATGCCACACAGCAATCTGGCACAGCAACTCAGCTCTAACCAGCTGTCTCTACCATACCTGCTGTTGGCAATGGTGCTGCGGCTGCAAGCTCAACGCCCCAACGCCCTGATGTGATGCTCAGACAGGCCGGCCTATGGACTCGCTTCTGGCTCTTCATTGGTTGTTTATCTCCTGAATACCAGGATGGTCGCCATTAATCTACGATTTCCTCGTCGCCTACGAGGATTGCTCGAACATCACACCTCTCGCGGACGAGGTCTGGGTTCTTGCTATGTTTCGAGCTGTCTTTTTGGTACTACTCGCTAAACTCTTGATTGGATTGATATTCACTTACTTCTCCATTTGTAGTCATTGTCGACTAATTTTACTGTGGGGTTTGTGTGAGCGATAGGCTGACGATTGAGTAAATAGACATCTGTGAGAGATCTGGTATATTCTCCTACTTTGATGTATTATCGCAGAAACGGAGGTGACCAACTCACCTGGGTGATCATGTCTATATAATCGCTCTGCACATCCGACAGCGATCGCGTTTTACACGACATGCACAAGCGTCCGTTCTGACGTCTCGTCTTGCTTCTGCTTCCTATACTTTCTCACCCTGCCTATTCACCAGCGTTCATTGGCCATATCGACGCGATCAAGTCTCTTCCTCTCCAATAAAGGCACGTACTTTGCGTTGCGCTTGTACGTCCCTGCATCAAGTGGGACACCAAGGACCAGTTCTCGGCCCAAATTCGAACGAGGGAGTGCGTGAGGCGTCAGCCCTGTCTGACTGCAAGGGAAAGTATTGAGGTGGTGAAGAATGGTATTGGGTATCAGCTGTGAGGAAGTGCTCGTCTAGTGAGGGAGCATTGATGGATGGGATGGAGTTGGTGATGCCGGTGCCACTCTGTACCGTTATCGTCTGTTTGCTATATGACATCTGAGTCTGCGTGTGCGCAATCCCAGAGCATGAGAGGGAAGAGCGCCTGCCATCTGACACTCGGGTTTGCATATACGAAATCTGACTCTACGATATCGAATAAGCACACCCGAGTATCACCATGGACTCTGGAGACACGAGACTGATCGACAATGATCTGTGCGCGCATAACGCAGCGTAATCTATTTTCCTGATTTCTGTACCGTCGTCGTCCATTTGCAATGTGACATCTGAGCTGTGTGCGTAATCCCAGAGTATGAGAGGGAAGGGCGTCTGCCATCTGGTACTCGGGTTTGCATATACGAAATCTGACTCTACGATATCGAATACGCACACCCGATTATCACCATAGACTCTGGAGACACGGGATTGATCGACAATGATCTGTGCGCGCACAACACGGCGTAATCTATTTTCCTGGATCAAATTTCAAAAGCACGCAAATGTGATCCTGGGCCATCTGACGGCTACCTATCTACGAGTTCGCCCCCGTCGACGTCAGCATGCCCCGGGATCTAGCGGACGGTCAGTTCAAAGTCGTCTGCTGCTTCTCCCTGTTTTGTTAAATAACCGGTGAGACAACGGGCGCTAGCATGTAGGCAATGCAACTCATCCTCTTATTCAATATTAGAAATGTTGACACATGAGAACGCTTCGCAGCAAACGGCCTCTGATCGTCTTCCCTAGTGGTTGAGAACTAGCTAATGATGAACTCAAGCTTAACAGAATATGATCACATGATGTATGGGCGCTTCAGCTGCACAGCCTATGCTGTGTGCAAGCTGTGAGGCAAACACGAGGATAAAGCATGTACAACGTACCAGGAAGCAGAAGATTCAACACTCACTTGTCAGAAACGTCCATTGTACCCTGCAATCCGCCTGGAGTCATTTTCATCTTTGTGAGTGATGATTTTGGAATATGATGGATGAAAGCTGAGATGGCGTTGCATTCCGTGGTTGAAATTCTGGAGCATGTCATCACCCTCTACCAAGACGAAAGAGACATCATCAATAACGCCTCGCCAGAAATTGAAAGGACACACCGATGCTATCTTGGGCGTCATACACCCTACTCGATGGACAGCGGATCATCACTTGTTCATGGGATGGCTCGCTGCGGGTATGGAACTTGAAGAGTGAGACACAAATAGAGAAGACTGGCGCGATGGATATATTCCAGTGGAGAGTATAGCGTTGTCTCCCGACGGGAAGAAGGTAGTTGGCGGGAGTATGGACGGTGAAGTAAAGTTGTGGGACATCGACACATGCAAGGTCATCGCGAAATGGACGGGACACACAAAGGAGGTGGCATCTGTCTGCTGGAGTAGAGATGGTCGGAGAGTATTAAGCGGATCCAACGATGGGACTGCAAGGCAATGGGACGTGGAAAATGGAGAGACAATCCTCAGGCCAATCGTGACTGGGCACACTTTGGTGTCTGCAGTCGTTTATTCGCCAGACATGACCCTGATGGCAATTGGTGGATGGGATGAGCCTAGGAATGGAAAAAACAGCGGGTCCTCGGTCAAAATTTGGGATGCAAAGACAGGCAAGCTTGTCGCAACTCTCAAAGGACACATACACTCAGTGCACTGCCTGGCCTGGACTGGGGACGGAAAAACGCTTATCTCCGGGTCATTCGATTTCTCGATTAGGACATGGGATACCACCAAGTGGGAGCAAATTGCGGTTCTGAAAGAACACACTCTCCATGTCAATGCCATTGCAATATCACCGAATGGTCGCATCCTCGCAAGCGCATCGGCGGACTACACAGCACGATTGTGGAACCTCGACAATGGACTACCCATCAGTTCCCCCCTGCAGCATGCGGGTGGAGTACGCTGCGTATCATTTTCTGCGGATGGAAAGCTACTAGCAACTGGCTGCGAGGACAAAAACGCGTATACATGGGATGTTGCTGCGATCCTTAGAGAGGCTGGCCTCGATGACCTTCTTCCGGATCCAAAGGTGGGTTGACAGGCATTGTATTACATTCTCACAACTGAATGCGCTCTGCCAGGCAAACAAGTCGGCACTCCATGTATGCGACACCTTCATTGAAAAATCTCCTTGTGCTCAACATATACACTCTACTAGGCTAATGCTACACGGCGTCCGGTCCAGCGACGTCCGGCTGCTTATCGGGCACCCCAAGGTTTTTTCGATGGTGTCTCAGCCAGATGTTCGTCATCACTTTAACTTCGATTTTCTTTTCTTAACCTCCATGTTATCAGTTCTCTGCACAGAGCCGTCCCCACTCGTCAGGCAGCACGCTTCTTCGCCGCTTATTTCGCCGCAGCCCCTCCAATGGCCATGATTCGTCACCGTCCCCTCCTCACAAGTGGGCTCAAGCCCTTTTGAAACGGCGCAGACAAAGTAGTGAAGGTACCGAGCTGCAAGGGTGTAGCTCTGTAGTTATCGAGGTTCCGTATGCGCAGGGCAAACGTGTAGGTTCTTTGTCTTTCTCAGTTCAACTCCACCTAAAATTACGTAGAGAAACGCTTGCGCGAGAGAGAAACGGAAAAGACTATCGCCCTTGAAGAACCCTACTGCAAGGAGCTCACGACCTTCCAAGACCAATGCCATGCAGCAATCCAGCGCAGCAACTCTGAGTCAGACCCAGCCATCTTCACAACCACAGCCGGCTGTCTCCAATTTGTCTACTGCACCTGCTGTCGGTGATAGTACCGCAGCTACAACTTCAGCGCCCTCGCGCCCTGACGTAGTGCTCATACAGGCTGGGCTCTGGGCTCGCTTCTGGCTCTTCATTGGTTGTCTGTCTCCTGAATACCAGGATGGTCGTCATTAATCTATAATTTCCTCGTCCCCTACAGTGATTTCTCACGCACTTCTAGAATATCACACTTTCGCCGATGGGATCTGTCTCTGCTATGTTTCGACCGTCGTTTTTTTGATACGACACGCCAAGCTCTGGATTGGATTGGTATTCGCTTACTTCTCCGTTTATGGTTATCGCAAACTGATTTACTTTGGGGTATTTGCGTGAGCAATCAGACTCAGATGTTTGTGGTGGATCTGATATATTCCCCTACTTCAATGTAGTATCGCAGAAACGGGACTTGGGCTAATTCTTGGGCTGTTGTGATCGCGTCTTGAACGACATGTACGAGCGTCCACTCTGTCGCATCAGGCGTCTCGTCTCGGTTTTGCCTGTTGCCAATATACTTGCTCCCCCTGTCCATTCGCAAACGTTCGTTACATCAACGTGATCAAGTCTCTTCTTCTCCAACAAAGGCACGTACTTGGTACCACGCTTGTGCGTCCTTGCACCGGGTGGGACACCAAGAACCTGTTCTTAGCAAGTTCGAACGAGGGAGTATGATGGTATCAATTCTGTCTGACTGAAAAATAAGGGAGCGTTGATAGATGGAATGGAGTTGGCGATCTCTGTACCGTCGTCGTCCATTTGCCATGTGACATCTGAGTTGTGTGCGTAATCCCAGAGTATGAGAGGTAAGGGCGTCTGCCATCTGATACTCGGGTTTGCATATACGAAATCTGACTCTACGATATCGAATACGCACACCCGATTATCACCATAGACTCTGGAGACACGGGATTGATTGACAATGATCTGTGCGCACATAATGCAGCACGGTAACCTGTTTTCCTGGATCGAGTTTCGGAAGTACGTGAATGTGATCCTGGGCCATCTGACGGCTACCTATCTGCGAGTTCGTCCCCGTCGAGGTTAGCATGCCCCGGAATCTACAGGATGGTCAGTTGAAATCGCCTGCTGCTTCTCGCTGTTTCGTTAAACAACCAGTTAGATAGCGGGCACTAGTATATAGGCCACGCAACTCATCCTCCTATTCAATAGTAGTAGATATTGAGGACGGGCGAGGATGTTTCACAGCAAACGGCCTCTTATCTTCCCTTGTGGTTGAGAACTTGCTATTCATGGACTGAGGCTTAACGGATTGTGATCATATGATGTATGGGCGCTTCAGCTGCACAGCCTATGCTGTGTGCAAGCTGTGAAGCAAACACGAGGATAAGATGTACCACTCTACAACGTACCAGGAAGCAAAGAATTCAACTCTAACTTCACAGAAACGCCCATTGTACCCCGCTATCCACTTGTCGTTGTTGTCTTCGTAAGTGATGATTTTGGAATTTGATGGATGAAAGCTAAGATGGCGTTGCACTCGATGGTAGGAATTCTGCAGCATGGCTTTACCCACCACCAAAACGAAAGAGGCATCAGTAATAACGCCTCGCCAGAAATTTGAAGGACACATTGATGGTGTCTGGGGCGTCATACACCTGCCAGGCGGACAGCGGATCATCACTTGTTCGTTTGATGGCTCGCTCCGAGTGTAGAACTTGGAGAGCGGGAAACAGATAGGAGAAGACTGGAGAGATGGAAAAAGTGCAGTTGAAAGTATAGCATTATCCCCAGATGGGAAGAAAGTGGTTAGTGGGTGTTTGGATGGTGCAGTGAGGTTGTGGGACGTCGACACATGCAAAGTCATCGCGAGATGGACGGGGCACACAAACCCTGTGTGGTCTGTCTGCTGGAGTCGAGATGGTCGGAGAGTGTTAAGCGGATCTTCTGACGGGACTGCAAAGCAATGGGATGTGGAAAGTGGAGAGGTAATCCTTGAACCGATCATAATGACTCGCCCGGAATACAGCCAAGTGTTAGCAGCCGTCTACTCGCCAGACACGACCTTGATTGCAACTAGTGGACGTGGCTATGATGGATCCTGGACTGGAGCACCTGTCGGGTCTTCGATCACAATCTGGGACACAAAGACAGGCGAGCTTGTCGCAACTCTCGAAGGACACATGGACGCAGTCCGTTGCCTGGCTTGGACCCCAGATGGAAAAACGCTTATCTCCGGATCATTTGATAACTCCATTAGAACATGGAATACCACCAAGTGGGAGCAAATCGCGGTACTTGTTGAGCATACTTTTCCTGTCTATACCATTGCAATATCATCGAATGGCCGCATCCTCGCAAGCGCATCGTTCGACAGTACAGCGCGATTGTGGAACCTCGACGATGGACAACCCATCGGTTCATCCCTACAGCATGCACGACCTGTTCAATACGTATCATTTTCGGACGATGGAAAGCTACTGGCAACTGGATGCTCGGACCAAAACGCGTATACATGGGATGTTGCTGCCATTGTTCGAGAAGCGGGACTCGACGACCTTCTTTCGGATCCAAAGGCGAGTTGACAGGCATGTTTCATTGTATTACATTCTCGCAACTGAACGTGCTCTGCCAGGCCAACGAGTTGGCGCTCCATGTACGTGACACATTCATAGAAAGATCTCGTTGTGCTAATATATACACCCTAGTCTGATGCTACACGACGTGCGGTCCAACGACGTCCACCTGCTTATCGGGTACCCCAAGGTTTTTTCGATGGAGTCCCACCAGATGGTTCTCAAGTACGTTCTTGCTATTAGTGTCACTTCGTTTTTGTTCAACTTCGTGTTTCCAGTCCCCTTCACAAAGCGGTCCCTCACTCCTCAGAACCGCAGGCAAGGACACTTCTTCGCCGCTTATTCCACCGCAGCCCCTCCAATGCCCAAGATACGACGCCGTCCTCTTCGCTCGACTGGGCTCGAAACCTTTTAAAACTGCGCAAACAAGGCGGTGAAGGCACCAAGTTGCAAGGGCGCAGCCCCGCAGTTGTCGAGGTTCCATGTGCGCCGGGCAAACGTGCAAGTTCTTTCTCTTTCTCAGTTCAACGCCCCCTAACATCACGTAGAGAAACGCTTGCGCGAGGGAGAAACGGAAAAGACTAATACCTTTGAAGAGTCCTACTGCAAGTAGCTCACGGCCTCCCAAGCCCAATGTCACGCAGCAATTCGATATAGCAACTCAGACTCAGCCATCTTTGCAACCACAGCAAGCTGCCTCCAATTCGCCTACCGCACCTACTGTCGGTGATAATACTGCAGCTACGGCTTCAACGCCCTCGCGCCCTGACGTAATACTCAGACGGGCTGGACTCTGGACTCGCTTCTGGCTCTTTATTGGTTGTCTGTCTCCTGAATACCAGGATGGTCGTCATTAGCATACAATTTCCTCGTCCCCTACGATGATTTCTCGCTCGCCTCTAAAATATCACACCTCACGTCGATAGAGTCTGTTTGTTTGCTATGTTTCGATCGTCCTTTTTCGATACGACACGCTAAGCTCTGGATTGGATTGATATTCGCTTACTTCTCCGTTTATAGTTATCGCAAACTGATTTACTTTGAGTATTTACGTGTGAGCAATCAGATGACGATTCATTAGATGTTTGTGGTGGATCTGATATATTCTCCTACTTCAATGTAGTATCGCAGAAATGGGACTTGAGCTAATTTTTGGGCTGTTGTGTGATCGCGTCTTAAACGGCATGTACGAGCGTCCACTCTATCGCATCAGGCATCTCGTCTCGGTTTTACCTGTTGCCAATATACTTGCTCCCCCTGTCCATTCGCAAACGTTCGTTACATCGATGTGATCAAGTTTCTTCCTCTCCAACAAAGGCACGTACTTGGTACCGCGCTTGTGCGTTCTTGCACCGGGCGGGACACCAAGAACCTGTTCTTTGCAAGTTCGAACGAGGGAGTATGAGGTATCGATCCTGTCTGACTGAAAGGAAAGTACGTATTCAGGTAGTGGAGAATGAATTGATGATATTAGGTGGCAGTTGTGAGGAAGTGTTTGTCTAGGACTGTGGATGAGGGAGCGTTGATAGATGTAATGGAGTTGGCGATCTCTATAGCGTCGTCGTCCATTTGCCATGTGACATCTGAGTTGTGTGCGTAATCCCAGAGTATGAGAGGTAATGGTGTCTGCCATCTGATACTCGGGTTTGCATACACGAAATCTGACTCTACGATATCGAATACGCACACCTGAGTATCACCATAGACTCTGGAGACACGGGATTGATCGACAATGATCTGTGCGCGCATAACGCAGCGTAATCTATTTTCCTGGATCAATTTTCGAAAGCACGTAAGTGTGATCCTGGCCCACGAGACAGCTACCTATCCGCGAGTTCGTCTCGTCGACGTTAGCATGTCCCTGGATCTACCGGGCAGTCAGTGTAAAGCGGCCTGCTACTTCTCGCTGTTTCGTTAAATAACCGGTCAGATCACGGGCGCTAGCATGCAGGCAACGCAACTCATCTTTCCATTCGACAGCAGTAGACATTGAGGACGCACGAGAACGCTTCACAGCGAACGGTCTCTCGTCTTCCCTAGTAGTTGAAAACTAGATAATTATGGACTGAAGCTTAATGGAATGTGATCAGATGATGCTTGGGCGCATCAGCTGCACAGCCCACCATGCTGTGTATAAGCTGTCAAGCAAACAGGAGGATAGGGCATATAAAACCGTACCAGGAAGCAGTGAAGTCAACTCTGACTGGACAGAAACGCCCACTGTGCCCTGCTATTCGCTTGCGCTGTTGACAGTTGTCTTCGTAAGTGATGATTTTTGAATTTGAAGAATGAAAGCTGAGATGGCGCTGCACTCAGTAGTAGGAATTCTTCAGCATGTCTTCACCCACTACTAAAACGAAAGAAAAATCAACGATAAAACCCCACCAAAAATTTGTAGGACACACTGGTGCTGTCTGGGACGTCAAACACCTGCCGGGCGGACAGCGGATTATCACTTGTTCATTGGAAGGCTCGCTTCGAGTGTGGAACTTGAAGAGCGGGAAGCAGATAGGGGAAGACTGGAGAGACGGAATATGTGCAGTGTACAGTATAGCGCTGTCTCCGGACGGGAAGAAAGTGGTTAGCGGGAGTTCGGACGGTGCAGTGAGGTTGTGGGATATCAACACATGCAAAGTCATCGCGAGATGGACGGGACACACACAGGCTGTAAGATCTGTCTGCTGGAGTGGAGATGGTCAAAGTGTGTTAAGCGGATGCCACGATGGGACTGCAAGGCAATGGGATGTGGAAAGCGGAGAGATCATCCTCGAACCGATCAAGACTGGGTGGAGTCCTGCGCACGCAGTCATCTATTCTCCAGACATGGCTTTGATTGCGACTAGTGGATCGGATTATGATGTTATTGAGCTGCACTTCATCAGCATCTGGGACGCAAAGTACAGGCAAGCTTGTCGCAACTCTCAAGGGACACACAGGGGAAGTGATTTGCCTGGCTTGGACTGCGGACGGAAAAACGCTTGCCTCCGGGTCACGGGATGGCTCCGTTAGGACATGGAATACAACCAAGTGGGAGCAAATTGCAGTGCTGGATAAGCACACCCATGTTATCTTTGCCATTGCAATATCACCGAATGGCCGCATCCTCGCCAGTCCATCACGCGACAACGCAGTGCGATTGTGGAACCTCGACAATGGACAGCTCATCAGTTCACCATTCCAGCACACAACTCAAATTGACTGCATATCGTTTTCCGCAGATGGACAGCTACTAGCCACTGGCTGCTTGGACAAAAACGCGTACACATAGGATGTTGCTGCGATTGTTAAAAAAGCCGGCCTCGACGACCTTCTTTCGGATCCAAAGGTGAGTTGACAGGCACGTCTTATTGTATTACATTCTCACAACTGAACGCACTCCGCCAGGTCAACAAGTCAGTACTCCATGTAGGTGACGCCTTCATTAGAAAATCTCATTGTGCTCAACATATGTACTCTAGTCTGATGCTACGCGACGTCCGGTTCAGCGACGTCCTGCCTGCTTATCGGATACCCCAAGGTTTTTTTGATGAAGATCGTTCTCAAGTACGTTCTTGCTATTAGTATCACTTCGTTTTTATTTTTCAACTTTGTGTATCTCAGTTCTCTGCACAAAGCGGCTCCCACTTCTCCTCAGAATCACAGGGAAGCACACTTCTTCATCGCTTATTTCGCCGCAGCCCCTCAAATGCCCAGGATACGTCACCGTCCTCCCCTCTTAAGTGGACTCAAGCCCTTTTGAAACGGCGTGGACAAAGTAGTGAAGCACCGAGTTGCAAGGACGCAGTCCAAGTCGTTGAAGTTCCGTGTGCACCAGGCCAACGTGTATGTTCCTTCTCTTTTTCAGTTCTACTCCACCTAATTTCACGTAGAGAAACGCTTGCGCTAGGGAGAAACAGAAAAGACCGTTGCCCTGGAAGAACCCGACTGCAAGCAGCTCACGGCCTCCCAAGCCCAATGCCACACAGCAATCCGGCACAGCGACTCAGACTCAGCCATCTTCGCAACCACAGCCAGTTGTATCTACCGCACCTGCTGTCGGTAATAATGCCGCGGCTACGAGTTCAACGCCCTCACGTCCTGATGTCATGCTCAGACAGGCTGGAATCTGGACTCGCTTCTGGCTTTTCATTGGTTGTCTGTCTCCCTGAATACCAGTATGGTCATCATTAGCCTACGATTTCCTCGTCCCCTATGATGATTTTTCGCGCTCCTCTAAAATATTACACCTCCTGTCGATGGGGTCTGCCTCCCTACTATGTTTCGAACTCTGATACCACTCGTCGAGGTCCGGATTAATGTATTCATATTCGCTTACTTCTTCGTTTGTAGTTGTCGCAAATTGATTTTACTTCGGGGAATTTGTGTGAGCGATATGACAATCATTAATCAGACATCTGCGATAGATCTGGTATATTCTCCTACTTCCATGTAGAATTGCAGAAACGGAACTCGGGCTAATTCTTGGACTGTTGTGTGATCGATAGCCTGGGCGATCATGTCTATGTAATTACTAATCGCTCTGCCCAACCGACAGCGATCACATCTTAAACGACATGCACGAGCATCTGCTCTGACGTGTCGTCTTGCTTGTGCTTCCTATACTCGCTCACCCTGCCTGTTCGCTAACGATGGCTACATCTATGTGATCGAGTGTCTTCCTCTCTAACAAAGGCACGTACTTTTCGCCGCGCTTGAATGTCCCTGCACCGAGTGGGACACTAAGGACCTGTTCTCGGCCCCAAATGCGAACGAGGGAGCGCGAGGTATCAGTCCTGTCTGACTGAAAAGGGAACTATTGAGGTGGTGAAGAATGATATTGGGTAGCAGCGATGAGGAAGTGCTCGCCGAGGACTGTGGATGAGGGATGGAATGGCGTTCATCAGCAAAACCCTGATTTGGGTACAGCGCCACAGCCACACAGCGTGTCACAGGTCACATAGATTTTGTTGTAAAGGCTCTGCAGCACCACACAAGTATTGATTCTATGTAAAAATGAGTGTGATGTAGTCATAAACATGTATATAACAAGATGGTGTGCTAATAATTATGTTTTATTGAGAAATTGTGTAGTGTGCAGCACTGTACAGCGCTGTACATGGGGGGACCTCGCTGTGACACTGTGATTGCTGTGCAGCGTTGTGCAGTGCTGCACATAGGGTTAGGGTTTTGCTGATGTTGGTGATCGATTGATCTCTGTACCATCGTCGTCTATTTACTGTGACATCTGAGTCGTATGTGAAGGGCGTCTATTATTTAATACTCGGGTTTGCGTATAGGATATCTGACTCTACGATATCGAATATGCACACCTGATTGTCACCATGGACTCTGGAGAATATAAGCAATGATCTGTAAGCGCATAATTATAACGCGGAAGTAGTACGTAAGTAGGCGCAGTTGCCCAACTTGGCGTCGAGCACGTTTCACATGTATAGTACTCTTTCCTTGTGCACACCATCATGCCTTCATCTTCAGAACAAAGCTTCAGATCAAATCTCTCTCAGTTCCGCTGGGCAAGAGGCGTCACAGACGACTCTCAACAAACACAGCAACCACTCCCATCATCAAACCCATTTCTCCCGCTTCTACAACGCCCTAGCAGGTGACTATATCCCTCTCAGATCCGATGAACGCTCCAACGAAGACGAGGCATGGTTTGCTCTATCCCGTTGGGAGAGGTACTGCGTTTAAAACTTACTCATACCACCACTCTTCTCAACGCAGACTCAAATCTCCAGACTGCTCGGGTTTGGTGCATCCTTGTTAGGCGCAGCAGTCTGCTTCTTCGTCGCTTTCATGACCCTCCCTTTCATCGCCCTCAATCCCGCAAAATTTGCTTTGGCATTTAGGTATGCATAGGCCTTCATTCTTCATCTTCCGGTCGATAACTCCCTCGCAGTTTGGGGAGCTTGCTCGTGATGTTCGGGTATGTCCTGCCTACTCCGTGTCGATCCGAGCGGTCATAACTGATTATCATATTCAAGTTTCTCAGTCCTCATAGGACCATTAAACCATGCAAAACATTTAATTTCAAAAGAGCGACTACCATTCACCCTCGTCTATTTCTCAAGCTTGGGATTGACCCTCTATTTCTCCATCAGCGTGAGTCTACAGTCCTTCACCTTGAGACTCCATTTCAATAACTCCTATTAGGTTCACTCGTACTTGGGTTCGCTACTAGCAGGTGTCGTCCAGGTAGTATCTCTAGTAGCCTATGTCTTGGCGTACTTCCCAGGAGGTACACAGACATTACGCTTTGGTGGACAAATCGCTCTTCGTGGAGCAGGAAGCCTGCTACCTTTCTGAGCAACAGTGATGACAAAAACCCAATCAACACGACTGTATCCTCACATACAATACCTAAATCTAGTGCTTGCTCCTTATTCATTCCCACGACGTCAATCAATCAATCATAGGCGCGGTGGGGTACTTTTGAAAACAACAAACAATGACAACAACAAATGATCTACTCCAGAGCCTCATGCAACCCAACCGTGTCTCTCAACCTCCGCGACATAATCTCAATATATCCTTGGTATGACTGCCACTCACTTCCCAGCGTATCCACCGTCTGACAGGAACATCACCATCATTAAAAGTCAGACGAGTTCAAGCTAGCGAACATACCAAATCCAACGTTGATAACCTCGCGAGAGCACCAATCAGTTTTTTGCCCGCATTCGCTTTGAACGAATCAGAGTCCGGGGGTGGAAGAAGCTTGAGAGTGCTCTTCATATTTATGACCGGCGCCGAGGTTGCGCCGCTCGACAAGTCGCGCTCCACATAGCTCACGAGATGACGCCAGAGCAATAGTAATACCATCTCAGTAGTGCCTGTGTATGCGTTCGTGAGTATTACCCAGCAATATTAGTATTTCGAGACAATTCTCACCGAGCATGTTTTTAACCTCATCTTGAGCCTCGTTCCTAAACCGCTCATACTCTCTGAATATCAACGACCTTTTCTGTGCAATGTCTAGATCTTGGAGGAATGCGGGATCAGACACGCTGACGATCTGTGCAAATGTAATGTTCAAATCTCAAACAACCCTCGAGAAAGACACGGAGACGTACGTCTTGAATGTTGTCCACTCGAATATGGTCTCGTGAAGATAGTTCAGCAGACAAGTCAGCAATCTGTTTCAACGTCTCTGAAAGATCGTCGCAGAGTCCACTCAGCGCCTCAATAGCATCGCCGACCGTCGGTATCGTGGCTACACCAAGCCATATAAGCAGGCGAGGCGTGACATAGAGAAATTGACTACATACCTACGAAACGAGACGACCGTTCATCGTGTCGAGGAACTGTGACGACAGGAGAAAGCACCAGTGTAATCTCAGGCTCTACAATCAAAAGAAAAAGGTCAGACAAGCGCTCAAACCAAACATCAACCAACTAACCAGTGAATTCACTCGCAGTCCCAAGGTACTCCACGATAGCCTTGAGGAGCAACCGTTCTTGGCGCCTCAAACTCAGATCAAATTGACTAGTCGATCCCTGCCCGGATGCAAAGACGCTAGCTCGCAAAACCTCTGCGTCCGTCTGAGGTTTGATCGCTTGACTCCAGCTTCTGTTTCCCAAGCACCGCGCAGCAAGGCCTAATACAGCGCCATGAATACCACCAAACCCGGAATTCGTCGACATCTAGAACATCGATCATCAGTGGCGAAGCATATGCATGAACGGCGGCTTACCAGCTCAGATTTTGGAACGAGCGTCAGGACGCTCCTGCTCAGCGACACCACGAGGTGGATTTCTTGAACGATTGACAACCCAATCTCTTCAGAATCATTTTTGAGAAGAATGATGATCGTTTCTCGATGGCTTGATAAAAAGTCGAGTGCCTGGTGACAAGTCAAAGTCAATGCACATCCACCAGACAAAAGTCAGAAATCAATCGTACCTGACTACTCGCAGTAGCATGCTGAGCTCCCAAGGTCGTCAACATCGCAGCAACGAGCTGAAGTGCCGGCATGAACAGCTGGTGATATCGCTGAATCGCCGAAGGCAAGAAAGAGTCCTGGTCTTTATAAAACAACTCAGCACGTGAAACCCCTCCGAAGGAGACAAGGTAAACATACCCATAAATGACTGATCCGCTTCTGGTCTCGTATCCAGAAACTCGCATTGACTCAAGACCGGGAAAATTCGAGCTTCAAGTAACCGTTCTGCTCCCGGTCTCGTTTGTGCCATTCGTATCAAGAAGGACATCTTTGACTCGTAAACATATAGAGGATTTAGATCGTCTGCATCCACTCTCTTTAGTTCTCTTCGCAATACAAGTGTACTGCGCACGTACCTGGGTCTGGTTTGAGCACATACTGCATTTGCGACTCCGCTTCCTTCAGTCCCTGGACAAAGTTCGACAAAATCCCATAGCGAACCAAAGACGTAAGGAGCATGCGGGACTTGTCCGAGCGGCACAACTGAGCGAGGGAGTCCAACAACATGAAAGCGACAGTCTTCCAAACTTCAGTGCCATCGATTGCGTCCCGAGATATGATCGTGACCAATCTCTCGAGCACATTTTTCAACGCAGCCAGCGTACCAAGCTCTAGCGCCGATGCATTCGTCGCAGGCTTTGGCGTCCCGCGCATGGATCGAGAATCATTTAGGGATAAATCATCACGCGAAGAGAGAACAGAGAGGGACATCGACATTGACATTGACATCGATAACGAGTGCTTCCCAAACGCCTCCAGTGACGCATCTCCCGAAGATCTCTGGTCACTCCTCCAATAAGGTGGAAGTAATTGATCAAAGAGGCGTATAGGTTGCCACGGACCAATTCGGAACGGTTGTTGTCCAGGATGCAGTCAAGGATGCTGCGAAGAAGCGCATACAGTCTCTCTGCAGGCAAAGAGCCTGCGTCAGTGTCTCCGCCGGCGGATTGTAGCATAACTTGGTGACGTCGATCTTCGCGTAGCTTCGTGATGCAAGACAGCACTGCTTCCGAAAGCAGAACTGCGGTAGGCTCCTGGATGTCGGAGGAACGAATTGCAGTAGGTAGAACGTGCAATAAGTCAAAGAGCATGTTCTCGCGCCTGTCATGCGGCAGACGCTGGAAGCACTTCGTAAGGGTGATGTCCAATACCCTCCACCACGCTTCATATCCGGTAGCAACAGCAAAAGCAACCTCACGGCGATGATTCTCGATTGCACAACTCTCCAAGACGTACGAGGTCTCAGCGTTCAATTTGTCAGCGTGCGCGCTATTGGTGATTCGGCCTTGGGCGTGGAGGGAACGTCGAGCGAGAGTCAACAGGGACAATAGCGAAGATCTATCAACGACTTTCACACCCGGTGCCATCCACACGGATGCAGGACTGGAGGTTCAACTGACCAAGGAGCTCCAGGTCGACAGGATGAACGGTTAAACTGTCTGACCAATCAAAGCCGAGGGACTGCACGGACTCGATGATCCGAAGATGCGACTGGCCCATCTCCTGGAACGGCTGCAACGCATCCACATCCCATTCGAGCACATCCTCGCCAACCATCGCCTCTGAGCCAAATATGATTTGCAAAACCTCCAAAACGCCCTTGTGGTGGCCTTTGCGGGTCAGGACGTGGAGATCAAGCGATACTAAATCTAAGATGCGAGAGCGTACGCCCATGAATGATCGCAGAGCTGATACGCTGGTGATAACGCGAGAACCATCATGATATAGGACCTCGATGACAGGCTCCTCATGCGTTTCCGGGGCTTTGGAAGGTATGGCTGCGAGATGGCGGGCGAAGAAGTCTTCTCGCGTGCGGAGGTACCGCATGGTGGCCTCTGATGTCCGTGGATGCACACAGAGTTGATGAATGACCTGATAGCAGCGCTCTGCCAAAGCAGGGATAGAAATGAACAATGGATCAACCTGATGCGCCAGTCGACGTTCACGTTCGCGTTCTTTGCCTTTGCTGTGCACTCTGGGGACGCCAGCGTTGACAAGATCAAAGATGACGTGAGCACATGTTCTGTGCACACCCAGCGCGTGTGGATCTTGGATTTGATGCTCGTTTTCTGAGCCACCGTACAACAGGAAATGGCCGATGGTGGGATATGGTCGGTTTGATCGCGTGTTCTGGATGAGCAATTCAAGGATGGCAAGTCGTATCGTTTGATCGAGTGATTCTTGTGCTTCTCTATCGGGAGCACCAGCGCCGGTCACCTGTTCAGCTTGTGTTTCACTAGCATCCACATCGTCAAATGACTCGACGCTGAGTAGTTGCTTGAAGCCACTGAGGACACGATCCGAGTCATTGCTACGCTCGACGAGGGTGGTTAGGTTGTTGACCGACGACGACAGTTGCGTGACAATCTTGACAGCGAGAAGGACAAGCTCGGGGTATGCAGGGTACACCACATACGCAGCAATCGCAGGAATATGCTGTGTGCCATACGACAACGCTTGATCAAAACGCTGTATAATATGATCGAGCATGAGCGACGCCGACAAACTGTGAGCCATCAAACTCCGTGAGGAGCGGCACGAGAACGTCAAGGAAGATATCCTGAATATCTAGAACGCGGTGGACGATCCGCAAAACGCGCACGATCGTATTCTTGAAATGCGGTTCTTCATCAGCAAAACCTTTCTCAAAGCCTTCTACGCCATCGACGATAGTACGTCAAGATACTGGTTTGCAACAGTGAATTTGTCAGGAGACGCTGCATTATGTCATATCCTGGATGAACGAGGAGGGGGACAACGGCCTCTCGCTTCAAGACGACATCTTCACCTGACGAGACCAACAGCTCTAGATCGTAGCTGGCAAGGACTCGCTCGACGAAGGATAAGCACAAGTCATTCATTTGCCACCTATCTGAAGGTCGCCTGTACTCTCTCCGGGGGATATTAGCGAAAACATTGTCGATGACGAAGGATATGTAAGGTCCGATTCCAGGAAGACGGTATGGTTGACCAAGGGCATCAGGAATGGTGTTCAGTGGCTCCGAATCTGTGATGAGGTCCTTCAAGGAAAGGCGTTTGGGAGTGTGGATGAGGGTGCCAAGGAGATTGAGAAACGGAATCGTAGCAGGATAGAGCTTGTGAATAGCTTCAACCTCGTCCAACTCCACCTCAACGCCCTTAACGGGATGCAACACTCCGCCAATACGGGAGGAACTTGCACGGACGTTTATAACCTCTAGCCGCTCCATCAACGTCCATACCGATCTGCATATCTCCACTCCAGCAACACCCGCTCCAGGTTCACAAAAAGCTGCTAGGGCGTCAAAAATTGCTCCCTTCAGCTCCAAGGGTATCCCAAGAGGTATCAGCGAGACCAGCGTTGGAATAGCCCTGAAGTGCGTGTTTCCCGAGACCGCGAGGCGGACAGCGACTGAGCACGAAACCACCGTAGATAGAAGGCGGAGGAATGATTGGGCAAGCAAAACATCATTGGGTCCTATTACAATCTGTTTCTGCTGCTGCTGTTGGGAGGCAGCTTGAGACTCGGCGAAATGAGATGACCTGAAACCACTGAATGATGTTCCTAAGTTCTGTTGCGGAGGTGGGTGGGGCTTGGGGCTGGAGGAGGAAACTGCCCAAGATTCTAGCAGAGCGAATATGAGCGTCCAGGACACAGCCGAACCAGCACTGTAGTGAGATGAGCTGGCTGCGAGGCTGCTTCCCGGTACGACTTCTACACCACCTCTAGCAAGGAAATTATATGCAAGCTCGCTGCATTGTTGGCCTTTTGCTAAACCAGACAACATGTCGTATAGCGCAGTGGTCATGACAACATCACGAGTCTGTGTGGACCATACTGCCCACTGAAGGAAAGAAGGAAGCCTGCCTGCGTTAGTTTCCGCGATCTCCAGGTACGTAAGACGATGGGTTTCAGTGAGTGGTGTAGCCCCCCAAAACTGCAGAGCTCGTTCGGGAGGAAGTATGGAGTATAGAAGACCTATAAACGAGTACAGCATGGCGATGTCGTTGCGTGGATTTGCTTGAGAGTCTGAGTCTTGTCCAGAATGTGTCACCGACCGGAATAGACGTGCACTGGCGAGAACGATATCCTCTTGACGTTGTTTGATTTTGCGTAGCTCCGAGGATGCACATGTAATCACCGAGCGCACCAGCGCGTCGCAAGCATTCAGAACGGCCAGCTTAAAGTCTTCATGAGGCGGTTCTCTTAGTTGCTCCTGCTCGGGCATAAGCTCAATGAAGGCAGCGAATGAGGTCGCTGGTGAACTCCTCGACAACTGGATAAGCGCTGTGGTGAGGTACGTAAAGGCATCGCCCTGGACCGCATTCCAAATCTGAGTCTCCAGCTCTGTAGTTTTGAAACCCTCCCTGGCCTCCAGAGAGGGGTCGCGGTGACGAGTCTCGGTTAAGAGGAGAGTCCACTTTAGCAATACAGTTGCTTTTAAACCTGTGTCCTTCCACTCCGTATTGCGGGAGAGCTTCTGCTTCATATATGTTATCATTGCATTGTCTGTAGCTAGGCGTTGGCGATTCTTGCCACCGACAGACGAGGGGTCCACCAAATCAAAGGCAGCCAGAATAGCGGTCAAGACATAGAATGTCATGGCGTCGTTTGGATTCACAGATAGCCAATCGAGGGAAGTGCGAATGTCAGAGACTGTGAGACATCCAAGACGAGCAATCTGGAAGTAGACAGTGGCAAGGTATCGTCTCTCGTATTTGAGTGAGTCGCAGCGTGCACTGAGGATATCATAGCCCAGAGTGGGTGAACCACCTTTGACAATGGTTGATCAGAGACCAACAGCACAACGAAGCAGCACTCACCAGAAGGAGCTACAGTATTGCTCACAGCGCATTGTTTTGCTTGTTGCGCCCGCGCAACTGTGTTCCCCAAGTTCTCCAACTCTTTGAATATTCGTAATGCCAGCGACACCTCTCCTCCTGGTCCCTTCGCAGATAGAACGAGATCCTGCCTAGCAAAAGCATCTAGCCGTTTGTAAAGTCGCGGTGCATCTGGCAACTCAGCCAACTCTGCAGCCTCAAAGATGTAACGCAGACAGTCGACCAAATGACGTCGTCTTTGATGAAATTCAACGACCGTGGCTTCTATGCAACCGACTGGACCGATATTTGGGTTTTCGGTCATGACAGAATGCAGTATACTCGCGATGTATTTCTCGGAGGACTTGAGCTGCTGGGCAAGGAATATTGCCTGCTGAGCAAAATCCGCATTGACGGCAAATGACCTGCCATTGATCGTGATCCGTCCTGCAGATACGCATTGAATTTTACGCGTTGATACAGATTGGCAAAGCACTCACCACTTCGCAGCTCTTGTTGTTCCTGCTGACTGCTCTGTCCTACCTCAAACAGCTCAAGCAGCCTCTGCTTGTGCATCATGAGTTCGTCAAAAAGCTCTTGCTCTCCATGTCCACGAGAGCTGAGACATGTCAAAAGCACGCTTCTGAACCGCGATATGGACTCCATAGCGCAGATCAAGTTGTTTTAGACGAGCGTTTCGTTGGAATTTGGATGTTGTATAAGCGTGGGAATATTGAAGGTCCATCGGAGACCCCGCCATGGACTTTGTAATTTCGGTCGCGTGCTCGCCTCGAGGATGAGTCGTGTTTCCGCTCTTGCTCCTGACCTTTATCTGAGACAATGACTGAAATACTGTACAGACAGTATGTAGGCGAATCTGATTTACCACACATTATGGCGCTCGTGCAGAGTGAGCTCAGTGAGCCGTATGTCATATACACATATCGCTATTTTCTCCATCAATGGTAAGTCTCGTCATTTATTTCGCTTGGCGAATTCGAATCACTAACTTATACCGTTGACTATGTGCAGGCCACAACTTTCTTTTCTCGTGCGTGTTACGACCTCCTTTCATCACCTGAAATGAATCAGACGTGTCCCCTTTCAGGCAATACCTGCGGGATCGTCGGAACCGATAGGCGTCATAGTGTGCAAGCAGAGTATGCACAAGCATGCCTCGAATAGAGGCTACATCGCCATGCTCAGTGTTAGCAAGAGCTGGCGCAAACGTGGTGTAGGTACGCGGTAACCACGTGCGCTTCTACCCAATCATCTGTATTTACCCACCGATTCTAGCAAGCACGTTGGTCAGACGATCGGTGGAGGTCATGAGACGACATGGAGTTGATGAGGTGCGTAATTCATGTTCTATATTTCGCACCTTTGCTAATGCCCAGTTAGGTCGTTCTTGAAACCGAATATGATAATGCGCCAGCTCTTTCCCTCTACGAGTCCTTGGGATTTATCCGCGAGAAACGGCTGTATCGATTTTACCTCAATGGAAAGGATGCGTTCCGTTTGGTCCTCGCCGTCCCTCCATCAGAATTGGATCGAGACCTTCCCCACTTCATGAAGCTTTCTCCCACCAACGCTATTTTCTCCTATCCAGCTGCTTCAGACGACGACGAGGTCTCATATCGTTGATGATTCCCAGTCACACGACCAATATCATTTCCCTCTGACCCTAACATCCTAATCTGGCTTTAGCCATAATGGCCCCTAGCTGTACAACAACAACACCGTCTCAGTTGTATAACCCTGTTTGATCTAGGTTCAACCATTCAACCAACCAACCATTTGTTTCTCACCGTGTCAAGGCACTAGTATACCCCACATACATGTGTAGTGATATTTGTAGTAATATTTTGATGTAGTCCATTGTTCACAGGATCGTGATTCGAATTTCAGATATGAAGTTCCTGTCCCCGGTAGCTTACTACGGCGCAAGATGGTGAGTGAGTGTCGTGGCATCAATGTCGACCTCGCGTGCAGCTAAGAAGGCGAGACTCCCAGCCATTCCGCGGTCACATATCGTACTATATCTGGCGGACGTGTATTGCTTCCGTTGGCCTTATCACGGTTCTCCGTTCTGGGTCGCTTCTGGGGAGGTACTCAAGCTCACAGCCGGCCTGGAAGTTTGTGCCTCAAATTGTCGTATCACGTTCCCGAGGCATCGGATCTCACGCAACTTGCTTATCAACTGACACAAGTGCTCCGGTGCCCTTCGTTGACTGCAGTTCAACATGGTCTTCTCCCCAGCTGCCGGTGTCGCCTCTGCATTACTATTGGTAACTCCGTATACGCCGAACATTGCTACCGTTGAGACCACGCCAGGTTGTTTAACGGACAACTTCTATGGAACATACGGAGGGCGGAGCATTTTCCATCTCCCACCCACTTGCCTCGACACCAGCTCTATCAAAGGCTTATCAACACAATCGGCTTCTCTGTTTCCATATGTCGCCAACGGTGAACGTCAACTTGTATGGCTGCAAGAGTCGGCTATCGACAGTTCCCTGGTAACTCCAGAGTACGAAGCGGAGGTTCAAGGTTTCTTTAGGTGGTTGGGAGAAGATGGATACTCCGCGGGAGGCGGACAACAGTTGCCTGTTCATCAACATTTGCTGTCTTCTGCAGATGAGCCTGGAGTAGAGCTTCACTTGGTGGATTTGCAGCCAGCGGGAGGATCCTATGGACTCATAGCCATCGAACCGAGTCTAGCGCCCAGCATCGAAGCATTGCTCCCTCGCTACTGGAAGCCATACGTTCTACCCAAGCAACCCGCGTCGTATCTCCCGGTCCCCAAACCTGCCATCGAGCATGTCAAGAACCTCCTCGAGACCGTTCGCTTCGATCCAGTCGTATCGTCACTCGTAAACAGCATCTCATTGAATCAGATGCGTGACGACATCAGATGGCTCACGGGTGAGGATGGAAAGTCCGGAATCATCTCCCGCCACTCGTTTGCAGAGGGCTCTCTTGTCGCTGCTAATTGGCTCAAGGAACGTTTTGAGGAGACGGGCGCAACTTGCGAGCTTAAGACTTTCCTGGCGGGATTCGCACCGAACGTGGCTTGGTAAGCGAAGTCTATTCATTCTTGTAGTATTTGCTTAGACAATCCATAAGCAAATACCCTGCGTCGGAGGACACAACGTCCACTGTCCTCATTTCTGGGCATTACGATTCGCGTGGTTCCTTTGGTTCACAGAGGGTAACGTCTCTATCCGTTATCACCGTCTTCGTATTCTAAATATTTATCAGGCTCCCGGAGGAAATGATGATGGCTCAGGCACCATTGCCCTTCTCGGAATTGCACGCGCCGTTGGCCACTCCGGTCTCACTTTCCGCAGCAACGTAGAGCTCATCGCTTTCGCAGGCGAGGAGCAGGGCCTGTACGGTTCAAAGGCTTACGCCCGTGAGTCAACACATGTTTGTGCGCTTCCAAGATCTGACCACTCCATGCAGGCGAGATGCGTGGAAAGGACGCAAACATCACTGTAATGATCCAGGCTGACATGCTTGGGTACCATGCCCCTGGCGAGCCTCCTCAGCTTGGACTTCCCATGTAGTGCGTCATTTTATACCTGATCTAATCAATGGACAGGGACGATGTCTCTCATTTCACAGCATCGGTACTCCAGAAGTGGCTCAACTTGTTTCCAACATGTCAGCCATCTACAGCCCAGAGCTTACTGTGGGCTACTCTGCCGCATGTTGCAGTGACCACCAAGTCAGTTCTATCATTTCATGCATGCGCAAACGCAAGCCAATTCGTGTTGCTTTCCTCTAGTCCTTCCATGAGCAAGGATACGCCTCGACGCAAGTGTTCGAGCGTGCTGGCCCAAGTAAGCCCTAGACGCACATACTTTCCAACGTGCTAATTCGCGTCTACTTAGTTGCGGACCCCATGTACCATAACAGTGGTCGGTTCCTCGCATCTTTCTCATCCTTACCCCATAGCTGATATTCCTGCAGGTGATCTAAGCGAACGTCCCGGCTACGACCTCAGCCAAATTCGCTCGATTGCGAAAGTTCAGGTCCGTCTGTTTATTCAGCACGCTATCATTTTTATCTTAATGACTTTACAGTTTGCTACCCTGCTTCACGCCGCAGGATTCGATCTTCCCGGCGATAAAGATTTGAATTGATGTTATTCTGTTATGTATATTATAGAGTAATGTCTTCATGTATATCCCTTCAAACGAGGAAAGTAAACATTTAAAAAAAATCTCTGCGTGCTTGAACAAGTAAATTGTCGACTTGAAAATGGGTGGCTTTGACTGGACAACGGGTAGTGAGGTTGTGGGATATCGACACAGGCAGGGTCATTGTTAAGTGGACCGGGGGCACACAATCACTGACGTCTGTCTTTCTGCTGGAGTCAAGATGATAAGCGAGTGAGCGGATCTTGAGTAGGACTAATGAAAACGAAACAAAAAACGAATACTCTACGATAGTAAGTATTGACACTGATGCATGTCAACCCTCACGCATTACGTGACTCAGCTAACACAACACAATCAATATACAGACTCGGAATTCGGTAAGATTCCAAACTAATTTAGCTCCTGAGTGAAAGCTCAATCGCTTCGCGATAGACAGTGTACGACCGTAGTATCAATGTTGGTTGATCCTGGTGAAACTGCAAATCCTCAGCCATTGGAACACAATCTGCGTTTTCAAATGCTTTGAGCGTTCTTTATGTTTCCAAAAGCTTCCAACAGCCATAAAGATCGGCGGGTCCACCGCTTTGAAAAAAAATGTTTGTAATTGGTGCAAAAGCCAGCTGCGTCTTGTTAAGATTTCATCGATAGAATGCCCCCTGAACAGCTTGCGGTAACAATCCCAGAGCAAGCGTATCCTGATGCAAGAGTTGGCGCTCCAAACTGAGTTTCATGACAGGAACAAGGACAAAAGACTCCAGGTCATGACTCCACGTCGTATCGTGTCGCTAGCCGGTGTTGCAAGCGGTACTCCTCCTGTTCTGCTGGATCAAGTGTATCCGGGGGTTCACGTGAAAAAGCGAGGGCAAGTGGATGCAAACGGGCGTTGAACTGATGGACCTATGACGGGTGGCAAGGCTACTTGTTGAAAGTAGGGTAAAACAGCAGCGTGCTGTCAGTCAATAATACCTTGTGTAGTTGACGCCAACGCAGTTCATCAATCCTTTCTCAGCACCACCCCATGTCAGAATGCGCGGGACAGGCAGCTGGAGAACCTCGCGAGCAAACTCAAGGGTTGCCACCTCACTGGCGGTTGTAAGATAGGAAGGTCCAGCTACAGGGCATGGTATGCGCGCGATGACCTGGATCTCATTGTCGAGAAAACGCCATGTTATAAGATCCTGATGGGAAGAAAACTCTGCATGAAAAAGACGTCGTGAAACCCAATTCCATCACCTTCACTCGATTTGCTACTACAGTGCAACTCCGCGCGTCCACTGCCTTACAAGCAATGTCGGAAAAGCTATCGACGTCGAACTTGACATACCGACAATTATTCTCTGTAAATGTGTCAAGGGAATCTTGAATGCCACGCAACTGAAGGCAAGAGCTGTTACTTGCGCTCCCACTCATTGTATAACCAACGATCTGTTGTATAGCGAACAGGCGGCGAAAGGATGTTGATAAAGGCGAAGAAAAACACAAGCGAGTACGGCCCTGCCTGCAAAAACTTTGTAAGACCCGGCTCAGATCGAAGTAACTTGATCTGTTCTGTAACTGGCCTCATGTCAGCAGGATCAGTGGGTTCCCCTCAGTATGCTCGGCCCAAAATGTGACGAATTCGCATTCCATACAATTAGTGCAATTAACACTACTAGTTAAAGAAATGCGCACAAATACGCACATATGCGTTCAAGTGCCTGATCCTTACCTTACAGTGGCAAGTCGCTGATCGAAATGATCTGTGAGATGATTGACAGCGTTTGCGCTTATGTAACGAAACTTTTGCTAAATAACCTCAAATACGGAGTCGTCCTTCGGCAAGAGAAAAGGTTTATTCGCAAGCAACCATGAGCTTCCCACTGGTCGCTCCAATGTTTCCTGCAGGAAGGGAACCCCTTCCTCCAGGAATGACAGAGGAGGACCGTGCTCAGTTACTCGAAGCCAAAAAGTACCAAGGGTTGATGACCATGGGCATGGAATCTTGTGCGGCAAAGACAGTTATTGCTGGCGTCGGCGGTAAGTGCACCATATTCGAAGGCGCCTAAGTCATGACCCAAAATTCATTATCAGGATAATTCTACAGGTCTCGGAATTGGTGCATTCTTCTCTCTTATGTCCTCATCGTTTGCGTACGAGGATCCCTTGCTACGGCAATCCACGCAAGCTGGCCTGAACAACACTCAGAAGGCCCGTGAAATCTTCAAAGAAATGGGTAGAGGGATGTGGAAAAGCGGAAAGGGCTTTGGAAAAGTAGGAGCATTGTTTGCCGGAATAGAATGTGTGATCGAAGGCGTAAGTTTTCATTAAATTATTTTCCTTGGCCTAATCTCACACCTTTATCAGTACCGAGCGAAGAATGACATGGTAAATCCGATTGCTGCAGGCTTCGTTGCCGGAGGTGTACTTGCGCGAAATTCAGGACCTAAAGCTGCTCTTGGTGGTGGATTGGCATTTGCTGCATTTTCTGCAGCCATAGATTTGTTCTTACGGAGGGAACCGTCAGAGTGAGTGTGAACTGTTATACATATGTCTTTAACAAAGCATTGACATTCTTTTTAGCGACGACTGAGTCGTCATACATATTATGACATTAGATCATTATTCCTTGCATTTGGAATTTAATATTAATATGCGATTACTTGCGTGAAGGTTGTTTGTAGCATCTAGATTATGTATGTGATTGCGTCATCCATCGTTCCCTTGTTTCCTTGTTGACGCGGACGGGTACACAGGAATGTATATAGATTAGATCATAGCAAGGTAGGCCTTAACGTGACGCCCACTAGTACTGCACATATTCGGTTTGGACATCGGAGCCTACACAGTGCCATGGAAGCTGTAAGGATAAATCGCTCCGGGCAGTGACCTTATCTATGTGCATCATACGCAAAGCTTTCTTGACCAGGTCACAATCCATCACCAGACAACAGAAAAGTTGAAAAAATAGGGTGACTCGTCTCTGCCATCTGAGCCATTAATCCCTCTGGGTTTGTATACCTCCAAGCGCGTCCATTCAATAAATCCCAGTACTTGGTAACCGCCACCCTCTGCCTCGCTATAATCAAGGTGCAAAGAAAGTGGTAAGGTTAAGTTCTAACAAGAAGTAGTTTGTTGCATTTGAGAACGTCAACCCCTGAATGCCTAGAGCATTGATGGATGTCTGAGCGCTGATATATCGCATCAATGTACAGCATTGGCTACACGGCTAGGTCATTACTCGTCCTGGGTTACTGATTATCAATGTGACGGTGCTCGGATCGGCGGGTAATGCACCTTTGCTATGGTACTGGTTGTGCGCACTGGGACGGAGTTGCAGAACTTGTGGCGTCGTCGAATGACGCTCCTGCAGCTTGATGCCTGCACCTCTTTGTCTGCGCCAGGTCAAATTTCGAGCTCAAAGGGCAGGGAACAAATGGCGTATCATAGGGATTGGGTTGGATGCGACAGAATAAGGAGAAAAAATGGTTGATAAGTGTGCTTTCATGCGATGGAAGATGTACTAGTATAATTTTGACATGCAGAGAGGAGACGTGCAGAGAACCGAAATACTTGGAGGTCAGGAAGAAAACTTGAAGAAATACTAAGTAATAGGACGGTCTGTGGAACGTCGAAAAATTTCGGGTACCCAACCAGTATCCTTTGGTCGTTGTACAGGATATCGTGCGTCATCGCCCTAGAACGCGTTTGGCAATTCCTAAAAAATAATGAAACGAGTAGAGCAGTTCAACTTACATTTGAATATCGCACTTACCAGCGATTCACGCTTGGAAGAAACCAAGCTATGAGACAGTTTTGGTGCTGAATCATACGATCATGATGGTGAGGAGTGCAGCGATTAGAGATGAAATCTGGGGTGGACGAGTCTGATATGAGTGCTGGCAGCCGTCCGCGAAAGAGACGCAACCAAAACATCAGCTAGCGGATGAAGCAATAACATGAGACCAAGACTGGCACCATCGGCCTCCAGATGTAGTTTCATCCTGCTGCACTCCGGTAATTATGAATGAAAGATGCACGTAAGTTTGAATAGACGACCAACGCACAAGAGGACACGGATAACATACTGTTATGAAAGGATGGTGACGGAATCTTAAACCGATATGGGATCAATTATGACTTATCTAATCAAGAACTTGGCGAACATTTGAATCTTTCGACCGACAGACGCATGTCATGCGGTGGTTCATAGACACACCATCGACAAGACAGGGGCGGGGAGGATGACTAAGCACGTGTTCTGGGACAGTGTTGTGCAGAGACCCCGGATAGCGCGCGCTCGCTGTGTGTGTCGACGGGCGGAGGCTAATGAGTGGAGAGCAAGCCAGCGAGAAACTTAGCATCGACGATGGCATGTAGTACAGGGAACGGGCCAATACACTACCTGCAAGGCACGTGCTGTAAACGCCTCGGGTAAGCAGAAAATTCACTTCGGCTGCTGAGAAAGGCTGTGTCCCGGCGAAGACGAAAAAATTGAGTCCGGCTCTGGGATAGGCTACCCACCTAATTAAGCTCCTGCCAGAGCGAGGTAAAATGAAGATTTTCCCCGGGACTCGCGGGTTTCGCGGTGGAGCCAGCGCCGGATGCGAGAAGCACGAAATGTCATGATTTTGTAGTCCATTGTGCCGTCATTACATCTGCAGAAACTCGAATTTTCCGGGTAAAAATATCCCTTGCACGGCACAGTATACCTCATGTTCCTACGACATACCCAGAATTTTCCGCCGCGAAAACGGTGCACTTTGTGCTCGAACGCGTATCCTCGCCCATGTCGGCACTTCGGGGTCTTCGACAGTCACGTGACTAGGAAATTTATGGCCTCTTGGTACTTACCTCTGCGTGTCCAAGAGCAATGTAAAGGTTAACCTTCCCCCATCCTTGGGACGTAGAACTCGAAGAGTCGTCAGCGATGGCGACCCGCCAGAAATTTGACGGATGCACTGAAGTCGTCCGGGGCATTATGCACCTGCCAGGCGAAGAACGAATTATCACTTATTCGGGTGACACTCGGTGTAACTATGGAACTTGGAGGGCGGGAAACGGATAGGGACGACTGACGAGATGGATAAACTGCAGTTCACATCATGAAGTTCTTTCCGGGTGGGAAGAAAATTGTTAGCGGGAGTGAAGATGGTACAGCGAGGTTGTGGGATATCGATGGAAGTAGTGTCATCACTACTAAATGGGCGGGTCACACAAATACTGTGTGGTCTGTCTGCTGGAGTCAAGATGGCAGGCGAGTAGTGGGCGGATCTGATGGCAATGAAACAGTGGGACATGAAGCGTGGCGGAAAGCACCAATCGAGACTGACCCGGCACGGATATATTGTGTGTGCGGTCGTCTACTCGTCCTTGCCGTGATTGCGACTACTGAATTTCGCCAAAATCTAGGATGCTACGACTACAAACGAGCTGGTGACGACTCTCTACGCATCCACTGTATGGCCTGCTCTAACTTACTACATTGGCTTCACAGAGAACCGATGAGTCCTTTAGGGTGCGTTACGTTGATTGCGTTACCTTTACGTCGTAATATTTGCTTCTAGCGACGAAAATAGAGGATGCCGTGCTCTGCATATATTGTCACGTAATGGCATATAAGACAAAATGTCTTGCTCAGGACCTCGAATCATATTCTCTCTCCCGGACTAATAACTGTGCAATGAGACATATCCTGGCAGGTTTGGTGCTCTCGAGCACGCTTTTTGCCTGTGCGTGGGCTGAACAACCACCTCAGATTTATGGTGTTAATTTGGGTTCGTGGTAAGCGTTACTCTACGCCTCCGACTGACTATTTAAATTAAGTGGTAGCGCAGGTTAGTCCTGGAGCCGTGGATGCTTCCTCAAGGTGATAAACCAACAAACTTCGCGAATGCGCGTTCACTGAACACGTTTAGAGTGGTTGGACATGGGTGGACAGTCATGTACTGAAAGTTGTTGGACATGCATTTCAACTGAGTCGTATGTTCCAATTCCATACTGTTTGTATTTGAAATTTAATTTGTTCTAGATCGTTTGCAAAGGCGTATCCTGACACTGTCGATACTAAATTCGCTCAACACTGGGACACCTGGTTTACGCAGGGCGATGTCAATACACTGAAGGCGGCTGGTATTAATACTGTCAGGGTTCCTGTGAGTTGATTCCAAGGTGTGCTGCGAACTTGGCCAATTAACGTTCGATGGTGTGATCTGCTTTGCCCCTTTCATCCCGTGCAAACTTCCATGTGTTACGCAACACGTTCATTCATAGCTGGGATATTGGATTGTGGAGGCTTTGGTCGATAGGTCGCACGAATCATACCCCCGGGGCGGTCTTAATTATTTGGTGAGAAGCTCTGCCGTACTTTAATTTTCTAGTTATACTCAAGCGTTTGCAACTAGCGCCGGGGCTTGGGCTGGCTGAAAGATGCTGGGATCCAAGCGATCCTGGATCATCACGCGGCACCCGGGGTTCAATCACCTGACCAAATGTGGACTGGAAAGCGAGTTCCTATTTGTTTACTATCTATTCTCTACTGAGATTGATTTTTACCAGTTGTACTACCGATGTTCAATTCTACGTGAGCCATTTTGCAGCCGCTAAAAGCAACAGCTACAATATCCTTACACACAGACTCCATACAACTACCACCGTGCACTGGTGTGGACAGCGGTCATGACTACGCTTTCTCACCTGGACCCTAATTTTGGAAGTGTCTTTGCGATCGAGGCAGCCAATGAACCCATTATGGACGCGGCTCTTACACCTAACTATGGCACCTGTACGTATTACTCGTCATTCTTTTATTTGTGCCCTCACTATTCCTGAACCCTCATGCAGTCCAAAAGAACTTCGTCCAGGTAATGCGTGCAGTTGAGCTCACACTCGGAATATCTGTGCCGTCATCTAGTTTATCGCTCTCGGTACCAGCGTCCGTCTCGAACAACTTCACCGCTGCATTGAATGCGACATCTTCAGCAACCATATTCTCGGCGGAGGTGCAAGCCGCACTTTTAGAAGCCGTTCCGATTTTACTAGATATTGCAGCAGGGTGCGGTTTACAAACCATATTTGAAGCATCACCCTTCAAACGGTCCCGTGATTCATTGGTGGCGAAGTGAGTCCACCACAGGTCCTTGCTAGGATACATTGATAATGTGGCGTCCATAGCTTCATAGATGTGAACTGGCAGTACGACAACCCTTCTAACCCAGCTGACGTAGCGAATGGCCCCCAAGCTTATGACAACCATTTATATTACTCGTGAGTGCGCAGCTGACTATCAAGTTCTTGTGGTTTCTTGATCTTCTCTTTACAGGTTTGGCGTATGTTGTGTGCACGCAGCTTTTTGCTTCGCATTAACATTCTTACAGGGAGTTGCGGCTGCTGACCCAAAATCTTACATGACCAGTATCTGCAGTGCGTCTTCTTCGTTAGTTCGGCAATGACGTACTCATTTTTGGTAAAGATCTTCGACGTATCCAGGCTGACGCAGCGGTCGGCGACTCTCCGCTCTGGTTCGGAGAGTGGGGACTTTCAACACAGTTCAATGCCACAGATGAGTTCCTCTCCGAGTGGGCTGACGCACAGAAGTTGGCCTACAGTAAAGGTGCTGGATGGATTGTACGTGTCCCATTGTGTCTGATCAAGTCATTGCTCAAAGAAGAATACTTCAGTTCTGGAACTTCAAAACTGAAATATCAAGCCTCACTAACAGGGAATGCCCTTGCAAGGCAATGGTTAGTAATGACGCATCCTAGGGTGCTTTACGAATGTTCTGACGGCTGTCTATGTAGGTCTTACCTTGAGGGGTTGAAACTCGGGTTCTTGACCCAGGACCCTGCGGCGTTCCACGATCCGAACGTGTGCGTTCCATACATGAACAGTATCACTGATGGCGCTAGTTCATGATGTGCGTGCTTGGTGACTAAGTAAGCGTACATATATCTATTCCTGCTGACCCACATTCTTTTGTCGACGTTCCTTACTGATTCCCCCGTAACTCCCTTCCGAGCTAACTTAGAATAATTAGTGCGAGCTTTCCTAGGCTTGCTATTCTGACACAATTAGGCCCGTAAATAGATAACACGCTAATATATCTAAGCTTATTATAGTGTTGCATATGAGACTGCAGTATGTAAACTCATACATACTGCAGCCCCATATGCAACACACTGTAAAGACAGTCGGATTTGCCTGGCTTGGACCTCGGATGCCGGAAGGCACTTGCCTCGGGCCTTCCGATTAGTCGATTGGGACATGGAATGCCACCAACTTGCCAAGTGAGAGCAGGTCGCTGTGTTGGATGCGTCCACTAACTGTAGCAGTAGTGTCATTGTCTTGCCATTGCAATATTTTTCAATGACTGGATCCTTGCAAGCCCTCCAGCATGCTGCAGCTAGTAACACATTAGTTGCATGCGCGTCGTTTTCAACAGACGGAGAAATACTAGCCACTGGCTGCATTGGCAACGCATACACATGGATGTTTCTACGATTGTCACAAAAGCTCGCCTCGACGACCTTTTTGTCAGATCCAACTTGAATATGAGTTGAAATGTCTTGTCGTGGCATTTTATTTATCTGTGTAAACTCAACATGCTTTGACAAGGCATTACTCGATGTATTGACACGTACGAAATCATCTCAATGTGATCAAGTTGCAGGAACACCTAATAGTAATCGACGTCCTGGGCAAATACGTATGTTTTTTTTTATGCTTCTCCGAGTTCTGATTCCATACAGAGGAATGCTTCAACCAGAGACAAATGGAAGAATAATCCGTTGACCTTGGACTACTGTAGGCAGCTCACGGCCTGCCAAGTCCAGTGTCACGCAGTAATCCATCGGAGAGGCTCAGGCCCACTCATCTTCGCAACTATATATCATTGTTTTCACATCATCTTCCACACTTCCCGTCGCTGCTACTTCCGCTGCTGCAATGTTACGCCCTACGATAATACATGTTGGACGCTGGACTAGTTTCTGGCTCTTCATCTGTACTTCCTTGAATTTACTGACGGCAACCATTAATCTACACCGCTAGCACTACGATTGCTACCATTGTTCATGAAAGCGAAGGACGTATAGTAATTGTACAAAGACTAATTCAAGTCATACATCGTCCCAGTGATTCTCCTTCGCTATCACACGCTTCGGACCGACCGAAGGTTGCCGCTAACACTACCCAAACAATTTCCGTGGAAACAGTAATTGAGTTCAGCCTGACAATGCGTCGCAAGATGTCTCATCCAAAAACTCCTTGCCTGTCGATAGTCGGCTCTGGCTCCAAATCCCGTGCACTCGAGTACTGTCGGTGTGCGTGGAGCGGGATATGTGGACCTGCAGAGGCTTCATAGAATATTGTGGCAAGCTCCCTCGTTCCGTTTCACTGGTCGTCCCCCCACGGACAGTCAAGACCTGACTGTGAGTCTTTTTACCGATTGCGATTCGAATGATTACCATGTAGAAGGCAATTGAGATGATTGGCGTGAGCTAGTCGATCGAAAATCAGCCATTTTTATAACATGTGGTGTTGGTGTAATCACCATGTCTATCAGAAGAAACGGACCACTGCCCGAGCAGAAGGATCCAATTATTGTAGAGAGGAGTGCTATGGTGTACAAGATAGCAGAATCCATAATTACACGCATTATACTCGTGGTCACGACCTTTGTAGCGCGAGAGGTAGAGACATTGCGCTCGATTTTCCAAATGCGATACGCGAGTAATCCTGGAAAAATGGAAGTTGGCATGAGAATATGACACCATGGTCGGGCAGAAGCGCGCTTACCCGAACTCGACAAATTTGCTGCAAGTGTAAAGGCACAGAATGCTCCCATGCATTCCATATTCACTTTAGCAGAGATGATGCCGGTACTGCCGGTTTGTGAGTCGCCGTAGACTGAAAGAGCACCAGTGACTTCAAGGCAACATTAGAGCATGCGACTCCTGAATGATTGTAACCTAACCTGCGACGCCACACCATAGCATGCTTGGTAGGATGATGACCCAGGCAGCTTGCCAAACGACGTAACAACGATAAATCTGCCACCAGAAAGCATTTATATAGCAATTTTAAATTCGCCGATAAAACATTTAACCCACTGCCACCGCGTCACCAACAAGAGTTTGTAGAACGTATATTGAATTCTTGACCACATACGTTTCTTGAGAAACATCTGCAAAGTACACCGCTGGATCATCTTGGTACGTGTTGCGATAGGTCACCAATCCGTATTCAGTCCGAATAATGCTCAAGACTATGTGCTTTGAGAAATGTTTCAGCAGATGATATTGGATGAAAGAGGCGAGGGGCTAACTGCGGTACTCAATACCAACAGCAGGACGGCTGCAGCGGCGACTGGGCGATTGACATCTCGCATGGAATTTTTGTAGGTCAGTGCCCACATGGTGCCGATAAACATGAGGACCGAAAAGCCTGAAAAATCCTAGCTTTGTGGTCACCAGACAGACGAACTGACTGAGATGCTCACCGTATAAAATGGCTTCCAACGCCGTCGATATTACGGCTGCGGTATCCAGCGAGATTGAACTTGCAAAAGCCATGGCAAGAACTTCTGACGCTCGAGAATGGCTCGGGGAAGATGCAAGGGAGTTGCACTCGCGCCAATGCCATTTCTATCATAGTTCTAGTAGAACTTAATACGAAGACCCCGGATCGACATCCATCGTGCGGATAGGCTTTTTTGTTCAGCGTCTAAGGCTTAAATTATGAAACGATGAAGCTGTATCCGCGCGTGTCGGATCCAGGGACTCTAGACTATCCATTGGGTCAGAAGATCCGTATGTGCTCGGGACTTAGCAACAAAATAGCTACTTACAAAATTGAAGGCCGTGCAGTGCAACGCCGCTGACCTTTCACGGAGTGCATGATGAGGTGACAGAACCTGTGCCCCGATAGGTTAGGGCAGTGTTTAGTATTGATAGCTGGCCCCCTGGCACCATCGGACCCATGATCATGGTGGATGATGTCATACCCATCCGCAAATTTGCACCCATGGCCATTGGCCGGCTTCCTCATGACCCTGGTGAGATCAGCAGGTGACTTTAGAATTCGAATCCTTCTTATCTTGTCAAGAAGTCGGTGGGCGGCTGACATACTCGAGCTTGAGGCCGATACCCACAAGCCGCTCGGCTGGATTGAGTCGGAGTTTTATTCCAGCGATCACCTATCTGTCATCAATGACAGTTCTCTCATGCAACACCATGCGTCGTGCGCCTGAGCTCTATTTCCGAAATCCTCCTCTCAAACTCAAATGCGCCAACCAGGACGTTAAAAAATGGCATTGACCCATGTCCTCTAATGGTTTCGTAGGATCCAGAGTGAGCTGGAAGGCCCAAAGAATAAGGAGGGCAGTTATGAACACCGATCTGTACCAATCAAAGTAAGGAGGTGAGCCTAAGGCAGTGAGCGTTGATCTTCGGTATCTTGAAGCACGAGGCTTACTAAATGCGTCTGAGTCGCGTGGTCCAGCTGGAATACAATGGTTTTCCTGACGGGCCAGGTCATCATTCGTACGACAAGTTGTTCAAACATCACTTGCCCAAATCACGTCTTTGCTTGTTCGGTGAGCCAATACTATATCGTGAATGTTGTGACACCTAGATACAAACGAAAATGAAGCTGCTCACCACTGACCGTATCAAAGCCTCAGATACGAATACTTTCAGACGAGGAAGGGATTTTGGTCGATGACTCGGAAGATCGGCGCTGTTGCAGAAAAGTATTGATCCTGAAGCGCTGCAAATTGTGCTACCTACCGTTCATCTGGATTTGAAATCTATTGCTACCCGTTGTGCTACTTAAGCGTCGGGGGCTCAGATGAGAGCACACAAGATGAACTGTCCTTGCTCTCCGACAGTGCCCGTTTGTGCAAGCGGCTTGTAACTCTGTGCTGTCCAGCGCTCGACTGGGAAGCATGGAAATACCTTTCCAACCTCCCCCTTCTCAGAGTGACGATTTAGTGAATCCCGCAGTTCCTGCCTACATTGCTACAGGCTGTTCACAGCTTTGCGACACTCGGAATTCTCCTTGTTAAAATGTTCGGAAAGAAGCCGAGGAGCTCTTTTGTGCGTTGTCCAAGTGCAAAACATGCCAAACTCCGGAAAAATCATCATTTTTACCGTTCATGAAGGACGCTACTTGGCCACCATGATATCACAGGACCCGCCTTGAATGGATAAACTTATGTTCGGAGAATGATCGGCTGCTGCATCCTTCGTGTTCGGTCGCGCTCATATCGTTGTCGTTACGATTGCTGTTGACTATAATTGCAGTTATCATATCTCGTCTGACCGTTAAATACCTGTATCGCATGGCATTTATGTGGAGTATCTGTACCGATCTCCGCCTGCTTAAAAGAATATCCTCGATTCGCTCGCTCCATTTGTAAAATAAACGCAATTCCATATCTCCCGGGTTGAGCATATTAAATCTATGATGGACCCAATATCGGAATCCTTCTAGTATCAAGCCCCAACAGGTATCTCCCTAACATTCACATGCGCATTCTTCTCCTCTGACTCCCGAATACTGGACACGCTCTCCTCACTCCCCTTCCCAATGTTTGACACTGGCCCCGTGAACCAATGCACGCCACCATACACAGGGCAATAGTACCACATGATAGACAAGGTGAGTATACCGCCTAGCACGACCACGGTGTAGTTCATATTCGCAACGTCAGTTTGTGGCGTTGTCGGGAATAAAAATACGATGTCCATAATGAACATGTACGACACCGAAACGACAGCAACTGGAAGGCTCTTCAAATCACAGCTCAATGGTCAACAACCATCATTAAGCACCAAGCTGTTCGACTCACAAAGATACCTAAATTGAATGGACCGGGCTTGAAGTTGTTTTTGAACACGAAGCGCGCGATCACTGGGATCGCATATGCGATGTATAACGCCGTCACGGAGAGAGCGAAGATAGCGTCGATAGCTTGCGAGCCCGCAAAAGACAACATGCCGAGGATGATCGAGATGACTGCAACGAACCAAACGGTGTTGACGGGTGTCTTGGTGAAGCTATTCATGCGATAGAGGTAGGATGAGAACGGAAGTGCACCATCACGGGAAAATGCGAATGTTTGGCGAGATGATGCAAGGACCATACTCGAGCCCATCATATATCTGCACCTAATCAATCATAGTTCAAAAGGCACCACTGTCCACTTACTGAGCAAGCACGACGAAGGACCACAATGCAAGCGTTCCATTTTGGCCGAAGCTGTTGAAGAAAATTTGGGCCATGGGCTGTCCAACCGGGCTGTCGAGAAGGGAAACCACGTCGGTGCCCATGCAGAATGCAAGAGAGACGTTGATTGCTACAAGACGGTAAGTAGTGTTTGAGAAGTTAGCATGGATAAATACGTACCCCAACCAAGGATGCCGGCGATACCGATGGCGCTGACCTGGAATGTACTCAGTAATTGAATAAATACGGAGTTCGATGCTTACAATGGCCCATGGAACAGCGGTGGCGGCATTCGACGATTCCTCACTGATATGCACACTTGAGTCAAAGGAACCTTCAACATGACATCAATACTAATGACACGTGCAACACCTTGTGGGAATATACCAATGGTCCACGCCGGCGCAAGGAAGCTTAGAATGAATGCGTAGCCATCTGGCCAGCCGTTCACTATAAATTTAGGAGATTGGTCAGGTTCACCACCACAAGAGTGTATTCACTGACAATTTGTGAAATTGCCAAGCGCATAGCTTGCGCTGTTCATGTTCGCCTTTGGGGTGGCAGCAGGAAGGCCAATAATAACGGCGAAACACAAACTACCCGGAGTAATTCAGTAACTCGAGTGCACCTATACGACTTCGGCACAAACCAGACGTTAAGCACAACATAAACTGTTTGCAGTCTTGCGAGAACTGCAGTTCCCAAGCAGCATATCACTGCGTGCGACAGGACTATTGCGACATAGACTCCACTAGATATTTGACATCATGAATAAATTCATTGATTGGATCGGTGTCTTGCATAACGCACAAAGTTTGCGCACTCGTTGCGGTAAAAGTCTGGCTTGAGCCAATGGATACTGCAGCCATGATTTGCACTGCACATCCCCAGTCAATAGATGCTATGCAGAAAGTCACGCTTGAGTAAAATGGGGCATCATAAAGCAACCATGAGCATCTCACCGACCGATGCTATGGTCCCAATGGTGTTTGAGTCTGTTATCGGGTCAATATACCTCTGCTCGTTAAAATTACCATAACAGACTTACACCCAACAATCCATGCAAGTAAATTTCTACACCGCGGAGATGATAAGGAGTGTGTCCAGAAGTATAACTGTAGTTCATACGTCAGTCGAGAGTACCACGTCGTCAACGAAGACAAAAACAGACTCACGCCCCCGGATGTTGGCGCCGCAGAACCCAATTCGGCCATCGACATCCCTACGCAGAGGATAAAGAGACTCGCAACTGCCCACTATGGGATGTCAACAAGCAGCCATGTCATCCATCAGCATAATTCGCGCATGGAGATACCTGAAGCACGCACACCCCACACCATTGAGGCTGGTCCTCCATTAGGCACGGCGTAAAAAAGAACAGAGCTATGCAAATACATTACATCCTTGGAAGGCAAAAAAAAGGACAACGTACGCAATCGAGGGGAGTAGACCAATGATACTGAAAGCTATACCAAATACCTGTGATCGCCTTCGCTATCAGTTCTCCAGTCGCTAAACGTGGCAGCGCTGATAATACCTCTAAAGGTGTGAATGCACGCTTGAACTCTTGCTTATACCCGAGCTCGGCGAGCAGGGCCTCGTCTGCCTTTGCAACAGCATGCTGCGGTGGCTCCATGTCGCACTCAGCTAGTGGGATGGAAAGAAGAAGCAATGAAGCCGGAAGGACTGAGCCGGTCCATTTCAATCCAATTTGGTTATCTATGACATTTGCGGAGTAAGCCATGTCGTAATAGAACACTGAGGTCCTGATAAGCAACCCACCGGTGGCACCCACTTACCGGTAACCATAATCACTCAGCATGAGCTGTGTAACAATTGGATATTGCAGGAATAGGCCTGCGTGCTCAGCGCTCAGTACCCACTTGGAGTTGGCACATGCGCATGAGGAGAGCGTTCTATCGAAATTCAATTGGCTGCTCGGCGCTCAGTACCCACTTGGAGTTAGCACATGTGCATGAAGAGAGCGTTCTGTCGAAATTCAACTGACCATTTACGTAACGTATGCCTGGCAGCGTGGTATCGTTCAATCACTGCGATGACAGGAGCAGGTTGGTATTGTCGCCACATACCTAAAGCGCTAAAACCTTTCAAGTCCTGGACTCGTCGCTTCTTGATTACGGATTTCAACAGAGTTGGAGAAGTCTTTACTTACATATTCATGTGGAGTTATGTTATTCAGCGAGGACAAATGCTAAATTACAGGAAGTAGCATATACGTCCCGAGGTTGGAGGAGCCTCGGCTGATCTGTCGAACACAAAAAGTTCCTAAAAATTCCCATCACTAAAAAGATGCGCAATTTGCAACGCTGTCCTTGAGCAACATCGCACGAGGCATTCTGAAGCGAAATCAATTCAACGCGATGTCGGGGCGCAAGTGTCATTACGATACATATATACTCAATGGTCTAACGTCGATGCTCAACCAGCCATTAATCTGACTTTCCATGTATATGAATATGAATATTTTATTTAGCCGCATCTACGCTCATTCCAAATCAACTGACCTAGCGTTTAACTTGTGGCTAGGCAACTAGGCCGGGTAGGGGACCGGGGTTGCCAGACGCAGAAATAGATTGGAAGCCATGGTAGCTAAGCTAGATTGTAAGGAAAGGATCGTTTTTCTTTTTAGCATTTTTTTTTGATTAGTAAGGTCGAAGTCATCTTGACTGATCTCAAACAAAGTTCATTTGGTTTACCCGCTCGATGTTTCATGACTAGCAGATGTTGTCGTCTTTTACTGCAAATTCAGGTATTGTGCAATAAGTTGATTCAGAGCCAGATAAGTTTGTAGATCTTCCTTGAGCGAAGCGTGGGCGTGAGGTGGTTCGGCATGGGCATGGCTTTATGGAAGCGAGTTGTCATTATCTGGTGCTGCATTTGATTGACAGACGAAGTACGGCAAGAAATCAATAACTTTCATATAACCTTGCAAGCAAGGTGACTCCGGGATTGGACTTGTGCGAGCGGCAAACATGCATTTGCCTGTCTGCGGATCCCAGATTCTGACAAAGGGCTCGTCATATCCACGGGTAGTAGATAAGTATACTGGGTGTGCGGGATCCAGCCACCGTGTGGATAGCGCACACTGTTTAGTGACTTCGAGCCGATTCAATCTACCTGGCAAGGAGTCATGTATCATGGTCATTTTCTACTGGAGGACTCATAACATATATTCTACCTTTACCGTCTGCAGTTTCTACCATTTTATTCAGATATCTAGTTGACGACTATGTTTGGGCTATATCACTAATGTGAGGTTGTACCGACTCAGACTCCCAAGATAACCCTAAGCTCAAGATCTGACATCAACTCCGTCAAACATTCTCTCTCGAGAACGTAGTACTAATTCTCCCCCATGATATTGGTGGTGGCTGTCTAGAAGGGCAAACCGATCTGTGGACGAAGCCGTACTTCAATGTCAAGCCTCGAACCCCACGAGTGATGCCAGAGTGAGCGACACTTCCACGTTCTTGTTCTGATCCCAAGTACAGGGGTTACAGGCAGCCCAATCCGAGCTGAGTATAGACGCTGCATAGTCATCAGACCAACGTGTATATCAAAACTAGAGCCAATGATTAATACGAAGAGTCAGTCGCGCTGGATCGAGAGCCCATTTCGTACGCATGTTAACCAGGGCTCACTAGCACCTGAAGGATTGATTTGTAGGCAACATCCTGTTTGACTCATGCATAAAGTGATTAGAGTACAATGCGGCAAATATGATCAAAAATGATGTAGGACTACAGGTGCACACCACTTTCTTGTTCATCCTCCCCAGTCGAATTCGATGGCCCAACGTCCGAGTTGTCTCCCGGAAGAGGCGTGTCCAACGGCTCGAGTCCATTATCACTAGTAAATCCACCGTGCCTACCATTTTTGCTTTCTGGTTCCGGCTCAGGAGGAAGGTCATAATGAGCGCTAGTGGCATTCGACGCTCCATGCTGAGTGAGCGCCAACTTGAGCATGAATATTCGCTCATCTTGCGATGCTCTGCGTGTGCGTGCCCCGATCTTAATAAGTGCAGCAAAGTCCATGGACTGCCTTGTACTGACAACGTCTGGTTGTTTTCTTTTATTGCTTGTGCGATGTCCGGGTCTTCTGCATATTCTTGGAGTTCCTCTTGTGTGCGTTTTAGATGGGAGATAGAGTTTTGAAGACGACCGATCTCTGATGTTTCAAAATGTTGGATGAGCTTGGGTATGCGCTTTTAAGAATATTATAACACACCATCAGCGGAAACTTCGGGGTCAAAGGAGATAGCTTGCTGAAATGTGAATGGTTGGGGGTGACATGGAGTGAAATCCATCGTGCTCCTCGATGTGAGGCATACGTAGGTCCCTGATCATGAACGAATTACTGATTATTAGTGTTCGGGCCGTCCGGCCCTGACATAATATGGGTGATTCCGATCATTTTTTCCGTACACCAAGCATGCCTTGACGTACGTCTTCTCGTTGCTATTCAGATTGAATATTCAGAGTCTCAGACTATGGCCCACAACCCATACGGACTGCACTTGTTCAAGATACACATTAGCTGAGGACAACGTGGAGTCTTGGACCAAAATCCTTGGTGGTTTGATCAAGGCGCAAATTATGGGACTCCACGACTGGCAAGCTTGTCCATCTGCTGTCCTCTGAGACCATCGCGACCTGTAATGATCAAGATTCAAGTGTATATTAACTACATTGTGTCAGTCCTAGTATGTGGCGTGCTGCATTGTTGTTGGAAATCAGCTGCCGCACCTGCTGAGCATGTTTTATCTTTTTTTCCCATTCTGCGCAATGACAAGTCACTATCATCCATCTGTTCGATTGCTTTACCTACTGGAGACGAAGCGCACATCGGAACCCATATGTAGTGTTACACGTAAAGAAAATCATTATGAAGGTTCCCGTGGAGGTTTGCTGAGTGCAGCCCAGCCCTCGGTATTTTTGAATGACTGTAGAAAATCATCAATATTTGATTCTGATTCCTCGGAGTTGGTCGGCTGGTCTGCCCTTCTTGCCAATCGCAGTAGTTGTTTTCGTCGATTGAAGGCGTACGTGTCAAGCACGTCGAAACAGTCTACAACGAACTCCCACATAAGTGGATCTTTGTGCAAGCGTGCGGGAACTTTTCTGTGAGCCTGGAAAACAAATTTCTTCTCGCCACATGCCACGGCGTCTAAATTCGCCCATTCATCGAAGGGACGCAATCCCCGCTGTAGAAGGACTCCTTCCTTGTAACGCAAGGAAATCCAAGCAAAGCACCACATAAACGACTCCAGATCATGACGATATAGGTGTTTGACTTCGCCTCGTTGACCCTCTTCGGTGAGAAGATCGAGCGCCATGAACGGCACCGTGCCGGTGCGCTCGTTGCCCTGAGGACCCTGGACATTTGCCAACGAGGATAAATCGTAGTCGTTTAGCACACCTATCCGCTTGCCGTCTTTCCAGTACCACATCAGGTTTCCTGGGCTGACGTCTCGATGGTAGACACCTTCCTTCCACAAAGTAAGGTGGCCTGCACGCTATGTTAACAAATAGCCTCATAAATTGAATGAAATACGTACATAAGATACACTGACGCCATACGTCGAAAAGCACTCTGCCGTCAAGCTCTGTGATTGAGTGGAGCTTGGGGAATATGAGGATGTAGAGCACGCGACTGCCCTTGGTGGGTTCTGGAACCCCGAGCGCTTCTCGGATGGCGGACGTGGGATTCGTGAACGTGTGGTGCCAGAGCAGCTTAGGAATATGCCCTTGAACGGTTGGGTGCACCTTAGCGATCTCCTCGACCTTGTCCAAGATTTCCGGCTCGCTAGTGCGACTCGCCTCTCCCCAAAAGATCTTGGCCACCATCCCATCCTGGAAGTTGCCATATTTCTTCGCGAGCGCTTCGCTAGTGACAGGGACCACATTGGTGGCCCGGCCTTGTAGGCCATAATGCGTCACTCTTTCGTCGTGGCTGGTGTGAAGCAGTAGATCCACCTCTTCAAGTTCTGCGTCCTTGATTTTGAATTCGTGGCATTGTTTGCCCTCGACTTGCACTAGGAGGAAGTCCTTGTTTCGGCCCCAATCATAAAGATCGAATCGTTGTAGAGCATACAACAGCACCATGAATCGCGGGAGATCTTGAATGAAGTTGATGCCTGAGCATTGAATGATCCCTTGCCGATCGTAATACCAGATCCACATTACATCGTCTGAAGAAGCTTCGGTAAGAGCGCGGCCAACCTCAACAGACGAACGAACCCACCGATGACGATAAGATTCAGTAGATAATTGACTCCAAGATTGGACGCAAACATTTCGGCGGCGTACAGACCCGTCTGGACGGTCACATCTAGATCGTCGTCTGTGTCGTCGGGGTCCATCTTGGATTTTTTCGCGGCGGATTCCAAAGTGACCGTGGCCTTGCGCTTGGAGCTGGACCCGCCCTTGGAAGGCTGGGCAGCAGTAAGGCTGGAAGATAGAACTGCAGCTTGGCCGATTTAGTTTGATCCTTGAATAAAAAATATATCCACTTACGTGCAGTGTTGGACGCAGGTTGTGCTGCTGGAGTTTGCGAAGGACCTGGTGCTGGGTCTTGAGCCTTAAGATGATCTACCGGTAGATATTCTGGCTTGGTAGGGACATGATCTATTACTGCATACGAAGGGGGCGGTGGGTTAATTCCTTTCGCCCTCCCTGGCGTCTTTCTCTTGAACTCGATGCAAGCTAGAATATCTTTCCAAGGGAGATTTTTTGGCTTTGCCGTTGCATTCGTGTCCATGTGAGCTTTGCGCTGCTTCTTGCGCTTCTCGTCATCCATCGCGTCGTCCTTCTGTTTGCCCTTCTCATCCTGGAAGGGAGTACATGCGCTGTTCAAAGGAAGAATGACGAGGTCGGGCTTCCGAATTGATTTCGCAGTCTGGTGGTTTTGGTGCATGGGCATATCGTTCTGCTGACAGATCATGTCCACGGCGGGGACAGCAGCACGCATCCCGTCAACTTTGATCTCTTCAAGACACCCAAGCGCAATGTTAGTGGCTCTTATGAAAGGGCCGTAGAACTTGTTTTCTGCTCCTGGACGTACGCTTGTAATCGTTATAAGCATGAAAATGCCTGATCAGCGAACTTAGAACAAGCACTCACTATTCGTTGAGGGCTGTCTCGACGTCTGAAGACTTTACGAGCGCAGTGGAAGCCTGTCCATTGCAAACCGGAAGAACCGCCTTTAGGCACTTTTGCAGGAGCTCAGGCTGTTTGGTCTCAGGAGTGGAAGAAGCGCGCTGCAGGAGGGCTTGCAGCATGGCATCTGCCTTGCACTCCTTAACCTGCTCGATATCCCGTTGAATCCATGGACGGACTTTCTTGACTCTTGATAAAATATTAGGTACTACTCAATCAAAACAAGAAATGTGCGCACTTGGCACCGAGCACGCTGATGTTCTCGCTGACGACGGAAGCTCCACGGCTATTTGGGGTCGATTCTATTTTGCTAGCACCATGAGCTGGTGCATTGGCACGTGGTGGAGTAGACGATGTGCCAGTCTCGCCAGCAGGGGACATGATGCTAGGCGTTCAATGATTACGCTGACGGAGTGTTGTCAGCAGAACTGGTAAAGTGGAAAAAATTAAGAGGACAAGAAAAACGACTGCTTTCTGCTTGCCTTATATCTGGTCGACCGATGTGGCGCAAATGTAGTGGACCATTGATCAATCTGATGTGGATTGATGTGGTGATTGTGGACCTACAGTTTGACTCCGACGACGCGTTCCCAGCGGTCGCGATCATCATGGTCGTGTCTGGACGACTGTGATCACGTGTCTGTTTTCGGTTTCGCTTCCCCATTCTTCACTACTACATCCCATTATAAATACCTTACAGTTCCATCGTTGAATTCACTCAAAACTCGCCGGCCATCTCGACTCCAGCAGACGGACCGCACTGGCCGTCTGAGCCCTGTCGGTTTAGCGATGACCTTGCTTGGGTCTGGCATATCCCACAACCTCATTACACTGTTTTCACCATCACTAACCACTCTCTTCCCGTCCAGAGACAACACCATGCCAGTATGCCCTGCAGTTTCTCCGTCCCGTTAGTCTTTTCCTATCTGTTTCCCACTCTCCAAATTCCATACTCGTAACGAGCCATCGTTTGAACAAGTGATGATCCGCTGTCCATCAGGCAGGTGTATGATGCCCCGGACAGTAGCAATGCGTCCTTCAAATCTCTGGCGAGGCGTTATTGCTCACGTTTCCTTTCTCCTTGTGGTGGATGAAGAGTCTGAAGACATACCAACTCCCAAATGCATCGCCATCTCAGCCTGCATACGTAACCGTCACAGTCTGGAGTCATCACTTAGAAGGTGTTTGAACTCAATGCGCGTGCACAAGGGTCAATGAACGATCAAGTCAACCCGCAGTCGAGTCCCCTGGAAGCAAGAAAATTTAACTCACACCAAGATGGTGTGCTCGATGTCCCTTGTCTACATGGTTACGTTGGACATCATGTGCATCATTATCCTCACCCCTCTATACTTACAGTGACATATGCCGTGCGGTTGAAGTACCTGCTGAGCCTCGTTAAGTTATCATGGTTAGCTCGTGACGCACGCCGCTCCAATAGCTGTCTGTATTAGATCACATGGTTCCTCATGTTTTGTCACATGTTCATCGATGCATCTGACGCAGTCACTTGGTAATTTAGTCTCTTCAGTCATTTCCACGCCATCCCGATATACATTCGTCAAGTCAGGGTGTATGTGCATTATCCGCGCTATACGCTCATTGTCTTGTTTGCTGAGTTGTTCGTACCGTCGTAGAGCTACAGTATGGGTGATCTGTTCCTGTTTAATTGATGTTTTATACGGCTTTACATGTCACTGGTCGGCATAAAAGTCTCGAAACCTGGAGCCCGGATTCTGAAACGAGTTGCTAGTTCTCGGCGTGCATACAACAATCGATTGATCCTACTACTGGTACTAACAGGTTCACATCCTATTTGTGAACCAATGACTAACAATCCCAACGCATCTGTGGCAGTCCAAGAAATCTTAACTTTGGATCGTAAGCCAGCAAAATTCAAGAACAGCCGCGGACATGTTCGTCCAGTCTCACAAGTATCTCATTCTGCTCTTCACTTGACTTGCGAGCACTAATCATGGATTAGCCGAAGTTATCTACCGCAACGTTTGGCTTACTCACAAAGACTGAGCGAAAACAGGTAGGTCGGCTGGGCTATTGATCATGCTTAGTTCGATCAGCGCCATTTGTCGTGAGGCCAATCTACGTCGGACGATGAATAGGAGTCTCAACACCTCAAACATTGTATGAGAACTCACTTTAATCGCGGAGACAGAGGCGCTTTATGGTGCTTCCGTCGAGGCGGCCATTGTGGTTCGGGGGGTTTCGACTTCTGAGGGGTGCTTTGGTTTCGCTCGGATTCCAGTTTCTTGGCAGCTGCTCTTTTTATCTTCGCTTCCTGCCATCGCATTCGTTCAACAAGCCTGTGAGAGAATATCACGAACACTAACCTTAAGTGCGGTCCGAGAACGTTCCTCTTCTATACGACTTGGTAATAGCACGTCGTCGTTGCGATGGCTATACTTAACGCCTATTGCGCTAAGTGTCTTGTGGATATCATTACCATCTGTAACCTCCGGAGGTTCTTTGAAAATACAAAAATCAGTCTTTTCACATGCTGGTTGTAGCTGAAGCTTACCATCGTCAAAGAGAAGTGCACTCAGCCCCCGTAAGTCGGCCTGACGCATGATTAGATAGCGTGAAACAAGTAGACAGGGGACTTACCTCCTCCTTTCCGCTCTTAGAATCTGCCTCATACACCCACTCATCGGCCTTAGATTTTGCTGATTTCTTCGACTTCGAGGAGCTGAGATGAGCAAGAGCCCAGTCTAGCTCCATGATCGTCGCTTTCTCGATCTGCGGCAGGTTTGCATCGATATCTCCTGCGCAGAACATATGAACTTACAGCCATCTTGGTCGCCAGAGTATCCTCATGCAGCTTAAAAATGTTCTTGATTCCAAACAATTCTCCTTGTCTGGAAGTGTCCCCTTGAACGCCGGAGAAATACCTAAGAGGGGAATTTGAAATCATACGCTCAAATCTGGGTTCTTATTAAATACCTTGTTTGCACACTTGCCTCATACCCAATGGCCATCTGTTGTTGCTTGTACAACTGCCTTGCATAAATCAACTCTTCAATTGAGCCGGCTCCGAGGAGGCGGTAAACGAAAACGTCGCGTGTCTGCCCAAAGCGATACGCCCTGTCCATAGCTTGCAGGTCGTGGGCGGGATCTACGTGGACATGAGTCGATGGCAACCAGAAATCATGCAAATACATACTCCAGTTGGGATCTACATAACATCCAGGTCTAAACCTCAATATTCAAAGCAGGATGTTTAAACTCACCGAAAATGACCACTTTGTTCGCTCCAGTCAGGTTAAGACCAGTTCCTCCAGCAAGAGTAGATATGAGAAATATGAAAATGTCCGAGTCTTGGTGAAATCTATCTATCATAGGCATCCCTGAAGCTGATATTAGTAGCTGCAGCAAATACAGGGATCGTTTCACACTATCACTCTGCTTCGTGGATCCATCCAGTTTGAGGAAGCCATAACCTGGTAATCAATCAGTATTCGATCGATACGGAATGGATCTTGTGCATACTATTGGTGTTGAGATGAAATTCCAACATATCGAGAAGCTTGACAGATTTAGTAAATATAAGGACCTTGTTCGTGCGTTCTTTTCTCCATTCTCTAAGTAGAGTATCGAGTACCTGCAAGGGCAGCGCGCAGTGTAGGGGATAAACCTCATAAACAACGACTTACGACCCACTTCCCGCAGTACTGTGGCAGTAGCATGGCTGTCCCATACTTTGGTATAGTCTGGCCCGGGAAGGCTACTTCAGCGAGCTCCCGATTACGTAGAGTCTAGAACAACTATCAATGCACCATAAAGATAAATTAGCAAGCTCCACACGTACTTGCTCTGGGCTATCGTTCGGGGCTTGTAGATATCAGCATTTATTTGGTAGCAAGCCACTGAATCACCAACGATACCTGGAAGTATTAACGCTAAATGATTTGAGATCTTGATGAGTATTGACATATACTTGAGGACGCCCCCCTTCTCAATAGGGTGGCAGCAGTCTTTGCGTCTGTACAAAACATGATTCTCGGTATGTTCGGGACATGGAAAGGAGAACCAACTTTTCCCCTGATCCGCAATCACAGTTTTCGTCTTTTCTGACGAGATTCTGTACGGGAGTCATGTTCAGGATGCGTTTGTAAACGGCAACCTGTACAGGTGTCAGTGGACAAAAGACTACTTCATCGGTTTTCGTGGGTAACTAGTAGTCATGTTCAGCACAATATGGTATATCAGCTAGAAGCTTCGCACTTGGTCCTTAATGATGTCCTTCGTTCTGAAGAAATTAATGTTTTAGGGAATATCTGCAGAAAAAACGTTGGCCATACCTCCTTTTGAAGAACTGGGGTAGTACTTTGTCTCTGACTGTAATGGCGACTGCCTACTAGACATCAGAATGAGCCGCGGGATGCAAGATCTACACTCACCAAAGCCTTTGTTCTCTCCTCTTCAGTGGCACTAGTGGATTGTCCTATCGTTAATGGCTTCACAACGTAACCTTTCCATTGCTTGCTTGTTCCCAGCCGGCCAGGATTGGTCCAGTCGAGTATGGTCCATGCTTCCATGTAGCTGTTTTGAATAGTTGTGCCTAATCATCCCGCTACATCAGACCACCCTCTAGAAGCAGAGTAGTCTTACCTGTCAGACCAAAGCGGCAAAGACATGCGAATTGATTATATGCAAGGGTAATCATCGACTTTGGATTTTTTACCCTGTGCGCTTCGTCGACGAAGATAGCAGACCAAGCGAGGTCGTCCAATTGCGCAATGTCGCGGCGGGCAAGGTCAAATGTAGTAAGCACTATTTCCTAGTCATCAAGGGGGCAGAAGACATGTACTCATGGACATACCAACATCGAGCCTGCCCATTTTGAAGTCGGTAAGAACATCATCCCGCTCATTCTTCGAACCAGTATAAGATCCGACTTCAAAATACCCCCACTAGGGAGGGGGTGAGACATTATGGCATTACTCGTTGCTTGTAGGCACTCACCGTCTGAAATTCGCGCTCCCAGTTTGGCACAACAGATGTAGGGGCGATGATAAGACATGTGGGCCAAGTTTTGTTTGCCGGTGGCAAAGTGCGGTATTTTCTCCACTCCAGTCCATCTTGGAGATTAGACACATGATCTCGACGCCTGTTGATATCGCGTTCGTCTCCGTGCTTCTTCATAATTGCTGAGAGAAACGATATCACTTGGATAGTTTTACCCTGAGTGGGTGGAAGGTTCAGTCAAGAAGAAAAGAAGAACACGTTTGGACTGACGAGACCCATATCATCACCCAGCAAACCACCGCGACCTTGTTTATATAGATCCCAGAAAAAACCGACGCCTTCCCTCTGATATTCTCTCAGATAGGTATTGATTGATGCGGGCACTCTGATACCCTCGGCTCTATCCAACATCATAGGTCCGAGAGAACTCTGGCCGGGAGCAAGCGGGAAGCCGGGTTTTGGATGGAGATTCTGTATCTGCTCAGTAAATGACGGTCAGAGAATGAGATTAGGCTTTACTGGATCAGGGCATGTTTCTATTTCGTCCTCGTCTTCAGGCTCCGTTTCGGAGTCGGATTCGAGAAGTTTCGTGGTATTAGGCAAGAGCTGTTTTGAAAATTTCGAAACTGTAGGTAAATCTATGTCGGACTCTGGTTCAGTTTCTGATTCGTCTGTTACGGGCGTCACGGTAGGTTTATCTCGACTGGCCATAAGGTTAAACGTACCGTCTGGACAAGGCGTTTTTCTCCGCTTAGAAATTGGCATAATCTGTTTCGATGCAGGCGACTTCCGCTTCGTCGAAACCTGAGCAACTTCTGGCTCAGACTCAGGTTCTAAAACGAAACGTATGCGTTCACATTTGTAATATGTGTCCAATATGGACTTACCAGTAACAGAATCATCATCAACCGGAGTGTGTGAATGACTTGGCTGTGTAACAGGAATGTGCTCTTTCGATGCTTTCATGAACGCAGTTATGGTTCTGAGTATTACCGGTTGATCAGGTTCAGACGCATACTCTTCTGCCGAGTCGTCGTCTTCACAATCTTTTTCATCCACTTCGCCGTCATCAGACGCAGACTGCAGTCCAAGGTCATCGTCTGTTGACAGTAAGCTCAAAAACTACTGAGAACATTGCTCAACGAACCAAAGTACTCCTTGAGTGGGTTATGGCGTCGAGACGCCTCTGGATCCATTGGTCGGCGCTTCTCTAAGATGATCATCAAAAACACGTATTATTTCGTTATAAAAACGACTCGCGACTTCTGGATGACGATTGAAAATTGCCAAGAACCTCGCTTCGTCTTTTCCGTGACTTGCCGCGGGGGACGGGTGGGGACGCATCCTCAGCAGCCGTTACTTTGCGCTTTCCGCGTTTCTTAGTCTCATAGATGAAGGTTCCAGGGTTAAATTCTGGATCTGAGTCAGGATCTGTACGGGAGTGAGTAAATTATTCATGAGATCGTCAGTGTTATTTCATATGGATGACAAAGACCTAGGGGTGCAGGGACAGATTCGAGAATCCCTACTTATGGTCAGCCCACAAGCTAATCCCGAGAAACATTAGCTTACTGTTCCCGTATGCAGAAGTTTTGACTTTGGCAGCTCGTGGTGGCATCTTGAGCAGGCCAATGTCAAGTCGATGGATGTGGTGTGGGTAAGAGAAAAGGAGAACACCGATTTTGGGCGCGTCCCATAATATGCACCACGTGATTGTTTGTGTCACAATCACGTGATTGTGGTCACGAAAGCTGATGGTCTGTGGTCCTGGAACTTGGAAGTCTGCATCAAACAACTCCGCCAACTTGCCACAGAAAGGTTGATCATACAAAAATACAATCTTTTTTGAAGTAACGACGGACAACATGCAGAACATAAATGTGTAACAAAACACACGACACGAATAGCGACACGAATGAAAAGGAAGGCAAAGTACGAGGGCTCGTGGGGAGTGCATTACGAGTATCGCGTGTTTCGCATAGGAAGTTAATATACTCAACTGACATGAAAATGGCTTATGACTGATTATGTTAGAAGAAAGCGGACAGTGCCTTCATATGTACAAGGAGACAGGGGAAGCGGCATCAATCTTCCTCCTCATCAGCCTGTTCTTCTCCGTCACTTTTCTCTTTTGCTGAAGATTTGGTCTGCAAAGAGATGTTCAATACATGCTACGATGCGGACAAATAACATATACATACGGCAGCCAGGGATGCCTTCTCCTCCTCTGCCCTTGTCTTGTCCTTGGCGGCCAATTCGATATAAGGCTGTTTAGTTGTGTCAGCACCAACCGCATTATCTTATACCTTAGACGAACCTGCTTGTCCTCCTCGTCAAGCTCCTTCCACTTGGCACCTAGTAGTTTGCCAACCTCACCTATGATGGGGATCAGACAACAGAAAGATTAGAAGAAACACCATAGGCATACCGAAACCAGCATCTGGGTTCTCAGTCTTAATTCTCTCCCTCCAATCTTGACTGAAGAACATGTACGCGGAGAGCGCACGTTTAGGAGCGCCCTTGGCCTTGGCAGCCTTGGCCTTAGTTGCCTTTCCCTCTGATTTACCTGCAGCCTTGCGCTGTTGAATCGATCAGCATCGTGGTTGGTGATGAGCACGACCAAATGACGTAACGAAAGTTGAACAAGATAAAGATAATGGAAAGTGTATGATGCATACGGAGATAAGTGGTATCAGGGCCAAGACAAATGCATAGGAGACTAACCTTGGTTTTGGTGGTATCTTTAGGCATCTAGAGCATGGAAAACGCATAAGCGATCGATTCAACACGTCGTTGGCATGAGAAATATTGAAGAAAACGAGTGCGACGCGGAGAGACGCGGTGCGCGTCAACGCGTCGGTGGCCAAACAAATACGGCCGGCGCCCGTCTTCACTTTCTACACGAGCTCGACGACGGTGAAACGACGTAGAGAGTGATAGTGAACAGCACAGGACGTCCGTGAAGCAGATAGAACATAATAAAAAATAAAAAAGATGACTGACTGTTGTTGTGTGCTACGGTGAGTATTAAGCACGGTTTGATTTAGGTGGGTGAGGACCACAGTACAGCTATACAGGCAAGGTTGGCTGAGGGGACGTTTGGCGGGTGGGAGCCTTGTATAAGGCCAGCCACCTAACAACCGTGGGAATAGGGCACGGACTCTTGCTGACATAACCACTAATTCAACAAACCCACGATACAACGGCCCGTCTTACACACAGCAGATCTACGCGGTTTCTTTAGCGATAGTTCATCCAGGGCCAGCATTGGCCCAACTAATTTAATGACGATGGAGTCTTGACACACGTAAATAGTACGCAGGCCCGTGATCCAGATAGCATGAACGATGTGAATATGCAGCAGAACAGCAGGTCTAAAGGCAATAAATAGTACTTAGAAGTTAGCGTCCTTCAAGTCTTTCCCAAGCTCTTTACTCACTTTCGAAAAACGCATGAATACCTAATGAGAAAATTTGTCCCGTTCATAATTTTGCCTGCAGTAGATTCGATCCTCGGGTTCAGCATCGAAGTCAATGTCGGGTAGACAGAGCTGTCCCAAACCAAGGTCAGGCAATCGCGCCATTTTGAGTAAGAGACTGAGCCCCTTGTCGCCCTGTCCATCCCCGGGACCATTGAGAAGGTCCCATGTAAAGTCATCTATTTGATCTGCGGTTCTACCCCAAGTCGTTTTAATTGCACTTGGGTACTCGAACGACGCAACAATGAAGCAGAGAGGAGAACCTATACCAGTCAGGTCCGTTTTCATTGTATTTTAAATACGAGTACATACAAAGACCTGATATCTCCTGTTCTCGGGCAAGTAAAGGTGAACGGGTTTCACTGATGTGGTTTTCGCCATCGTCCGAAGTGAGGTCTGGCAAAATATCACCTAGACGATAAAGCCGTCGGCATGATGGACAGATGCGACTAGTAGCACGGCTCTTATTATACCATAGGACCTTGGGGGATCATTTTGTGAGCTCGCTAGCTGCCCCACATAGCACTCACTCACTATAGCGGTTTCCTCCGACAGTGCGGTACAAAGCATCTGAAGGACTTCCTCCTGTGAGAATTCCGCACACAGAGGGTCTTCCAGTGAAGGAGGCTGCGCAAAAAATGAAGCTAGGAAACCCCGGACGTCGCGAACTCGCGGACCGTTTCCAGGATCATGGATGATCGGTAGCACTTCTCTATGGAACTCCTGGAGATGCGGAGCAGGTGGTTCAGGTGGAGGCTCATGGACAGTATATACAATGTCGCTTGGAGGTGGCTCAAGTTCGTGAACGAGGGGGGGAGGTTCCAGAAGGGCCGTAGCTTGAATAGCTGATGCACTCTTCTTGTTCTTTTTCGCAATTGCTTTCTTCTTTTTTTTCGAGTTGCATGGACCTGGCATCAAGAAAAAGCTCAGAGGAATCCGTGATTGAGTGGCACAGAAATAAAATCACAAAACGAACTGTGATGGAAAGGAGGAGTGTACGGTTTTGCCATTAAAATCATTAGCGCTTGATCACGTGTCACGTGTTACATGACGCGCTCGCGACTTGTCCGTGGTCTGATCTGAAACGTGCACTCTGTTGTGAACCTCTTCTGAGTCTGACTGCAGTGGAGACGACTTGATTAACATTTGCAAAACAATGTTTCACGCAGTATGCCTTGTAAATGGCAACGAGCTCTATATGGAACCGGCCTCATTAAGATGGAAGAGAAAGTAATGGCAATTCAGAAAGCAGGCAAAAAGAAGATCCAAGCCAAAGAACGCGGCATGGAGACAGAAGGAGTGAATATTTAATTTAACATCGATATCACCCTTGATCGTAACATATACACGCCTTCGTTTTCAAACAGATACTGCTGACCTAAGGACTCAGCCAGCACCGGCACCCGTCTGTTTCTTTCCCCCGCCCTCTGTATGTACCCATCGCTTTGGTACACCCTGCGAGGCAAGAAATTCTGTGACCTCTTTAATCTGCTTTCCTTGCACGAGCACTTCCATGCCTGACGACTTCCCTGATGCTGGTGAAACTGGCCAGCACCTATCAGCTATAGGTCACAACAACACTAATTCTCCTAACCTGAAGTTGAAGATGCACATCTCGTCTTCAGCTCCTCTGCAAGAGTAACCGCCTCTAGAAAGAATGGCTCAAACCCTGTAATGAGCGTCGTCGCCTTACGACCTTGTCTGACTTTAACCACCACCGATATCGGTTTGATCTGCCCCTTCCTGTACTCGAAGGTTAACAATCAACGACCGACACGATGATGGGACACCGGACGCACTTGAGCACAGGATCCCTGCCCTCAGCGCAGATCTTGTACCAACTCTGCATCTTGTCTGATAGGCGCTCGATCAGCTGCTCGCGTTTGAAGAACTCCATATTCGCCAGATCGTCAGACTTGCATATGGTCGTCTGCAGAAGCTCGTCTGCCCCAACGTTGATATATGATTGGTCGTGCGCGTTCACCAATTGTCGATCGGTGACGTACTTGTCGAGTAGGGTCTTGATCTCCGTATAGGTGTAACGGGCAGATGTACTGCAGGAGACGTCGTCAGCGTTTGATCATGAACCAGGAATGGCGCTGATCCATACTCAAATCCAGCATCGACAAAGAATTTAAGCGATTGAAGATGTGGCTTCCAAAGCTCTGTTACTTCAAGCTCTTTGACTCGTGTCCGCTCCTCCTCTTCTCGTTGTCCACGCTTCTCGTTCCTGAGAGCCACATCTTTTAGAGATAAATATGGTCTGTGTGCGACAACAGTTGCATGTGATGTGGCTATGGAAAATACCATCAGTTCAGATTTGATCTCTTTGAGCTTCAAGAGGCCTTGTTTCTCTGCTGATTTCAGAAAATACGCAAGTGACTTGTGGGAGGAGTGCTTGATATCAATGGGTGTAGATACGAGTGGCTGAGATGGTGATTGGGCAGGTCGCGAGGGTAGAATGTAAGTTGAGTAAAACGTGCTAGCGGGCATAGGAAGCGCAGAGGTCTGTGAACTAGATAGAGTTGTTTTCATTGCCTGAAGAAGGGCGCCATGGAGGATACTCGAAACGTCTGCCAGGAGTGAGGGATCGAAGACACGATTAATGTGGTTTAACGCACCTTCTTTTGTCAGTTCTATTGTTGGAGCAGGATCGTTCAACTGTGTCTGCTCCAGGTGAGAGCTCAACGGATCAACTACTGGATCTTTCGATACATTATTGTTTGTGTCATATCTGTCTTCTACGGCCTGCTCATCGTTCGCCGCTGGACTGCTCATCTCCCATGGATCTGGTGGATTACCCTTGTGTCCCATATCAAATAAATGGTCATTCCAAGTGTGCAGGACAAACACCGCTTTCCCTTTTGCGGCAGCCTCAGATAAGACGTCACTATCCACTGCCATGTGCCCGACAGCAAGCGGAGGGCCGATGCGCGTTGAATGGTGAATACGTTCCGTAATGCTGACAAGTTGTCCAGCTTGGAGTGATGGTGGATACTGAACGACTTGCAGGGTCTACTAAGGGAGAACCTATCTTAACCGACAAGTAGCACATACCTCCAGGAACCATGAGATCTGCACCACCAGCTAGAACTGGAATCACCGCTGATGGTGTAGATAGAAACGGGAGGAGATCTGGCTTCTTCCACAGGGTGTATACTATCCCATCTGAGCTGCGGATGACAGGCTCGGAGCAGGGACAACTCACCAGTCGGAATCATGTCCTCGCTGCCTATCCCAAGCGTGAACCACAAAGGGTCTCCACCAGGTCCCAAATAGGCCACCTGAGTGCAACGTCATCGTGAAGGATTTTGCGAATATGTGATCAGCAAGAAAGGGCTGTAGCTATATTCGCTTACACCTGGCTCATTAGTGTGTGTTTTGAATTTCACTGACAAAAGACCGTCTGGGACAAGGTCATCGCCAACATCTGGATCGAGGGAGAAGGCTTGGATAATGTGTTGTTTCAGCTTGCGCCTGTCAGAGTTACGCAGGGGTGCTTGTGAGCATGACAGTGATTAGTCACAACGTCGGTGAACAACAACAATCGCGCACCTGAAGTCTTTAGATTCCCCAAAGGCTTCTTGAACATGATGTCCTAAGAGTTTGATCGTGGATCCTAGATTCGGCAACTTAGACAAAGAGTCGACTTCCAATATTTGGCGGCGGGCGCTTCCGTTCTTGAAGGCATGAAGTCACGTGTTTTGACTTCCGCTTATGTTACTTATATTTTTCGACAGCAGTATCGACTCCACCGTGACAATCCAAAATGCCTCGTGCAACTTCAGGACGTTTCTCGCGTACCCACCAACCATCAATAAAATCAGCCGCGGCATCATCTTCATCCAAAAACCACAGTGCAAATGAAGGGACTTCAACCGGCGTCCGTAACCCAATATTCAATACAGAAAGATTCGGACAGCATATCTTGAAGAATCCGCAAATTGCTCAAACGTATGCTCACAATTCTCATATAATGTGACTCGGGCTGATTCTACATCAGTATCGTGGATAAGGTCCGGCTCAGCTTATGTGTGCTGAATCGATCTCATAGATGCTAATCATGTCATGTAGGCAAACCTTCGTCCCACGGATAAAGTCCTCGAAGTTGGTCCTGGTACAGGTAACCTTACTGTCAAGATTCTTGAAAAAGCCAAAAATGTTACTGCTGTTGAGATGGACCCACGGATGGCAGCTGAATTAACGAAGCGAGTTCAGGGGAAGTGCGTGTACCTCTTCCTGTCTTAATATCATCAACTGACGGGCTACTCCTCGGAAGACCAGAACAACGAAAACTCGACATAATTATCGGAGACTTCGTAAAAGCCGATCTCCCATACTTTGATGTCTGCATATCTAACACGCCCTATCAAATATCATCACCCCTTGTCTTCCGCCTCCTCTCTCATCGACCAATCTTCCGTGTGGCAATCCTCATGTTCCAAAGAGAATTTGCCATGAGGCTTGTTGCTCAGCCCGGGACAGAGCTCTGGTCACGGCTATCTGCGAATGTACAGCTTTATTCAAAGGTGGACCTGGTTATGCACGTCGGCAAAAATAACTTCCGACCAGCACCGCAAGTTGAGTCGTCAGTGGTCCGACTGGTGCCTCTTGATCCTCCTCCCCCCATCAAGTTCGAGGAATTTGATGGACTGGGTAGAATCATCTTTTCGAGGCGAAATAAAATGGTGCATGCCACATTCATGGCAAAAGGCGTCATTGAGATGCTGGAACAAAACTGGAGAACGTGGTGCTCAACACAAAATAAGGTGATTTTAGTTTTTGTGCGTTGTAAACGGGGACTTGACCGCCACAAATCAGATGGTTGATGACAACACAAACATGAAAGCTAAAGTAGAAGAGGTCCTCAGTTCATCGGGTTACTCGGAACAGCGGGCAGCCAAGATGACCCTTGACGACCTTCTAAAGTGAGTCGTCTTCGTTTTGTTTCTTGTGTTCTCTCACCAGCTCAACAGACTACTATCCGCATTTCATGACGAGGGCATACATTTTGCTTGATAGAACTTTTATCGGATGTGTTGTATTGGGCTAGTGAATACATACCCTGTTGCTACACATGTGCCACTCTATGTGGTAATTGATTATTTCAATGTCGATGCACAACCCAGGATGCAACTTCCATCATAGCACTGAGGTGCGTGCAGATACGACATCAACTCCCTCCAATCTCAGGAACAAGGTTGCATCGGCACCTATAGGACAGTCGTTTCTTACATTGATTTCGATTAACCACCACTAAGATCCTCGTTCACCACTTCCCACGTGTGAATCCAACCCAATTACTCACTGCATGAATTCCAGCGTAAAATGAAAGACCTCTCGAACGACGGAAACATTTCGTTCATCTCCTTTGTGGGGTGGTTAGGTAATTGTACTCACTGCTCGGTGCGCGAAACTGAGCCTGTTTATTCGCAATCGCGGTTTCCAGTAGCTCATCCCAATGGTCAGGCAGCATACGACACCGCGGAAAAAGAAGAACAAAGTGCATGGCAATAAACTTCCTCACTCATTGTCAAGCCATCGCTGATGCTGATGTCCGTGCTTGTGGCAGAAGACGACCCTGAGAAATCCAAAGGCTTAGCTTCAACATAAATGTTCGACTAGGAAACCAATAAATGGAGTGAGCTACGATGGAGTGCCCCAGAGCCGATTCTATATGTAACTAGAAGTAACATATAGGCAATGCACCTGACTGACAACTGCAATCCTCTCATTTCGACGACGGCGAACATTGGAGGTGCACGAGAACGCCTCGCAGCGATTGACCTCTTGTCTTCCATGGTGGTTGAGAATTGGCTAATCATAGACTGAAGCTTAGCTTAGGAATGTGGCCCTGCGATGCTTGGTTGCTTCAGCTGCACAGCCGATGCTGTGTATGAACTGTAAACGAACACGAGGATAAACCATGTACAACATACCAGGAAGCAACTCTGACTTGACCGTAATAGTCATCCCCCAGTGCAGCAGCAACGTTATGATTAATTGTAGTCACTCACTGGTTTGATCCAGATGAACTACCATGCCTTACCGAGTGCGACAGTGCAGCGTGATAGCTTTAGCAAAGAGTTCCTTCAGCTCCGGATGCGCCTTGGACACCCCGACTGCATCAAGGTGTCTCACTGTAAATTTCTTCATGATCTCTGGAATGTGACGTTTGAGCGCAACAGAACGACGCGAAGAAAGAGAGTTGGACAGAATATTGCCAGTTCCTTCGTCCACCGGACATGCCTTATCTTTAGCGTCGTTTACAGGTCCGAAAATGTCTGCGTCTGGTGCGTGGTTGGTTGTCTTGGCTGCAAGAGTGGGTGCTTTGAACACAGTACCACCTCTATCATTTGTCCTCATGGTTCCGAATCCAGTAAATGCAGCATCGCCTCTCTTGCCACCCTGGATCACCTCCTTTGACTTTGATCCTCGTGTTCCCCGCAAGTTCTCCGATATGCATGTGAGAAGATGCTGAGGCAGTGTGGGATTGTCTGGGCGGGTGCACGAGTCACTGGGGTGATATGTACTACGCGGACCATTAGGGATGCAGTGGTGGGCAACGAATGGGCGTTCTGAATGTCAGTATTTCCATCGTTCGACATTGTATGACCATCTACAAATAATAATAAGTCCAATCGCCCATCGGGAGAGAAGCGATAGGCAGAGTATGCTTTCAAAGTAGACGTGAGAGAGTGATGGATGGGTGGACGTACCTGTGGGATTTGAATGGAGTAACTGAAAACGCTGTGCATGGTAAACGACGAAGGCAGAAAATGTTATAACGAGGTGGAGAATGTAGACCTGAATGCCTGAACTGGAGCGCTAGCGGCGTATATGATAAGCATGTCGTATATTGAAGATGTCGACCGAGAGTCTCAAAATGTGACGGGAAGCAGATGCATTTCAACTGCACAGCCTATGTTGTGTATAAGCTGTGAAGCGAACACAAGGACAAAGCATCGATGTACCAGGAAGCTAAGGCTTCACCTCTGACTTGACCAAAACAGCCATTACTCCCCGCTGCCTGCCCATCGCTGCTGTCCTCGTAAGTGCCAATTCTGGAATTTGATCGATGAAGGCTGAGATGGCGCTGCACTCGGCAGTAGGCATGGCTCCATCCACCACTAAAACAAAAGAGGCATCAGTAATTACGCCTCACCAGAAATTTGAAGGACACACTGAATTGGTCTGGGGTGTCATACACCCGCCAGGTGGACAGCGGGTTATCACTTGTTCATTGGATGGCTCCCTGCGAGTGTGGGACTTGAGGAGTGGGAAACAGATAGGAGCAGACTGGAGAGACGGAGAAAAAGAAACAAACAGTATAGCGTTGTCTCCGGACGGGAAGAAAGTGGTTAGCGGTAGTTCGGATGGTGTAGTGAGGTTGTGGGATATCGACACAGGCAAGGTCATCGTTAAATGGACGGGGCACACAAAGGACGTGTCGTCTGTCTCCTGGAGTCGAGATGGTCGATGTGTGTTGAGCGGATCCTGGGACGGGACTGCGAGGCAGTGGGACGTTGAAAGCGGAGAGACAATCCTCAAGCCGATCGAGACTGGGCACAATCAAGTGTGGGCAGTCGTGTATTCCCCAGACATGACCTTGATTGCGACTGGTGGATGGGAAGAACCCTTGATTGGAAAACCCGAGTACTCAGTCAAAATCTGTAACACAAAGACAGGCAAGCTTGTCGCAACTCTTAAAGGACATACCAACGCAGTGACTTGCCTGGCTTGGACCAAGGACGGAAAAGCGCTCATCTCTGGGTCATGGGATAACTCCATTAGGACATGGAATACAACCAAGTGGGAGCAAACCGCGGTTCTGCTTGAACACATTTATGCTGTCTATGCCCTTGCAATATCTCCGAATGGCTGCATCCTCGCAAGCGCATCGCGTGACCACACAGCACGATTGTGGAACCTCGACAATGGACAACCCATCAGTTTACCCCTCCAGCATGCAGAGGAAGTGAACTGCGTGTCTTTTTCCGCGGATGGAAAGCGACTAGCCACTGGTTGCGATGACAAAAACGCATACATGTGGGATATTGCTGAGGTTATTAGAGAAGCTGGCCTCGAGGACCTTCTTTCGAATCCAAAGGTGAGCTGACAGGCATGTCTCATTGTATTACATTCACACAACTGGACACGCTCTGCCAGGCCAACAAGTCAGCACTCCGTGTACGTGACAGCTTCATTGAAAGATCTCATTGTGCTCAACATATATACTCCAGTCTGATGCTGCACGACATCTGGCCCAGCGACGGTCGCCTGCTTATCGGACACCCCAACGTTTTTTCGATGGAGTCCCACCAGATGGTTCTCGAGTATGTTCTTGATAATTTAGTGTCACTTCGGTTTTTTCAACTTTGTTTTTTCAGTTCCCTGCACAAAGCCACTCCCCCTCCTCCTCAGAACCGCAAGAAAGCACGCTTCTTCGTCGCTTATTCCACCGCAGTCCCTCCAATGCTCATGATATGTCACCATCCTCTCCACTCAACTGGGTTCGTAACCTTTTAGATCGGCGTAGACAAAGCGGTGAAGATATCGAGTTGCAAGGGCATAGCCCTGCAGTTGTTGAAGTTTCGTATACGAGGGGCAAACGTGTATGTGTTTCCTCTCTTTTCGGACGTTCGACTTCACCTAATATCACGTAGAGAAACGTGTCAGCGAGGGAGGTTGCGTTAGCGAAACAGAAGCAGAAGCACAGAACGAAACCATTGCGCTCGAAGAACTCCACTGCAGGCAGCTCACAGACCCCCAAGCCCACTATCGCCGAGTCACCTTCGCAACTACATGCAGCTGGCTCATCGTCCACCACGCCTGCCGTCGGCGATCCCACCATAGCTACGACTTCAACACCTTCGCGCCCAGATGCAACGATAAGACAGGCTGGACTCTGGACCCGCTTGTGGCTCTTTATTGGTTGTTTGTCTCCCGAGTATACTGATAATCATCCTTAATATACGATTTTCTCGGCGATTTCTCTCATGCTTTTTCTATTTTATTTTAGATTCACGTATATTCGCTGGTGCGTTATACCCATTCGCGCTACTGTCCTGCTACACGACCCATGATTTGGAACCATTCTTTTGTACGATACCACATATCACTTCATCTCCTTCTACCACACGTACACTCTACACTTTGCTCGAGTATTTCAAGAGTTTGTCATTGATGCATTGATGTCGCATCGTGCACTATACCGTTTCTATCTATTTTTGCAACGTTCTCCCTATACTGACATGCATATATTGGACGCATGTCTCGGCTGTTTTGGTGTTTAAGCAAACAATCCATTGTCGTCTCGAAGTGGTTTCACCAAGCTAAGGTATGGAAGGTTTGACATCATGTGTCTGTAACGGAGTTCTGCATGCTAAGTTTACAGCGTATGCTATGTGGGATATAGTAATGTCGAGTATGTAGATTGAGTGCAGATACACACTGGTTTCTGTTGAGTCCACTGGAAAATAACCCCCGTTCTGCTTTGCCACCCGACACGAGGTATATCACTGAGAAACCAAATCTTCACTCCAGGCCGCCCTGACAACATGCTCTTCATCTTAAGTGAGTGATATGACATCAAGTTTAATGGTGTATTGCTCCATACATCTCCTGACTGCATCAAGGTGTCATACAAAGTGCATCACACATTTAACGTTGTGTAGTTTCTCTACCTTTTGATTGAAGTCAGATGCTCAAAGACTCGAGCACTCTCCCAGCCTCTCGTAGACTGCAAGATTGCTCGAGACAAGTGCGAGCGTATGACTTCATCTACACATAGTCTTATCGATCAATAAGGACGGTCTGGGGCATCATACACCTGCCCGACGGACAGCGGATTATCACTTGTTCAGAGGACGGCTCGTTGCGGGTATGGAACTTGAAGAACGGGAAACAAATAGGAGAAGACTGGCAGGACGGAGAAAGTGCAGTGATCAATATAGCGTTGTCTCCGAACGGGAAAAAAGTGGTTAGCGGGAGTTCAGATGGTGCAGTGAGATTGTGGGACATCGAATCATGCAAGGTTGTCGCGAAATGGACGGGGCATAGACAACAAGTGGTGTCTGTCTGCTGGAGTCGAGATGGTTGGCAAGCGTTCTCGGAGCGAATCCTGGGACAAGACTGTAAGGCGGTGGGACGTAGAATGCAGAGACAATCCTCGAGCCAATCGTAACCGGGAACTTGTGGGTGTGCTGCATGTACGTGCTGTCCAAAAATCCGCCACTTGCACCCGGTAGAAACTTATCCCCTGATCCAAGGAACCGCAATTATCCTGCTATCTCCGGAGCAACTCGAATCATCAGGCTTTCGAACAGTCATGAACATCAAGGCATTTGCAACACGGTTGTGTATCATGGTTGTTGATGAGGCTCACCTGATCGATCTCTGGGGTTTATCTATCCGACCCTCGTACAAAAAGATAGGCTGGATACGCTCTCGTGCAAGACGCCATGTTCCCATGTTTGCTGTAACCGCCACATTGCAAAAAAAATAGAGGTAGAAGTACTTGAATTCTTGGGCTTTCATAGGGGACATTACCATGTCATACGATGGCAGTACACTAGTCCCTAGTACGTATGTTATACAGAAAAACAGAGATGAGAAAAACAAACAACTTCGACAATCAGTGAGCCTTGCAAATGAGGTTGAAGGACGCATCAAGTCCCCTTGCGGCGTTTGGCCGCAACACTGCCAGGAGTACCCTTAACTACCTTCTTGCGTATCCTGGTGATGTTCGAGTCTTGCAGCTGCACGACACTGGCTTTGCGCTTTGCAGCTTTCGATGCCTTCTCGTACCATTCTGAGTAGCGGCGGTATGCGGTTTCGCACATAGCGCCTGCAATATTCGTGACGATATCTTCTTTCCTCACGCGAAAGGGTCTCGCAGAGCGTCGACGTCGACGTCGGTGTTGATTTCCTTGCACAATGATACCAATCTCTCCCTCACTGCGTCAACTCCCTTCTCTATCATAGCTAGCACCGGACACATGGTGTGCTCTGGGACAGACTGTAAAAGTAGCGTTAACTACGTACGAACTTTGAAATGAAATGGAAACATCACCCCATATGCGACTAAATCTGGATCATCAGTGGAGATGTCTATAGGATCGTTCCCGCGCACCCACAACTTGAACCATATCGAGGATACTGAGCACCATGTGCGGTTTTCTGCGATGACTGGCACATTGAGGGTAGGGAGGACACCTGTCACAGCCAAGAAGTCTTCTTCTGACCGTTCCGACGGATCCTGCGGTAGCGTGCATGCTAGTTCCTCTTGAGTGAACGGTAGGGTGCGTCTTCGGATACAACAATGGCAAACACGAGCAATAAGGCTGGGTTTGCCTCAATAGCAGCTACTAGTTTTTCCTCCAGTTTTTCCAAGTTCTGTGAAAATGCGGTTTCCGCAAGGCCGAGAATGACGGTCTTGGAGGCGGTATCCCGCATATTTTGGGAGGAAATTCGGAGATCAGGGACGAGTGACTTGGATGCTCGGATGTTGCTTGAGATGATTGCATTGACCGCCTGACCGTCAAAGGGAATGTTCCCGAAGAAACACGTGAGGGCCGCGTGAAGTGCGAGAAGAGGAGCTTCATGAACCGCCGAGGGCACCTCGACGATCAATGTACTGCCAGCTTCGAAGTACGTCAATCTGTAGTGTTGTGGTAAGAACCGATGCACAGACCAAGATCTATTTCGAACACACCTTGGCTTTACACCGAAATTGCACGACTCGTCGATGAAACTCGCTAATTGTTCGTATTCAACCCTCCAAATCCCACAAAACTCCTGAAGATTGATGATGGTCAGCCTCACAATTACTATATCAGGGTCCAGGATAAGTCCGTCGGACGCGTACCTCGCACTCGTGCTGACGATCTGGTTTTGCGATAAACCGGAGGACTTCTTGGCATACACGTAGGGCTTAAAGACGAGAAATTCAGGTCAGCTCATTCAATGCGATTAGGATTAATCGATGCATACTTGACGGCGATATCTCAGGATCCTCTGCTACAAACTGCTGAAAACTATCTAACAAATAGTTCAACCTGTTAGTCGCGATCGGATTTTTCTTTCTTTCGCGAGTTTGATGGCTTTTGTTGGAGGATCGAACTGCAAAAACACCTTTGGCCACTGGCACTAGAACTGAGTCGAAGTCAAAGGCCTCGAGGGGTTTGTAGGTTTCGGGCCTAATATTGTTCTCGTCATAGATGGCCCGGGAGTGGCTGCTCCTCGGTTTGGTACTAGTATTCCGAGGTGAATGAGTGGAAAGAGAAACTTTGACGACAGTAGACATGATGTATAAATTGGCGGTACTGCTAGAATGTGATGTTTTCGAGTGAACCAACAAGTGGTACTACTAAACTGTTCGCAGTGGTAGCATGCTTAGCTAATAAGGGGTGTCCAACTGTGGACGATGAGACCATCGATGACTAAGCGCTTGTTGCCGATATGTTAGCGCTCACTAGTTACTACGCAAACCGCGGTTCTGGTTGAACATAGTATTTCTGGGCCATTGCCATTTCTCCAAATACTCGCATCCTCGCAAGCGCATCGCTCAACAAGATGGAAAGGCTAGTAGCACTGGCTGCCGCGACCAAAATGCGTACACATGGGATGTTGCTATGATTAAAGAAGCCGGCCACGACGATCTTCTTTCGAATCCAAAGGTGAGTTGACAAGCATGTCTCATTGTGTTACGTGCTCACAACTGAACGCGCTCCGCCGGGACAACAAGTCGGTAATCCGTGTACATGACATCTTCATTAAAAGACCCCGTCGTGCTCAATATATGTACTGTAGTCTGATGCTACACGACGTCCAGTCCAGCGACGTCCGCCTGCTTATTGGATACCCCAAGGTTTTTTCGACGGAGTCTCGCCACATTGTTCTCGAGTATGTTCTTGATATCACTGTCACTTCGTTTTTTGTTTTTCTACCTCCCACTCCTCTTCAGAACTGCAAGCAAGCACACGCCTCCGTCCCTTATCCCACCGCAGCCTCTCCAATGCCCATAATACCTCACTGTCCTCCCCTCTCAAGTGAGCTTAAGCCCTTTTGATGCGTCGCGGACAACGTAGTGAAGGCACCGAGTTGCAAGAGCGCAGCTAAGTTGTCGAGGTTCCATATGCGAAGGGCAAACATGTGTGTTCTTTCTTTCTCTAGGACATTCAACTTTACATAGGGAGAAACGTAAAAGACTATTGCCCTTGAAGATCTCTACTATGGGCAGCTCATGGCCTCCAAAGTCCAATGTCACCCAGCCACCTTCGCAACCACAGGTTATGGTCTCCAGTCCATCCACCACATCTCATGTCGGCAATGCTACCGCAGCTACAACGTCAACGCCTTCATGCCATGATAGGACACCCTGGACTCTGGGCTCGCTTCTGGCTCTTTATTGGTTGCATTTCTCGTGGATAAACAGATGATCGTCATTAGCTCATGATTTTCTCCTTATCCACGAGTCACGTGCCTTTACATCTCTCGGCGGACTCATTGATGTGGTATACCTACTCGTCCCACTCCCTCTGATGTATTTTGAACCGTCCCTTATGTATGACACAGATACCAGACTGCGCCACATCTTTACCTGCACTATGATTGCCTTTGCGATGACCTTCAACCTGTCATATTTATCTCATGTCACTGGTACACAATGTACGACAATGGTAACACGAAATGAGCGTGAACGAGATGGACAACTTGCTGAATGGATTCGAACACGGTGTGCTCTCATATTCGGATTCAGAATCTAGAAACCCAGTCTGTCGTCGTCGTAGAACACCCCGGAATTCATAGCGGGAGGGCAAGTAAGCACGATATTTCCATGAAAATTCTCCAACAAGATCCTCTAGCCAGCTGCTCGACGTCAAAAGGTCATTCCTTCACAGGGTGTGGAGCGGTGGGAACATGACATAGTCACTGACCATGAGTGCAATGAAGAGGTTGAGGACATGAGTCTCGCGTCGCAGGGGTTCGATTCTTCTTTTAACACGAATTGTAGTCATGGAGGGAGAGGCCGAACGTGCATCAGGGGAATAAGGGGGGTGCATCACCCTGATGTATTCTGGTGATTATTGTAGCATGCAGTATATCGTCGCATGCATGATGTCATGGAGAGTTTTGCATGTCAAGTAATTATATCGTGTTAGCACGCACCAACTTTGTAGAATGAGGTATTGACCAGCTGTGTGAAAAGCCGACGAAACATCTTGACTTGACGCTCCATCTGGCCCTCCGACGAGCCATCGATCCTAGGTATTTTCAAGAGCGTTACGAAGTACTCATCTACAAGATCTTTAACAGTAACTTCAGATGCAGGTCAGAGGGTCTGGCTGCTTCACATAAAAGACGTCAAATGCAGACTCAGTATCGTTTGCAGCACCGGTTTGCATGGATTAGTCCATGATGCGTAAACCCTGCGATTAATATGATAGGATCCAGTTGGTCGAAAATAAGGGCTCGGCACCGCAGGAGGTTGAAAGTACTGAAAGAAACTTGGAGAAGGGGTTACTACGGCCCAGCCAGGACAGGCATAGGCGGCGCCCGCCCGCCCTAAGCATTGACTCCAAGTCAAGATCTCTGCATCAGGCGAACTTGCAGCAGAGCTCGCTACAGTCTTATGTACTTTGGAAGATTCGGATTCACGCACCGTTTTATACCCTCATCCGCATGATGCCACCAAACTGCGAATCCTGGTCAAAAGAAGAACCGATCACGCGTTTCAGAGAGCCGCTGGAGGCGAAAAAGCACACCAAGTCAACTCACTCACCAACATGAAAAAACCATTCCATTTCTATCCCACCCGAAGGGTAGGATCGCTATCAAGTTTTGTTGCCTAGGGTGAAGCGGCCCGAAGTACAATGGGCTGGCGTATCACAACGGTCCAATGCCTCTTCCAACGGTCGACGATGTCTTCTTTAAAGCCTTCGTAAAGGCAGGACTCGTCAATGAAACTGGTGACTTGGATGACTGTGGATGGGAGAAACGCAGGAAGATTGAGAAATGAGTGTCGAGTAATTACAGGTGTGAATCTGATCGCCCTATCACTCACACGAGTAACCCAGGCGAAAGTATGATTTTCCAAGTTCATTCCTGCGATATCTATAACGGAGAGGTAGGAGAAGTCACCGTATCAAATCTCACGCAGATATCCATCACATACGACCATCCCATGACATCACCCAATCACTCACATAGGTCATCTGTAAAGCCAGCCAGTCTGTCACATTGCTGGTCAAGATTTGAAGGACGAAACAAGAATGATGGTCACTCAATACCTCAGAAAGGACGTCCAGCTGCTCTTCTGAGCTGCAGGAATAGCTTATCAGCTTGTTCTGACATATTTGGTTCACGTTCTAAATCAATGCGTCCGGCGTTTAAAGCCCTATGGAGATGATAGATAGTATCTCTCGCCATTACCGTTTATTGACTAGTCCAGTCTTGCCGCTGGGCTGTGGTACCCTCATTCACCGTGCAATATCGCGGAAATAGCATCTCTTGTACCCCCTCCTGAGTCAATGCACAGCCGTAGATCGTGTCCCCTTCTCGAGCAACTACAACGTATGTCAACATAGAGGAAGTTTTCCTAGACACGTCCATGTTGCTGGAAGAGTTGCATTGCAGATTCGTGAGCATGTAGATCTATGCGCACCATAAGAGCGCGGCCTGGCTACAGGCAACGTCATCGAAAGCACGCTGAAAAGGAAAACTCCATGCCAGACGTTACGTACCATCCCATCCGAGCCTTTTGCTGAACGAAATAGTCTGGATGCCAAGAAGGGGCACTTCTAGGACTGATTCATCTATTATGTCTTTCAACATCCAGTGAAGGGAGATATTCCGAATTCTGGCTATGATAGTGGGGAAGCGAACAACTACAAGTATCACGATCACGTGAAGATCAATATACTGCATCACTTCCTCACCATTAATCCAAATCGTTCACGTAGTAGGCTCTGCACGTACCTCACTCTCCATCATGCCTGCAAGTACAAATAGTGCTGGTCCTTCAGCAGCTAAAACCGATCTACAAGGACTTGAACTGGCGGAACATCACTTTGGTCCCTTACTTCACCCAATTCGCGCCACACAGAACGCGTGGACCAATTATTCCATCAATCGCCTCCATACCAATCAAAAATACCACACAGCTGTCTCGGTGTCACGCAAGGGCTTTGAGCATGGCTCAGAAGACGGTTCTGAACAGTATGCATACGACAAGTGCTCCAATGAAGCTTGGCTTTTCGACAGCGTCAAAGCATGCGTTTCTCAGATCGAGGATGAAATGGACATTGAGAACGGCATCCTTCAGAAATGCATCACCTTTTTATGGAATGACACGGTGCTCGACGACGAGGAAGTGCGTATAGCTTCTTGATACTGTATTCCATTGCTGATATCCATGGTGATCGACAGCCGCGCTCCACTGATCATATAGTTAGGATCTACTCACCCACTACGCCGATGTACATTGATGTGCATCTTAAACACCACCGCCGCTCGCGTCGGTCAGAGGTCGAATGGCAGTATTCCCTCGGGTACAAGATCCAACGCCGCCCATCTGCGATGGCAGACAATGCAGTTACTATCAAAAAAGAGCTCAAGATGGGCGGTCCTCCGCATGTGTACGCATACAATGGGTGGCAGACCTTATGCTGGGGTTGCTATGATGAGTGCGATTGGAACTATGGCGAACGTTGGCACCGCATCGAGTGCGGAAGAGTGGAGTTACACGAGGAAGAAGTTATTGACGTTCACGAGGCGTTGTTCGGAGAACTGGAAAAACCTGCTGAAACCGACTCAGAGGCCATGCTTGCATATCAACGATCACTCGTAAGGGGCATACGGCTTCTCCTCGCTGCTGTCGGTATTTCATATGATGTTGCATGTACTGATGATGAAAGTGATGACAGGCCATATGAGTTGATGCTTGAGGGGCTGAGCGACAAATGGGTCGCGCGGGGGATACGAAATACATGTGGCCTCCGACTCACCCGGGATGCAGAAGAAGAGCGAGAAGGTGCCAAGGAACGACGGGAAGAAGCAAAGGGTGACGACGACGAAAGGGATTATGACTCTGACTACTGAGTATCATGGACAGGTAGGAGGTGAGTGTGAGGAGATCGAGGATGATGGTTTTTGAAGTCTACTGACCTAGTGTTGGAAAGCAGTTGCGTTCTGAAGAACACCGAGTGTGCCAATAATTAATACTTGTGATATTGGTACGTTTGCAGTTAGCACCTGTTATAATTATTGAAGGATTTTTCTTGTTCATCGACATCCGGCAGCAGTGGGATGGACCCAGCCGCAATCACATACGATGACACACAGCTGTATGCTGCAACCTGAAACTTGATACTTTCGTTCGTCCTGATGACATGGAAAAATGAGAGTACACGATTAAAACCCTAGGCGAAAGTGTGGATGAGCCAGGTCCTGTGTGATACTGGAACAGAGTAGGAGAATATATCAGATTATGCGGACATCCGTCACAAAGCTGGACGTCTAATCAATGGTATCGCCCTATCGCTCACACAATGACCCCAAGTAGAAGTATGAATCAATAAAATCCGGATCTGCGATAATGAGAAGTGAATATCGGATCATTCAAATGTTCATCAATACCACAGACGTCCAATCCGACCTAGCAGAGAGGCAGCCCTTATCGACGAGAGCTGTAATATTTTAGAGGTGGGCGAGAAATCATCATAGGAGACGGGGAAATCGTATACTAATGACGACCATCCTGGTATTCAGGAGACAGACAACCAATGAAGAGCCAGAAACGAGTCCAGAGTCCAGCGTGTCTGAGCATTACGTCAGGGTGGGAGGGTGTTGAGCTTGTAGCTGCGGTATTATCACCGACAGCAGGTGCAGTGGATGAATTGAAGACAGCTGCCTGTGGTTGCAAAGATGGCTGGGTCTGAGTTGCTGTGCCGGATTGTTGCGTGGTATTGGGCCTGGGAGGCTGTGAGCTGCTTGCAGTATGGTTCTTCAAGGGTATTAGTCTTTTCCGTTTCTCCCTTGCGCAAGCGTTTCTCTACGTGATATTAGGTGGAGTAGAACTGAGAAGGAGAAGCAACATACACGTTGGCCTGGTGCACACGGAACTTCAACAACTTGGCTGCGCCCTTGCAACTCGGTGCTTTCACTACTTTGTCCACGCCGTTTCAAAAGGGCTTGAGCCCACTTGAGAGGGGAGAACGGTGACGTATCCTGGGCATCAAAGGGGCTGCGGTGGAACAAGCGGGCAAGAAGCGTGCTGCCTGGTTGTGCTGAGGAGTGGGAATGGCTTCGTGCCGAGGACTGAAACTACGGAGGTCAGGATAATACTCAAAGTGACAGTGATGACGTACATGAGAACGATCTGGTGGGACTCCATTGAAGAAACCTTGGGGTATCCGATAAGCAGGTGGACGTCGCTGGGCCAGACTTGGTGCAGCACCAGCCTAGAGTGTATATGTTGAGCAAAATATCTTTTTATGAATTTGTCACATACACGGAGTGCCAACTTGTTGGCCTGGCAGAGTGCATCCAGTTGTGAGAAAGTATACCATGAGACATGTTCGTCAACTCACCTTTGAATCTGACAAAAGGTCGTCGAGGCCAGCTTCTTGAACAATCGTAGCAACATCCCATGTGTACGCAGTTTCGCCCTCGCAGGCGGTTGCTAGTAGCTTTCCATCCGCAGAAAATGATACGCAACGAACTCCCTCTGCGTGCTCGAGAGGCGAACCGATGGGTTGTCCGTTGTCGAGGTTCCACAATCGCGCTGTGTTGTCCAACGATGCGCTTGCGAGGATGCGGCCATTCGGTGATATTGCAATGGCAAGGACAAGGGAAGTGTGCTTATCCAGCACTGCAATTTGCTCCCACTTGGTGGTATCCCATGTCCTAATGGAGGAATCGTATGACCCGGAGATGAGCGTTTTTCCGTCCTTGGTCCAAGCCAGGCTACGCACTTCCCATGTGTGTCCTTTGAGAGTTGTGACAAGCTTGCCTGTCTTTGCGTGCCAGATTTCGATGGAGCACTCGTTGGGTCCGTCAGGCGAGGGCCCATCACGTCCACCAGTCGCAATCAAGGTCATATTTGGTGAATAGACAGCTGTCCACAGTAATGGGTGCCAGGTCTCAATCGGCTTGAGGATTGTCCCTCCGCTTTTCACGTCCCATTGCCTTACACTCCCATCGAAGGATCCGCTTAACACTCTCCGACCGTCTCGGCTCCAGCAGACAGACGGCACTCGATCTCTATGACCTGTCCATTTAGCAATGGCCTTGCCTGTGTCGATGTCCCACAACCTCACAGCGCCACCATAACTCCCGCTAACCACTTTCTTCCCGTCCGGAGACAACGCTATACTGTGCACTGCATCCAGCCAGTCTTCTTCATTCCACCCGTACTCTTCATCCCACCCATTCTCTTCATCCCACCTGTCTTCTTCATCCCACCCATTCTCTTCATCCCACCTGTCTTCTTCATCCCGCCAGTCTTCTTCTATCTGTTCCCCGCTCTTCACGTCCCATACCCGCAGTGAGCCGTCCATTGAACAAGTGATGATCCGCCGTCCGTCGGGCAGGTGTATGACGCCCGTGACCCATTCAGTATGTCCTTCAAATTTCTGAAGAGGTTTTATCGCTAATGTCTCTTTCGTTTTAGTGGGCGAGGCCATACTCCAGAATTCCTATTACCGAGTGCAGCGCCATCTCAGCTTTCATCGATCAAATTCCAAAATCATCACTTACGAAAACAACGACGACAGGTAGATAGCAGGGCACAATGGGTGTTTCTGTCAAGATTGAATTCACTGCCTCCTGGTTCATCTCATATGCTTTTGCCTCGTGTTCGCTTCACAGCTTACACACAGCATAGGCTGTGCAAGCAGAAGCGCCCAAGAACCATATGATCACATTCCGTGAAGCCACAGTCTATGATTAGCTAGTTCTAAACAACTAGAGAAGATGAGAGGCTATTCACTGCGAAGCATTCCCGTACGTCCCCGATGTCTACTACTATTGATGGGCGTTCCCTCTGAGCTAGCGCCCGTCATCTAACCGGTTTTTTTTTTAGCAAAACAGCGAGAAGCATCAGGCGACCTTCAACTGACCATCTGGTGGATCCCAGGCCATGCTAACGTCGACGGCAACGAGCCAGCGGACAAGGAGCGGAACGAATTACTTACAGACGTGTTCGTCATCGCATACGGTACTATCGCTCACACAAGCAGCCCCAGATTCCAAAAGTCAATCGCGATCAAGTTCGTCTTAGGATTCACATATGTGCCATAATCTATGCGTTCCTGCCTGTATAATACATCGATCTTGTACGTACTGAACTAACAATTGTGAATTAGATCAGTCCGTATCTGTGATTCGATAACGTCCAATCATCGCCCTATCACTCACACAACTAGCCTCAAGTAAAAGCGTGAATTAATCAAGTCCATATCTGCGATAACTAGAAAGAAGAATAGGCGAATATATCAGATCAAGAACGTCAGCCGATTCAGACGTCCAATCCAATCTAGAATATCCAAAGATACAAACAATGCTCTATAGGCTGAAAGCGGTCGTCTACTCGTAACAGTTGTCAATAGCTAACGTCTAGTTTTCTTCTAAAGTGCTAAGGATCCCCAGAACGACGCAATATACACCTGCCAACCCAGCATGTCTTGTTACAGTTCAAGTTATCTTGCAGTGTACACAATGGCTAGTCTTCCGGTTCCTGGAAGTCAGCACTAGAGTTCACCTGTTGCCCACAGTTACTTGTGGACCATATATTGTTGCTCGAATATCTCGTTCGCGCTGACGAGGGGGTTATCGTTCCCTTCCCTCACAGACATTCTGAAGTTTGTTTGATCTCTGGAGCCGTTCTACATGGCCTGCACACCGACATGGAAATGGATACCGTGTGTTATGACTCCGTGCACGCATATCATTTTGATCTGCTACTGCGCACTAGCACAGTAAGTATTTCTTTTCCTTTCCTTTCATTTCCCTGCGCTTTCTTAACACAGACATCACTCGATCTTTATATCCGGCGCTTCAAAATAGACAATGGTTCGAGGCCTTTGCGTCAGAACTCGGCCCTGTGCGCTGTTCCCCTACGTGCGAGCATAGGTGGTGTTTGACCGCATCATGAGCTGGTGGTTGTCCCTCTTGAGGGAGGAGATGGAAATTTGGAGGCGTCACATTCATCCACACCCAGTCCTACTTTCACATACACGACCAGGTCTTCTGCTACCTTGTTGTATATCTTATTGTGATAATTTATATCCATGGCTATCTTATTAGGCTACTAGCTTGATCTTATTCAGTAGATGTTTTTTCGTCCGGTTTTATGATACGGTCGTCCGTGGTTGACGATCTCCAGCTGGCAAAGAACCCTTCCTCTCAAGTGGGTGATGCTGACATAAAATTTAATGTGCTCTTCTGCAAGCGTTTCTAGAGCTCGCACACTAACAGGAAATTTCATTACCATGGTCCTCCGAGACAGGGCGGTACGCAACCACGAAGAGTATTTACGCACAAGAGCGAACCCATCTCATCATACACGGATCCAAGAGTTCCTTCAACTCCAGATGCGCCTTGGACATACAAACCACATCAAGGTGTTACAGATCCCTGGAATCTGGAATGTGACGTTTGAGCGCAACGGAACAACACTAAGAAAGAGAGCTGGACAAACAGATTTATTCTCTTGCTCTATATCGCCAGTTCCTTCGTCCACCGCACACGCCTTCCTTTTAGCATCACCTACAGGTCCGAAAACGTCTGCGTCTGGTGCGTGGTTGGTTGTCTTGGCTGTAATTCAGTAAATGCAGCATCACCTCTCAATTACCTCCTTTGACTCTGATCCTTGTGTTTGCTGCGAGTTCCCCAATGAATTATATGCGTGTGAGAAGATGCTGGGGCAGTTTTCGGGCTGTGGGATTGATACGTGTTACGTGGATTATTAGAGATGCAGTGGTGGGCGATGAATGGGCGTTTCCGAATATCAGGATTTTGGGCATTCGACATTGCCCCATCTGCAAATAATAATCAGTCCAGTCGCCCATCAGGAGAGAAGCGATAGACAGTGTATATTT